CTTTCTCAGGTGTTGCCCTGTCCTGACAAGGGGTGTCTTGCATAGGCTCTGTCCTTCCCCTTGATCTTCTTGGTCTGTGATGGCTTCTCTAGAGAAACCATCAGACTCCTGGCTGTCGAACTCACCCTGTAAGCCTGTACAGTTGGCCCTCGTTTATCGCGGTTAATCAGTTCCAGGCTCTACCGGGATAAATGAATTTCCGCGAAGTAGGATTCTTTATTTATATACCGTCTATTCTCGCCACTTCGTGCTTCGACTTTCACGGCTTCACTCTACCGCGGTTCTTTCAAATACTCTACTCTACTCTACTCTACTCTACTATACTCTACTACACTACACTATATTTGAAAAAACCGTGATACAGGGAAGCCGCGACAGTCGAAGCGTGAAGTGGCGAGGGATGACTGTATCATCAGCTCAAGCTCTCATGGAACGTTTTTTCCATCTGCTTTCCCTTCAATGCTCCACTGGTGCTTCAGAGTCAACATTTATAATTAAACTCCCCATCACCCATCAACCTCCCTAAGCAAGAAGGGAGTGTTAGGCCCCAAACAGGGTAGTGATGTGTATTTTCCCACATTCATATGTTGTATCTCGCTGATTCTGCCTTTCATTTCCCAGATGGAGTCATCTAACAAGTTCCATCGGAAACACATGCTGCCAGCCAGCTTACATGCTGCTAAAAGATCGTTTTTCCAAAAGTTAAAATCACGATTCTCCTACAGATATAAAATAAATACCTGTTAGAGATTTTCTTTAACTCGTGAAACAGATAGTTGTTAAAACTGGTTCAAAAGAGAATTCTGAGAACCCACATATGTATAGAACAGGCATACTGAAATAAACGTGCAAATGGAGACAACACCAGCTTTCCCACAGCCGAGAGCTGTCGATTGAACTTCTACTGGACAGGGCATAATTTGTGCATCTACCGGTAAGACTTGTATCGCACTGCATAACAATTTCAGATTTGTGAAAGAATGTCCCTGAAATCTGAATCATATAACCCAGAAAAGTCTCCGCACAATCTCTCTGGACGATACAGAAGTGTCCACTGAAACACAGCTTTCCCCGACACTGTTCAGTCTTTCTCCACCCTTGACGCCATCTCTGTCAATCATACTAAAACACAGCTTTTCCCTCTTCCCAGCTTCTACAAAGCACATTATTGAATCCATGCTGACTCCCACATCAATAATAAACTCTTCTAGCCTTTCAAAATCCTCTTTAATCCAGCATCACTGTCTTTTATAACCACCTTTTATTCCAGACAGGGCTGAGCTCTATGCCCCAAGCCACGCCAACACTCTCCGACACATCCCTCCGTATCCTGATGTCCTCCTCCACCATCTGCATCCTTCTTATTTTACTGGCTTACTTCCCGCTTCTGTCCTGTTCTTTAATAGTCAATGCTACATCCACTAGACCTTAATCATGCATTCATTCAAGCATTTTATGAACACCTGTGTATGTGCCAGCCGTAGTCTCGACGAGATTCAGGCACTAGAAATCCAGAGATAAAAGCCTTGGCTCCCAAGATGCCTCAGGGTAACAAACAATGAGCACGCAGGTGATCAGTGCTTTTTTTTTAAATTAATTTATTTATTTTTGTTACAGATGTTTCTCCTTTTTCCCCCACTGATTTCCCCCTCTCCCTCCCTCCTCACCCTGTCCCCAGCTTTGTTGTCCATGACCTTTGTTCATGCATACATGCATATAAGTTCTGTGGTTTATCTCTCCCCCACCACCCCATGTTCTGGGGATTGTCAGTCTGTACCCTACTTCCACGTCTCTGGGACTACCCCATTCCTCAGACTGTTATGTTCATTATATTCCACAAATAAGTGAAATATTTTTAAATGAATGAATGGGTGTCTTTCTCTGTTTGGCCTGTTTCGCTTAGGATAGTACTTTCCAGGTCCCTCCATGTCGTCTCAAAGGATAAGAGATCTTTCTTTCTTACAGCTGCATAGTACTCCATCGTGTATATGTACCACAGCTTTCTTATCCATTCGTCATAAGGAACTGGAGCATATGTACATGTAACTCTATGAACACTGTAGATTTTTATCTCTTTAAAGAGATATATATCTTGTCTCTACTAGATTATAAAGTCTTTGAGGACAGGGACACAAATTTCGTTGTATCCTATGGTTTCTAACAGAAAAATATAGCAAACACTTTGTACTTAGAGTCTGATAGATGACTAAATCTTACACCCCAAAGTGGTCAATAATACTGTTCAGTAAGGACAAAAGTTTTTGGGCGGCTGTGAAATTTATTTCTCCCATATCCCATTGGGCACATGAAAATGTAAATGCTGTGGTCCTTGAAGCAAAGAAATAAATGAGGATATGCCAGGAAGCAAGTTATTCCTTGAGGGAGTAGCAGACAAATAAAACAAAGGGAACAATGGAATGGAGATAGAGACAACTCTGCATTGCGGAGGGCTCTGGAGCTCACTGAGCCCCCCCCCCCCAATTCATACACAAAATCGGGGCACAGGTTTTAATTTTTGGTTGTGGAAACTGCAGCCTGATCTCATTGAAACAACAAAAGTTATAAAGTAATTATAAAGATTTCTTTCTTAGATCTCTTATCCTTTGAGACAACATGGAGGGACCTGGAAAGTATTATCCTAAGCGAAACAAGCCAGGCAGAAAAAGACAAATACCACATGATCTCACTTATTTGTGGAATATAGTGAACATAACAGTCTGAGGAATTGGGTAGACCCAGAGACGTGGAAGTAGGGTACAGACTGACAACCCTCAGAAGAGGGCATGGTGGGGGGAGGGAAGAGATAAACCACAGCACTTATATGCATGCATGCATAATCAATGGACATGGACAACAAAGCCAGGGACAGGGTGGGGGGGATGGAGAGGAGGGTGTCAATGGGGTAAAAAGGAGAAACATCTGTAACAAAAATAAAATTAAAAAAAAAAATTCAACACATAAAAACAAAAATAAAGAACCTAGAAGCTTGGGCCAAGAAAAAAAAAAAGATTTTTCTTTTTTGAGTGAATATAGATGAATTTTGGAGAGTTTACTGAGTTTATGATGCTTTAACTATCTGAAGGAGGTGGAAGCCAAAGAGGACCTATCATCCCCAACTCTCCCAACCTCCAAGACAGGACAGTCAAATCTCTGCTGTGTGCAGCCCTTGGAGAATGAAATAGACAGACCCTCCTTCCTGCCACCGAGACCAAGGCACAGACTTGGATACTGACTTCCCCCGCGCCCTGAGCTAAAACCAAAGATTCAGCTAAAACTAGGTTGAGGTGTAACATTTAGGGTGGCTTTCGGATCCCTCCTTGAGCTTCCGCATGTACTCTGAATTACATTCAATAGTGTACTTTTCTTTTTTCAACTGTACTTTTTTATAACAAAATATTTTAAACCCCTTTAAAATATATATGTATATTAAACTGATAAGAACAGATACTACACTTGATCTTAGCCAAACGGCCAAGAATTAAAACAACAATGAGGTATCACCTCACACCTGTCAGAATGGCCACCATCAACAAATCATCAAACAAGTGTTGGCGAGGGTGTGGAGACAAGGGGACTCTAGTACACTGCTGGTGGGAATGCAGACTGGTGCAGCCACTATGGAAAACACTATGGTGTTACCTCAAAAAATTAAAAATTGAACTTCCATTTGACCCAGTGATCCCACTTCTAGGAGTATACCCTAAGAAGCCTGAAACACCAATTGGAAAGAATATATGTACCCCCATATTGATAGCAGCACTATTTACAATAGCTAAGATCTGGAAACAGCCCAAATGTCCATCAGTAGACGAATGGATAAAAAAGCGGTGGTATATATACACAATGGAGTACTATGCAGCTGTAAGAAAGAAAGATCTCTTATCCTTTGAGAAGACATGGAGGGACCTGGAAAGTACTATCCTAAGCGAAACAAGTCAAACAGAGAAAGACAATTATCATACAATCTCACTTATTTGTGGAATATAATGAACATAACAGTCTGAGGAATGGGGTGGTCCCAGAGACGTGGAAGTGGGGTACAGACTGACAATCCCCAGAAGAGGGGGTAGGGGATGCATGTATGCATGAACAATGGACATGGACAACAAAGATGGGGACAGGGTGGGGAGGGAGGGGTAGGGGGGTATCAGTGGGGGGAAAAGGAGAAACATCTGTAATAAAAATAAATTAATTAATTAATAAAAAAGAAAATATATATATATTTAAAACATTAAGCACTATTCGCAAAGCTCCTATCTTCAAACACAGTATTTGGGTTAACAGCCCTATAAAGGCACACTTTTGGGCCAGATGTAAAGTTCAAAAACTTTGAAGAAAAAAAAGGAAAGAAAACGAATTTTAAAAAACTCAGTAGGCACTTCACTCCTACCATTAGACCTCTGCCGTAAAGCGACGTGCATCTTCTATTTCTTGGGGTTCCACAGAGCCTCGCCTCCATCCCGCCCCTAGTACGTCTTAGACTAGACCCCGCCCCTCTCTAGCACGCTTGTACGAGATCCCCGCCTCTTTGTCCCCGATCGCGCGTGCACGCGAGCACGATGGCACGCCCCTGAGTGCTCGCTACGGCCTCGTGTCCATTCCCGCACCACTCAGCCCTCCAGGGCATAACCGCCCGCCCCGCCCCACCGCCCGCCCCGCCCCCGCTCGTCCCGCCCACCGCTCGTCCCGCCCCCTAGCACCCGTCCCGCCCACCGCTCGTCCCGCCCCCTGGCACCCGCCCCGCCCACCGCTCGTCCCGCCCCCTGGCACCCGCCCCGCCCCGAAGGCGCACGCAGTCTCGCTCGTGCCCGAGCCCATCCGCGCGCACGCGCCGGTCCACACGCGAGAGGCCCGCCCTCAGACACCTCCTGCCATGGCCCTGGCACCGCCCCCCGCCCCCACCCCCCCGGCATGCTCCCAGGTACCTGCCCAGCCCCCAGGCGCGCGCCCCGCCTTCCATGCGCCACGTGCTCGCCGAAGGGCGGTGCTGGGGAGTCGAAAAGATGTTCTTGCTGCCTCTTCCGGCAGTGGGGCGAGTTGCCCTCCGACGTCTGGGGTTGAAACGCTTCTGGAGTCAAGGTTTCGCTGCAGCAGACATGACGAAGGTGAGAGGCCGTGACTGGGTCCGGGGCCGACCCGGGATCGTTGCCCGCGGGCCACGGGGACTGCGGGGCGAGTCGAGGGCGCAGTGACCCCGGCTTCTGTGCCAGGTTACAAAATGGGCTCAGAAGAAAAGGTCTCTCCTTTTGCAGAGCTCAGCCTGGGCAGCGGCCGGGGCTGGGGCTGCCCAGTGCCCCGAGCATTCACCAGCCTTGCTTGAGAGGGCTAGGATCGCACTCTGGGCGAGAGAGGATGGCCATAGCTGCCACTGCCCGAGCTCGACTGTCATGCCCTTCCTTCATTGTTTTGTGTAGTCCTCGTAGTAACCCCGGAAAGGATGGTGCAGCCAGTATTGTTCCCACCACAGTAGGGGGGGGCCCAAGTTTGCCGAGGTGAAATGCCACCTAAGGTCGCAGAGTCGGCCAGTAGGGCTCCACAGCCCCGTCCTCCGCTGAAGTGGCTGCAAAGCTTTGTGCAGAAAAACAATCTCACTCTAGGGAATAGGGCTTTGCTAAGAGACCCATCTCTTCGTGAAATTAAAAGGAGAGTGTCTTCCAGAAGCTTTTCTTCATCTAATTGAACTTCAGAAAATTATAAAGACGATCCCTATTGGGGTGTGGAGGATCTGGAAAGGGGAATGGGTGGGTGGAAGGTGCAAGAGATTGGGGGTCATGCTTGAGGAGCAAGAAATGACTGTCCCTGGCGAGGAATGTTCTAGATAGGGATTGAGCTCAGGTCTCTCCCTTGTGTCAGAAGGCAGGGGACCAGGCACCTCTCCGTGCTCTTTCCAACACTGCAACATCCTACCCAGGTAATGTCTGTGTCCTGTCCCCCGAGTTCCACACTTGGTTCTGTGGAACCCGAGGAATGAGTAGGCTTAGGAAAGTTAGGACCTGGAAAGGTTACCAGCACCAAGGAAGCCCATTTTCTTTGATGGAAAGGACACAATTTGGTGTAGGTACCAGTGTGATTTTTGTGAAAAGGGCTGTGAGGAAGGTGTCAGGATTCTGGCAGAGTTCAGCCTCACTCAGGCTAGTATGTCAGACCAGGTTTCAGTCACCTCATCTGTCAGGTGAGAAGACTACACATTCTTTCCATCGCGCAGAGGTGCCATCAGGCAGAAAACATTTTCAAAGTCCTGCATTACGGGCAAAGGCAAATAGTGATTTCTGGGTTTACTTCCTTATTTCAGTTTCTTGAGGCCTGAGGGGGTAAGTCACTAACTGTCGGGCAGAAGGCTCTGCGGCTGCCTGCTTGAGCAGGTGCATCCTTTCTCTCCTTTTCAGCCTGTAAGCTGGCCAGCGTTCTTATTAGTATTAGCAAGTGCAGCCATAGGCTTTACTGGGAGAGCATCCCAGACTATCAGATTTGCGTTTGAAGGTTGTAGGGGAGGAAAACCTTCCTTCTACTTTCGTAGGTTCTGTGGCTGGACCAAAGACTTAAACATACATAAGATTAACAGGAGAAAAGCACACACATTCTGTTTGATATTTTAGTGGTTATGGGAGTCTTCAAAAGGAAAACAAAGACCCAAAAGCCTTTAGGCCCCAAAACGTATATACCCTTTTAAACAGAGAACGAAAAATTGCGGGGAGATGACAAGACAAAGGGGCCAGGGCTAGGGGCAGTAAATTGTGACCGTGACTAGGAGATATGTGGGGGAAACTAATGGAAGACAAGGGTTATTTTCGTAGGTTTGTTTGTACAGGGCCATTTTGGTGTCGATGCCCAGTCTCTGGTGATAAGTGTTCTCTTGCTGGTACAGAGAGCACCTTTCTCATGGAATATTTTATGACATGCTTTTGGGTAGAAAGTGGGAGGTCAGAGAGCCTTCCTACGTCTGCTGTTTCTAAAGTACCTGCAGCTCAAAGTATTCAGCATGACAAGCTTGGCCCCGGCCAGCGTGGCTGAGTGATTGAGCATTGACCCATGCACCAGGAGGTCGCAGGTTCGATTCCTGGTCAGGGCACATGCCCAGGTTGTGGGCCCAACCCCTAGTGGGAGGCATGCAGGAAGCAGCCAATCAGTGTTCTTATTGATGTTTCTATCTCTCTCCTTTGCTCTCTCTCTAAAATCAATAAAGAAAAATTATTTAAAAAAAATAAAGTACATCTTTCTTAAGAAAAAAAAAAAAGACAAATTTGGCATATTTTAGAGTGGCATGTTCTGTACCCCTTCTGACTTGGTTATAGATGGAACAGTTTTCTTAAACAAAACACCTTTCTGCTCTTATGTGAATGTGAAGGAAGCTCTTTATGTTGTAAAAACCCATTCTTGGGAAGGGACCATGAAGACCCAGGACAGGTAGTGATTCCCGTCTTGCTGTGGCAAGAATTTGAAGCAAGGGGGAAAAAAGGAGAAACATCTGTAACAAAAATAAATTAATAAAAATTGGAAAAAAAAGAAGAAAAGAATTTGAAACATTTAGGCAGGAGGTGAGTGTAGCCAACTGCCCAGCACCTGCTTTTTTGGCTTTGTTCTTCTGTCCTTGATGGGGACACGGTTTAGGTAGCATTATTACTCCTTCCGGAATTTGGGGACCTAGATGATATATATGTATTTTTTTTTTTTTTTTTTGCTTGTTCTCAGGGCCTTGTTTTAGGCATCTATACCCGAGAAAAAGAAAATGACGCGCCCCCATTTACAAGTGCGGGGGAGAACTTTGATAAGTTGGTGTCTGGAAAGCTGAGAGAAGTTTTGAACATGTAAGTATTCACCTGCGGGCTCCAGTTTTTAAAACGCCTTGAAACAAAGCAGAATCTTTTTTTCTATGCTTTATTGTTAGTGGGTAAAAATTCTCGGAAGCATGCTGGGGACTGCTCAGTGAAAATGAAAGTGTGTGTCTCTGGAATGCACTTTGGTACTCTGTGTTTCGTGTGGGTGAGCCTGCAGTTCTGGGAAGTCAGGCCACCTCAACCACATCACAACTTTATTATGGAGACTGACTCAAAAGGATCTGGAAAGTACCCCATTTCCTCAGTCCACCCTCCTGGCTCAGGTTCAGTTTTCCCTTCCTTTCTCCTACCCACCAGTTCACCTCCCACATCCTCTTTTTTTAATTTAATTTCCTTTTATTCATGGGGGACCTTGTGTCCCTAGACTAGTTCAGAATAGCCTAAGGGCGCTGCTCCCTTCATTGCTTATCTTGACTTTCTAAGGCTTCTCAGACATTATAGTCCATCAGATCTCTGGAGGGTGCAGTTAGAATGCAGATTCTTACTGAGTCCGGGTGGGCCTGAGATTTTGACCTCTCTTGGGTTAGCCAGGGTCTAGAGAAAGTAGAGAACCACTGGAGTTTCCAAGTCCTGAGCTGCAGGCCATAGTTAGCAGAAATGGAATCGTTAGCATAAGCCTTTGCAACTACACCTTACTCGGATTATAGATCATTTCTTGGCTCTAATACATGTAGTCTAATAATGGTAGTAATTGTCTAATCATTGGATAACAGAATTTGTATCCCCACTTAGTTAGCAGCCATTCACCAGTAGACAGCCTTCTCGTACACCTTGATTAATTCATTAAGCAGAAAACTAACTAGTTAGAGTACAGAACACCTTGGCCTTCCCGACTGGTAACTCTCAGCAGCACCAGGGCGTCCAGGCTATAACCCTGCATTGCCACCTGGTTTGTGTGGAAATTGCCTGGTCTCCCATTTCCAGATAAGTCCGCATAAGTGACCTCCACGCCTAACACACTACCGTCAGCCCACCCCTGAGGCTGGTATCTTATATCATATATTTAAAAGAATTAAACCCTGGCCGGTTTGGCTCAGCGGTTGGAGCATTGGCCCGCGGACCAAAGAGTCTCAAGTTCAATTCCTGCAAAGGGCACGTACCTCAGTTGTGGTTCATCCCGGCCCTGGTCAGGGTTGTGCAGGAGGCAACCAGTCGATGTGTCTCTCTCACATCGATGTTTCTCTCTCTCTCTCTCTCTCCCAGTTTCCTTCCCTCCCTCCCATTCTGTGAGAAGATAAATGGAAAAATATCCTCAGGTGAGGGTAAAAAATTTTAAAAAAGAATTAAGATTCTAGTCAGCCTTCATAAGTGCTCCGCTCTCCCCTGCAGCCAGGTGTTGTCCATCCATGGCATCACTTTCCATACTTGTTCTCAAATAAGTTTGTATTAAATCTACTCTGGAAGTATTCTAATTGTGAGCTAGAATTAGAAGTTACGTATCTGAGAAATCTGGCCTGAGAAAATTCTGTATTTTGATAAAAACAAGTACAGCAAGTTCACAGAAGTAGTGGAATATTGAATTTTAATTTTATTTTTTTGGCAGCAGAGTGTTTTAATAATGCTAAAGGCATGTATGAGTCACTTCTCAAAGGAACTAATATTTTACACAACTGTTTCCTCTTGTTTCAGATCTGGACCACCGCTGAAGGCAGGCAAAACCCGAACCTTTTATGGTCTGCATGAGGTAGGAGATGAAGATCAGGTTTGGCAAACCCTTAGTGAGCACCTCCTATATGCCAAGGACTGGCTGCCTAGCCTTGCAGAAAAGCTTGTATCGGATTGTATGTATTGTTTTGACTTAGTATTAAGCCATAAGTAATAGTTTAGATTGTAAAGAGGTGACTTGCTGTAGGAAGTATTGCCTCTTGTACTGCTTAATCTGTAGGCTTGATTCAGTTGTGGGGGTGGGGCACTCTCATACTGTATAGTAGAATTATTTGCAGGATTATCCTCACTCTCTACCTTTCAGACACACACTTTATAACATTTTAGCAACATACAGGGCTCAGAAAGCCCAACAACCAAGTGTGACTCTGATTTTACCATGTGCTGAGGTTACAGTAGTTGAGCTCAGATACCATTCCTTGTGGAATTGAGTACTGTAAAGATATACAAGATATACAGTGGCTGATTCTGTGTGTTTCCGGAACAGGACTTCTCCAGCGTGGTGGTGGTTGGGCTCGGCAAAAAGGGAGTTGGCGTGGATGACCAGGAAAACTGGCACGAAGGCAAAGAAAACATCAGAGTGGCTGTTGCAGGTTATTTTACTTTTGAAGTTTAATGTGGGTGGAGGTTTCTAAGGATCTACTCTTTCAGGTGACTCTGTCTCCCCTCTTTTGCTCCTCTGACCATCGCCACACTGGCTACGTTCACGGAGAAATAACCGATCTGGCCCTGGCCAGTTTGGCTCAGCGGTTGAGCGTCGGCCTGTGGACCAGAGAGTCCCGGGTTCGGTTCCTGCTAGGGGCACGTACCACAAAAAAAAAAAAACAAAACAAAAACGATCTGCCTGCTGTTTCCTTTACCCAGCATGCTTGGCTTTATATTAGATACAAATGGCTGGCTTATGGAATTTTATTTCTCCATTTCTTTAGCTTTTGTTGGGAGGTGTCAGGGCCATCTGTTCACTCTCACAGGATTGACCTTAGAGGCTCTATTTTACTAGAAAGTAAAATATGGAGTCATCATATTTACACATCAGAGGAAATGGACGCAAAGTGTGGGCCGCTTGTTTATCACAAGTTACCGAAGGTCCCAGTTTGTCCTGTGGCTGGTTTAAGAGTTGCGGCAGGTGCCACTGAGTGCCTTCGGAGCCGAGCAGCAGGACGAGGCCGTCACCGCGGAGGCTGGGTGCCGGTGCTGCGGAAAGCATCCCTGAGGCCGAGAGAATGAGCTTCACTGGTCTTTGGCCCGTGTGTATCGTGCTTGTTCCATTGACAAAGTTCATGGTGACTGATTATTTTATAGCTTTAATTTGGGAGATTTTGCTGAGCTGATCTTAATGAAATGCTGTGTTAATAATGGACTTTGCTCGGTCCTTGGAAGTAATTTTCATCTTATCACTTCTTTGTCCTTTTTAATCTGGCAAACTCCTGGTGACGGGGTCGCTTTATCTGGTAATCCGAGCATTTCAGAGGTCATACTAGTTAGTAGTCATAGTCACTGTGTGAGGGGCCAGACCGGTCATTTTACCCATCCGTCTGTCCTCCCCGAGCTGCAAGGTGTGTTCGCTTCTCGTTTCACCTAGGAGAAGATGGGGGCTAAGGAAGGTCACGTTTCAGAGCTGGGATTTGAACCCCAGTCCTGTGGTTTACTCAGCACCCCCCACTTGGTCTCTGACTGGCTCCTGTTTTCTGGTTCCTCTGTCCTTTCAAAGCGGGGTGCAGGCAGATTCAGGACCTGGAGATCTCGTCGGTGGAGGTGGACCCCTGTGGCGACGCCCAGGCGGCTGCGGAAGGGGCAGTGCTCGGCCTCTACGAGTACGATGAGCTGAAGCAGAAGAAGAAGGCGGTCGTGTCGCCGAAGCTCCACGGGAGGTGAGGGAAGGAAGCCAAGATCAGGGCGGCATCCCCGGCGCTCCGACCGCAGGGCCTTGGCGAGGACTGCCCGCCCTTCGTGCTGGGCAAGCCGCGCGGCCAGGCTGCGACCTCTGCCTCACCGCAGCCCTCTTAAGAGTATGGTACCTGTCCCCACGCTCTGCTCCTGGCTTTCGTCATGTGTTGCCTGGTGGCTCCCGGGCCCCTCCATGCTGCAGGTTACTACGAGGCCACACCAGGTTGGCTCCCCGAAGAGGGTGGGGACAAGATGCCCGGTCCCAGCGGGTTTCAACCTGGACATTCCCGCTTCACCAGCATCTTCTGTCAGATGCCAGAGCTACACAGATGATGGAGAGGGTCCTTGCCCTCGTGCCTCGTGGGAAAACTCTGTCAGCAGATTTATTGGGCACCTGCTACATCCCAGCTCTGTTCTGGGTCCTGGAGACCAATCCCTGCTGCCAGGGACGAACAGTGGGAGCCCCTCGGGGGGTGTGGCAGCAGTGGGGTCTCGGCACAGCCTGGCGGTTGGCAGCTACGATGTCATGGTTACGAAGGAGGGTTCTGCGACCTGTCAGCCTGGCTTTGAGTCCTGGCTCCCCCATGCCCTGGCTGGCACCTCAGTGACGTGACCACAGTCTCTCGGTGCTTCCTTTTCGTAGTTCCGATTTCACAGGGCTCATACGCTGACCGAACGGCACACGTGCGGCCCACGTACACCCCAAACGACGAGCCCTTGTTTACCCATCCGTGCCTCTCACGTTAATTCCCGTCGTGCTCATGGAGAGCTAGGGTCGAAACATGGCCGTGTCTTTTCTCTGTTAAAGCCGATTCTTGCCCTCGGGTGGGTTGGCATTCAGAGCCCTATTCTGGGCAAACATTAGGCGGAAGGGCCTTCCGTTCCCGTGAGCAGTGTGTCCTCTCTCCAGCTAGCGCTGGGGCCTGTGTCCTTGCTGATGCAGAGAGAGTGGACAGAACGGGCCACTGTGGAAACCGCTGCCATCAACTTGTGGTGGGTTTGGGGCCTCAGAGACCCTCAGGCAGCCCCTTTGTTGTACAGAGGAGGGTTTCGAGGTGACATGCTCACCCAGGTTTCCCAGCTTGCACAGTGGGGGCCATGTTTTCTAGCCCTTTACGCCATCCCGTCGGCCACCCTGGGTGAGATCCCAGACGATGAATCCGGGTCCCACGTGTCCACCTTCTGTGCAGTCTTCCCCTCGTTTTTATGAGCTGCGACACGGTCAGTGTCTCGCGAGCTTGTCTGATGGTGACCCTGTGCTTCCTTCTGCCAGCGGGGACCAGGAGGCCTGGCAGAAGGGAGTCCTCTTTGCCTCCGGGCAGAACCTGGCACGCCAGTTGATGGAGACCCCTGCCAATGAGATGACGCCAACCAGATTTGCCGAAATCATTGAGAAGAATCTCAAAGGTGCTAGTAGTAAGACAGAAGTCCACATCAGGTAATTCGGGGTTCTGCCCTAGACTCGTAGGAACTTATAACCAGGAGGGGCCGGGGGGTCCGAAATCCATCTCCCTCAGCTGTTCACAGGAGTAACATAGCCTGAGGTCAGAGGGTGCGATGACCCACTAGTGACCACACACAAGTGGGATAAGGGTTGTTTGAGGTTCTTCCTGTTACATCTTTCCTTACCTTTGAGAGGGTGTCATAACTGCAGACTGCATAGAGTGTGTGTGTGTGTGTGTGTGTGTGTGTGTGTGTGTGTGTGTGAGAGATCGTAGCTGTATTGAGATGTCATTCCATTCCACTTAGTTTATCCTGTGAGCTGTGCAGCTCAGTGATGGCCAGCATAGTCACAGTGTTATGCTGCCGTCACCACAATCCGCTCCAGAACATTTTTCACTCTCAGAAGGAAATCTTGTGCCCATTGACAGTCACTCCTCATTTCTCCTGCCCGCCCCCCCAGCCATCAGTTCATGGACGTTCAGGTTGTTTCTACCGTTTGGATGCTGTGAACATGCCACCGGGAGTGGGAGTGTACACGTCTTGATGTGGACAGCTGTTTCATGGCTCTTGGGGATGGGCCTAGATGTTGAATTGTTGGGTCACTTGGTCCCTCTGTTTACTTTCTGAGGAACTCGTACACTGTTGTTTGGGGAATCCCTCCTGTCTTTCCTCTGACGCAGTGGGGAACACAGCGCGCCTGGCGTGGCCTTGGCAACTCTCCGAGCTGGGGTCCCAGGCGTGCTCAGTCGCTCCTCCAGCTCCCATTACCCTCCTGGTACCCGCAACCTGCCCATCGCTCCTCTCCTTCAGCAAATCACGTTTGAACGTTTGGGGAGTTACGATTAAAAAGAATTGAGAGATGTTTGCTTTACATAAAGAATTCGTCACTATCAAGGTTGTTTCTCAAGGGAACTTCCGTTTGAAAGAATTCATCAGTACTTAGTTGTGATTGGCATTCACATTTTTCAGGAAAACCCCTGTGGTCTAGATAGACTGAAAAATGTGCACTCTGTAGGAAACACAGAACTAAGCCTGGAAAAGTTTTGGGTGGTTAGCATATATTTAGTCTGTAGCAATGTTTGGTGTCTGTAAAGGTGTCTTGGGAAGACTCTTCCTCGTTTTACGTGAGGAGACACCAGAGCCGGTGTGTGTTAGCAAATTGTGGCTGCGGTCACCCATCAGTGACGGCATCTGTGCGCCCAGCATTTGGCCTACAGAGACGGGTGACGGGGATTGTTGTCCTCAGAGGACCCGGTGGGAAGAACAGGCAGGTGAAGGGGCACACAGAGGGCTGCAGGAGCAGAGAGGTGAGGATGAGTGTGGAAAAGTCGAAAGGCTTGCTGACCGGGGTGCCTGAGCAGAGTGGAGGTTTGCTCAGAAGTTAACAAGGGAGGAGGGTGTTTCAGGTGGGGAGCACATGTGCAGAGACCCTTCGAGAAACTGCAAGGCTTGGGCAGAGCAGAGGGAAGTTGGAGGAACCAGGGTGGGTCAGGTGGGCGTAGTGTAGCCCATTAAACTGAGACAGCTGCAGCAGACCCGCTGGCGTGTAGGTGGGTGTAAATCAGAGGAGTACACAGCGCTTCCAGAAGGGCAGGGCTCTAATAAAACATCCGGGACTGAGTTTCTGATTAAAAGTACCCACATGGCCCTGGCCGGTGTGGCTCAGCGGTTAGAGTGTCGACCCAAGGACCAAAGAAAGAGTCGTGGGTTTGATTCCGGGCAAGGGCATGGACCGTGCTTGGAGTTCAGTCCCCGACCCTGGCTGGGTTGTGTGGGAGGCAGCCAGTCAATGTGTCTCTCTCGTCAGTGTTTCGCTCTGTGTGTCTCTCTCCCCTCTTTCCCCACCTCCCACTCTATCTGAAGATAAATGGAAAAAGTATCCTTGGGTGAGGATGAAAAAAATAATAAAATAATAAAAATACCCACATGGGCCCTGGCTGGTTTGGCTCAGTGGTTAGAGCGTTGGCCCGAGGACCAAAGGGTTGCAGGTTCGATCCCTGGCCCAGTCGAGGTTGTGCGGGAGGCAACCAGTCCATGTGTCTTTCTCATCGATGTTTCTCTCTCCCTCCCTCCCTCCCTTCCACTCTCTCTAAAAATCAATGGAAAAATATCCTCAGGTGAGAATTAAAGAAAAAAATACCCACATGATACAGCCTTGCTTCTTATGAAGTGACTTTTTATTGCCATACCTTCCATTTTTATATTCTTTTCCCTCAGAAATCCAGTGGCCATCTCTCCACAGTACAATCCTAGTTTAATAGTTTCAGCAAATAGATAAGCAAGTCAAGAGGAGCATTCCTTGGATACGGTTGTTGCTGGTCTGCCTGTAGCAGTGTAGGGTTTCTCTTGGCCTAGTTACAGTGGCCAGAAGGCAGCACAAAGCCCTGTTTACCCCCGCCCAGAAGGAACAGCGATAGGGCCTCTGTTGTCTGGTTGGCACGCAGGGCTGTTCCCATTATGTTACCCCTGTCGATCCTGTGTTTGCTAAGTAATAACTAGTTTTCCTACTTCAATCAGGCATCTCAACCTGGGATCCAAACCGTGAGAAATAGTGTGACCCCACTGAAAAGACTGGATTCCAGCAATTCTAAAAAAACAAAGAAATAGGATATTTTTGCTCACTTAGTAAAGTGTAGCTTTCTTGTGTTTTTTTTTTCTTGGTTAATTGTTTTAGTCCTTTTTCAGAAATACCAAAAGTAAAGCAATGGGCCCCTTAACTATCTGTAAGCACTCTCGATGGTCTCAGAGCCTTACCTGTATACTAAAACTTTAAAAATATGTGAAAAGATTAGGGGGAAAAATCAAGTAACGATTATTTGTTGACTATGCATTATTACCTGACATTGCATTATGTACCAGGCGTGAACTCTCTCAGTAATTCTGAAGTTGGTCTTTTGATGGAGGTATGATTGACCTCATTTTATAGATGAGGAAACAGAAACAAGTGACTGGCCCCAAAATGAGAGCAAATAGAGCATGTTGATTGAAACACTGACGTGTACATATTTTAAGAGTTTATATGTTAGACTTATACGTGGATAAGCTTTTCCTAAGCTATTTTGAAATGGAGATAACAGAGTGTATTTACTTTTTTCTCCTTCTGCCCCATAGACCCAAGTCTTGGATTGAGGAGCAGGGGATGGGATCATTCCTGAGTGTGGCCAAAGGATCCGATGAGCCTCCCGTCTTCCTGGAAATTCACTACAGAGGCAGCCCCAATGCGAGTGACGCGCCCCTGGTGTTCGTGGGGAAGGGGATTACCTTTGATAGGTAGGTCTTCCCTGTGTCTGCTTTGTGTTTTGGCGAATGCTTTGGGTGCACTGGTATTATTTGGTGTATGGCTTGCTTCAAAAGCATGGTTTTGGTTACATCTGATACGTTAAGTTTAAATGTACTAGGCTGCCGTTTATGAAGTGTGCACCATGTGTCAGAGACTCTGTGAGGCACTTGACATGTATTAGCCCTGGGAGGTAGGCACTATGGACCTTCTCCAGGTAAGAAACGTAATTATTGGCCATTGGGATATCTTTAGTGAGGTGTCTGTTCAAATCTTTTGCTCTTCTTAGAAATGTCTGTTTTACTGAGTTATAGGTTTTTAAAATTGTATTCTAGGTGCAAATCCTTTGTCAGATGTGCATGTTGGAAATGTAGTTTCCCCACCCTAAGGGGGGCCTTTTCATTGTTTTAAGTGACATCTTTCAAAGAGCAGTTTTTAATTCTGATAAAGTGTAACTTGTCCATTCTCAGTTTTATAGTTCATGCTTTTTTTGCCTTGTTTAAGAAATTATTGCCTATTGCAAAGTCTGAGGGTTTTTTTATTTTCTGTAGGTCTTATGGTTTTAGCTTTTAGGCTATGATCCATTTTGGATTTTTGTGTGTGGTGTGACTCACTGAGGTTCCTTTCCCCCTTCTTTCCTTTCTGTGTGGAATCCATTTGTTTTAACACCACTGTCGAACAGACTGTCCTTTCCCCATTGAACTGTGTTGGCAGCACTGTTCAGTCAGTTCTCCATATACCTGATGATCTCTCTGCTCTGGGTCCTTCCTCCAGGACCTTGTGACTGAGTATCTTGATTACCGCTGCCTTGTCCTGAAGTCTAGTCATTGAGGCCCCCAGCTTGCTCTCCTTTTTCCAAACTACTTTGGCTGTGTCCTTTGCAATTTGCTTATCGCTTTTAGAATCTCCTTGCCATTTTTCATACACATCTGCTGGGATTTTGATTGAGATAGACATTTTCTTGGTAAAAATTTGGTGGTTGTGTTGGTAGTGAAATGAAGAGGTAAGGTTGAATTGGGAGACCTGAGCATGTGGGCCATAGCGAACGTCTGAATGATAGACGGTGGACGAGGGCAGCCTCAACTAGGATGGATGCAGTGGAAAAGAAAGTGATGCATTCGAGAGGGACCTGGAAGGTGAGCAAAGATGACTGCGATCTGAGTGAGAGTCCTACAAACAGAGAGCGGGGCTCCCAGGACAGAGGGGCCGGTAGGCAGGACAGTTGGAGGGGCGGTGTGCTCCCTGTGCCCCCAAGGGCTTATTCCTGAATTTCTTGGAACAAGAGCGTGTTTCTTTTCTTTTTCTGAGTCAGTGGGTAGTCTTCGATTCTAGGGGTGACAGCCATCTAACTATGGAGTGCTTCTGAGATGAGTGAGAATTAGGACCCGATTTGTAAGGAACGAGACCCTCTGCAGGGAATAGTTTCTCCAGAGTCACCAGAGCAAGGTGGCTGCAGATCCCAGAACTTGAAGTCAAAGCCCCAGCTCCATGCCTGATGTGCAAAGCAAGTGTTGTTCGGATCTTACATCCGGAAGCCTGTTTGGGGAGTGGTGTGGGTTTCCTGCTGGTTGAAACCCTTGTCACCTCTGGTGTTTGAGCGCTGTCTCCGAGCCTTCAAGTCAGCACCTGTCTTGTTCCAGGTTCTGACATTGACTGGTTCTGCTTGTATGTTGCCATCAGCAGAGTCTAGCATACCTTGGGGATGTTGGAGGGAATTGTTCTCCACATCCTTCTGTGGGGTAAGAGCCTCCCAGTCTTCCATGAGCTTGTTGACTTTCCTTAATAGTGTGTGATCTTCAGGCTCAGTAAGTTCATTGAGTCATTAAATTTGCTGAAGAGACAAATCTGTGTGGGGCCAGGAGTTAAAGAGCCAATACAGTGGTGTTTCCAGGGGCACTGCTCCAATTTCATTCAAAGAGAAACAAAATGAGCTAAGATACCCGTCCGCAGTCTTATAAAGGCTGCACTATCATCTTTTAAAATGTTGTACTCACTCAGATTCTGTTTTAGAAATTTGAGTTTTCTTTACCAGGTAGATGGTGCTTTGATGTGGTGGTTAACCCTTTTGAGGACAGTGGCCCTCTTCTTTGTGGTAATAGTGCACGGTGTCCTTTTCCCGCAGTGGTGGCATCTCCATCAAGCCTTCTGCAAACATGGACCTCATGAGGGCTGACATGGGAGGAGCTGCCACTATCTGCTCAGCCATCGTGTCTGCCGCCAAGCTCGGTCTGCCCATTAATGTCATCGGTGAGTGGGCGAAGGGGGGTGTCGTGGGAGCTCCTGGAATCCAGCCCAGTGGTAGAACTGAAATAACACGCACGGTTTCCACTAAGCCGAACAAATCAAGAAATGTTTTTTGTTGTTGTTGCTGTTGCTGTTTTTATCCTCACCCGAGGACATTTTTTTGCATTTATCTCCAGATAGAGCGGGCGGGAGAGGGAGGGGAAGAGAGAGACACATTGACTGGTCGCCACCCACACGACCCTAACTGGGGCCGGGGACAAACTGCAACCGAGGTATGTGCCCTTAGTGGGAACTGAACCTGGGACTCTGGTCCGTGGGCCGAAGCTCTAACCACTGAGCCAAACTGGCCAGGGCAAGAAATGGTTTTGAAATAGCTTTTCATCAAGCAGAAGCTGTTTAGCTTGGATAAGTCTTTTCTGGTCTGAACTGATTGAAGTTCAATGTATTTTGCAATCATGGGCTATAATTAGAATTGATTTGTTTTACTTCTGCAAAAAGTAGTAGCAGTCAGGCATATAAAATCGAGTTTATGGTTTCTGCTAGTGGAAAGTGCCCAGTTGTCAGAGTGGAAGGACATTGCTGAATCATTTTGTGATTAGCACACACAGCTGTGGCCTGTTGAAGCTGTGATGCACAGAAAGTGGCTGACGCTGAAAGAGTCCTCTGTGTGTAATACGGATGCTGGACACAATGCCAGGACTTAGCCATGTTTCAGAGGGGGTTGGGGGGGAGAATGGGCCAGTGAGTCCCATCCATAGCACGGGAAGTTAGACATGGAATCCAGGTCTGTGTGACACCCGCCACCCTCATTTAATATCATAGTCTAAAATGTTTCTGCTTAACTGTAAGTAGCAGGCATCATGACATGTCACCCCTGTGTCTCTTAAGAACAAGGGCATTCTATGTAATAACAGTATCATTTTCATTTCCAAGGACTGATACAGTAATCAAATTCAGACTTCCCAGTTATATAAATTAGATTCTCGGTGCATGTGTTCACACACCTATTTATTTTTATTTACTTTTTAAAGCTAGGAGCCATTGAAGGACCCTACATTGCATGTGGTTGCTATGTCTCTTTAGTTTTTTTCATCTAGAACCTGATTTCTGCCCCTTCCCCTCACTCCCCTTTCATGAAATTAGCAGTTTCGAAGGATCCAGGCTTGTCTCACGTTGTTCCAGGATTTGGATTTATTTGGTTGTTTCTTCATGATAGAGTCAGGTTAGGCGATGTGTTCTGTTGCCGGTGTCTGGCTCGCTCCCGACGGCCCACCGGTGGCATCTGTCCTGGGGGTGGCATGTGTGGACTCAGCACATTCCATGTTCCTTCATTTATTTTTTTCCAATAGGTTTGGCCCCTCTGTGTGAAAATATGCCCAGTGGTAAGGCCAACAAGCCTGGGGATGTCGTTAGAGCCAAGAATGGGAAGACCATACAGGTTTGTGAATGGATGGCACAGCCTTCCCCATTCTGGCGCTCCTAGAGAGTCCCCAGCAGCCACACGGACACCCCTCCACGGGTGCAGAGGGCAGACTGCATGTGGGGGAGGGCGGTGTCTACTTCAAGTGGCTTTTCATGCAAAGTCAAAAGTATTTAGGGGAATTTTAGGGGAATTTCAAGGATGTTTTTCCTACCTTCTTGTTCCTCCTGCATCCTGTGTTCTCCGCACACAAGTGACCGTGGGTTTGCAGCCAGCCCCACAGAGCAGGGCAAAGCAGCGGAAGTACTGGCTGTTCCGTGAATGTGCCTGGGCCTTGATGAGCTCTCTCCTCGTCGGGGTGAGGGCGACACTGTCCTGAGTCAGCGGCTGCCTGCTGGGTGTGGAGCGGGGCCTCTGCTGGGACACGTGTGCACTGCCCTGGCGAACACGGAACCTAATGTGTAAAAAGTTGCTGAAGTGGCAGAGTTCTTGGGTTTGGAGGTCCAGGCTGCCACCCCGCTGTAACTTTCCTAAACTCTGGCTTATTTATTTTCAGAAATCTTGAAATTTCCCCCTTTCCTGTTAGAAATTTGTTGGTAAAATAGACCAGACGCTTTCTTTTTTTTTTTTTTTTTTAATTTTTTTTATTGATTTTTTAGAGAGAGAGAGGTAGGGAGAGATAGAAACATCAATGTGACAGAGAGACATGAAACAGCTGCCTCCTGCACGTCCCCCTTCCAGGGATCGAACCTACAACCCGGGCACGTGCCCTGACCGGGAATCGAACCAGGACCTCTCAGTCCATGGGACAATGCTCAGTCCACTGAGCCACCCTGGCAGGGCCAGACACTTTCTTGATTTCAGCTTCCAAAGTCATCAGCTCTGGCACAGGGGCTTATTAGATTAAGATTTGCTCTTCAGATTAACTATATTCCTGTTCTAACTGAAGTAGAAGCATGCTTTTGACCCTCGTGGTGGATAAATTCCTCAACCACAAACATCACACCAGCCCTTTCTCACTTTTGAACTGATCATTGATGTGACTAGTTGATACTACGTGTGCTAGCTGACCCCCACCTTTTCCCTCTCTGCAGGTGGATAACACCGACGCCGAGGGGAGACTCATCCTGGCTGACGCGCTCTGTTACGCGCACACCTTTAACCCGAAGGTCATTCTCAATGCCGCCACCCTCACAGGTCAGCGTGCTCCTGCCTCGGCGTGAAGGTGCCCTGTGCGGGCCGAGCGCACGCTGCGCTCAGGGCGGGGGACCTCTCACCAGGCAGTGGTGCCGCCGTTGTAAACTGCTTTGAACATTAGGTTTGTTGTAGGACATGCCAGGCTGTAGCATTAAAACAAGAAGTGACACGTGGGTCAGATCAGCCCTTTCAGAGTGACATCTAAAGATGATACTAAGAGATGTGTTGTTATGATGACCGTTTGATACAGATCTGAAAAGATTAGTGATAAATCCCAAAATCAATGGTGTATTTTTTTTTTTAATTCATCATGATGTATCTGATGCCCACTGAGTTTTGGGAACATTTTGTACCGGTTGTTATCTGGAAATAAAAGCATTTGGAGGGGAGAGGTAAGACCCTCATTTAACTGAGGCGGGGCCGTGGAACGTGTCGTGAGGCACCTGGGCTTTAAGGCCAACCCAGGGGTGATGCCCAGCTGTCCATCAGTCTTGGGAAAGTTACTTGACCCCCTTGAGCATCAATACCTGGGGCAAGTCGGTTTGCAGAGTTGTGAAGGTTGGAGGGAGTTTTGGGCAAGTTCCTTTGATGCGGTGCCCACGTGGGGTGGGCATGGTGAAAAGGCTGCACCACCCCCGGCTCTGTGGCAGGGTGGACAGATTCCTGAGGGGCTACCAGCAGGCCTTGGCTTGTGGCAGAAACCCCGTGTTCGTGATCTGTCCTCCAGCACTTCTCTTTCCGGGGATTCATTCTGCCTGTGCCTCTTTTAAGACTAACATTCAGATCAGTTTTCATCCTTTGTTCTTGGTTCTTCCTGTGGTCACGTGAGCCTTACGTTAGCAGATCTCTTCTTTCCCACCCGTGTGTGGGTCCGGCAGTGGTCCACGGACGTGTCAGCTGGCACTGATATTACTGCCATGTCCTTTGTTTCCCTGTTCAGTTCAGCCAACACTTCCAGCTGAGTGATGGAGGGGCCGGGGCAGGTGTTTGGGGCCAGTGGGAGGTGGGTGGTAGCACACCTTTCTGTAAATGGGCATCACACCCCCTCCCTTTTTTCCAGCCTGAGGGTTTGAGAAGTTTTGAAAGGTGGCCCCAGGTAACTAAGGGCAACCTAATGGATGAGCCCTCAGCTTGCCCTGGCTGTTGCCTTGGCTGAGAGCTGTAGATAGTTCATTTCGGTGCCCCAAATACCACTTCTAAGTCTGAGCTCGGTCAAAGAGGATAAGAAAGTTTCCAGCCCCGAGTTCATGGCAGAAGAAAATACATAGTGTTTAGAGAGAGACAACCTGATTTTAAAACTTGCCCTCCTCTTAATAGAATGTAACTCTGGACAAGGCCTCAGTTAATTCATCTGTAGAAGGGGTAGTATAGTAGCCCTCGTTCATAGGAAGGGTTTCTGAAGTATTTGCTGAAATCATCTTTAGAGCTATGATCCCAGTTGGATCATATTAAATACTTGTCGCTCATTTTCTATTCCTTTAAGAAAACATAAACATTCTTGTTTAAGACTAGTGCTCATCTTTTCTCGGAGACATTTAAACACTGATGCAAGACTTTTGAGGTTGAGAGGAATGTTTTGAAGACAAAGGAATAAATATGGAAAAACTGCTAACTTGGAAAGTAAAGCAGTAATGAATATGTCCCTGTAACTGCATGTGTGTCCCCCGCTGCATCATGTATACAGACGGACTATAGGCAGGGATAGCCAGCGCCTGTCATGGCATCTGGTATGCAGTGGGTGCCCAGTGAGTGGTTATGGAAGCAGCACGTGCTTAGCTTTGTTAGTGGCTGCGGATGAAGGTGGGTCAGGACAGATGTCAGGCCTCTGGTGGAGACTGGCTGTTAGCAGGTCCTCTCGGTGACAGGTCTGAAGGTGCAGGTGACGAGCAGAAGCAGCGAATTGGAAGGCATGTGAGAGCCTGTGCAGCCGGGGATGTGATGAGCCGGGAGGCCCAGCACCCCGTCTGGGAAGCGCTGGGATCTGCAGGAGGCGGCATCACGGAGTGGAGGAGGGAAGGAAGAGCATCCCAGCAGCCAAGGGCACACTTGCTTGGGGGCACGTGGGGGCAGCAGTGAGTGGGGCAGAGAAGAGCACATTGTGGCGGGGGGGACTGCAGGGACTGTGGCCATAGGCGCCAGACCCTGGCTGGCCGTGGCATGTTGCAGGGTTTTGTCCTGAGCCAGTGCAGCAGGAAACACCGAGAGTGTTAATCACGGAGACAGTAAGATCACGTTTGCGCCATGAGAGGGGCCCTGGCCGGAGGTGTGCAGAGTGGACTGGAGAAGGGCCAGAGGAGACACTGGCAGGCCTGTTAGGCTGGTGAACTGTGTGTAGTTGTTGACTTTTGTGGATGTGTGTGTGTTAAGGGTAAATATTACTATATCTGCGATTGGCCTCAAAATAATCTGTTGGGTGTAGATGAAACAAGTCTGCCCACGAGTCGATTGTTGTTGATGCTGGCTAATGGGTACCTGTGTGTTCATTATGGTATTCACTTTGCTTTGTGTATATTTGAAATTTTCCACAACAGATATTTTTAGATATATTCATAATCTAGTGGTAGATGATGGGAGCATTTGTGGTGCAGGGATCATTGCGAGGTAAAGAGTAACAAAGCCTGAAGGAACAAATGCACCGAGCAGACCTGAGTCGCCCACGTGTCATGCAGCATCACAGGTTTTTGCATATGGTCACCACATCAAAATAGTGATTTGTTTTAAATTGTCCACTGTTTGCAGTTTCTTACTATGAACTAATTGCAGTCCGACATCCTAACGGCACAGGGGTGTCTGACACTGAAGAAGGGTTGCTCCCTGCCCTGGAGAGAGTCCGTTTCATCATTGTGTGTGGCCAGTGACATTAACCAGACTGAAAAAATTAAATGATGGCTCTAAACTGTATTTCTGAAATCAGCCAATGGGACACAGCTTTGTTGGAGAAGGAAGCAAAGATGAAGCAAATAAATATGATAAAATAATAACAGACTTTAAAAAAAAGGCATTAAATTCTCCTGGCAGATACTTAGAGATGTGATTTAAAATATTGAAAAATTAGAGATGCCTAAATATCCAACAGTAAGCAAATTACAATTTTTCTACCCAATGGACTTTTAAAATCATTAAAACTACTTTCAAATATTTGTTTATAAAAGAGAATAAATGTTTAAAGCATAAAAGGAAGAACACACACTTGGACATATATATACAGTATGGCCTTCATTATGTGTTTTTGTTTTTTTGGGGGGGGTTCAAATTAAGAGAACTTTATTAGCCGGGCAGGGACTGTCCCATCCTACTCAGAGGAGAGAGCAGTCTGTTTTTGTTTTTTTTTAAGTTTAGAAAAAAACTGGAAGGAAATATTAAAAAAATATGTGATGGTTATTCCTGGGATGAGATTATTGGTGATATTTAATATTATTTCCTTTTTTGCATTTTCGCTAATAATGAAGGTGAATTCTAGATTTGGAAACTGGAAAGATATATAGAGTAAGGATTTCCTAAGCTACTCTAGTTTTAGAAATGAGGGAGACATGTAACAGGGTTGACTCTGAAGTTCTGTGCGAGAGCAGAGACGCCGATCGCGGTGAAGAGCTGAACCGCTGACCCGGACGTGTGTCTTGCAGGTGCCATGGACATAGCTTTGGGCTCCGCTGCCACCGGGGTCTTCACCAATTCTTCCTGGCTCTGGAACAGACTGTTCGAGGTAGGAATCACATCGACCTACATTGTGGAGATGATTTTCTAGCCTTAGAATGATCCAGTTCTTCAACCCCTGTGTTAAAGTGACTTTTATGCTGTAGATTTGCCTTTGGATTGAAAGTGCAGTCAACTTGATTCAGTGTGCTTTGGGTTTTCTATAAATGTCTCAAAATTACGGGTATGATACCACCTTCTTCCTCTCCAGTAGCCTCACAATGAGGAGGAGATGACTCCCAGACACCATGGCCGTACTGTAGAGTCTCAGGTAGAAAGGTAACAAGGACAGCTTTGTAAAGGAAGGAGTGGCCTTAATGAATGTGTGGCATGAGCAAAGCAGGCCAGCATCTAAGTAGGACTTGCCCGGGTCCGTTGGCGGGGGAGGACGCCTCCCGGGGCTGTGCTCTGTGCCTCTGCGCCCCGCACAGCCAGCCTCTCCAGACAGCGTCTCGTCCCCACCACCCCGTGCCAGCCCATCTTCCACCCACTGCCATCAGCTTTCCTGCCAGCCCCACTCCATCAGCCTCACTTAGGCTGTCTAGAGGCAGCATGTAACTTTGTGGCCTCTTGGTGACACCTTGACCTTGGCTTCTGTAATAATCTCTGCTTCTCTTCATCACCGATTTCTCTTTCAGCTTCTGTTGCCAGTTTTTCCTTTGTCTTCTCCTTCGGTGGGTGTTCAGTCCGGGGCCACGTGCCCTTCTTGCTTGCAGTCTGCTCTGGAAGCTCATCTGTCCCGTGGCGTCCGCGAGCCCTCGGCTGATTAGTCCTGGCTCTCTCCTGAGCTCCCGCTTGGCTGCGAGACAGCTCCGGGTGGCACCTCATTCTTTCTTCTTTTTTTTTCTTTATTGATTTTAGAGAGAGGAAGGGAGAGGGAGAGAAACATTGATGAGAGAGAACATCGATTGGTCGCCTCCTGCATGCCCCCCACTGGGGATCGGGCCCACAACCTGGGCATGTGCCCTGACTGGGAATCAAACTGGCGACCTCTTGGTGCACGGGTCGACGTTCAGCCACTGAGCCACACTGGCCAGGCAGCACCTCATTCTTTCAACAAATAATTAATGGGACCTTACTGTGTGCCAGTGGGACAAATACAGACCGTCCCTGAATACATTCTTGATGTTGGTCTAAGGTCCTAGACTACTTTTCACCCTCAAATCTTCCTGTTTGTCTTTGTCCTCTTGCCATTTGTGAAGCCCTCCCTACCCCACCCCTGTGCTATCAGCTCTGTTCTCTCCTTCCAGGCTGGGCCACCATCCTCTCCTCTAGCCTCCCATGCACCCCATGGCTCTGACTTAGCACACACAACAGTGTCCGATTTTTTTTAAATGTAAGCTTCTTTGAAAAAAATCAAGGTGATATGTGCATAAACATTATTTAAATAACAGTTAACAACAAGTAAAAGTCTGTTTTCTGAGGGTAGCACCATCAGCCCTTGGCTGATTCATCTGATATTTACTCAGCTTATAGTGCTGCTTCCTGACTTTTCACTCTTCAGTCTCATGTTTGACCAGGGTGTATTAAAACACTGGTCCCGTCGATGGCTCAGATATTACATTCTTTATTTCTCTAACACTTGGTGATGCTCAGTGGGAGTTGAGTAAATGTGGAATGAACAAATGAGTGTGTAAATGATGACGTGAATGAATGAGGCCACCTTGTCTTGGAGTCTGGGCTTCAGTGGTACAGTCCAGGCGTTTCCCCAGCCCACCAAAGGTGACAGCATCACTGTTTCACAGCTTGTATGTGCTACCGGATACCAGCTCAATAATTTACACAGAGACTCTGAATATTAGTTTGATGACTTCAGCAAATGCCCTACAAATTTGTGGGATTGTTTTACAACATACTTGGTTTCTTTTATAATTCTCAAGTAAATTTTAAAATTAAAAATAGAGTCATTCTTGCCCAGCTAGTGTGGCTCAGTGGTTGAGCATCGACCCATGCACCAAGAGGTCATCAGTTCAATTCCTGGTCAGGGCACATGCCCAGGTTGTGGGCCAAATCCCCAGTGGGCATGCAGGAGGCGGCCAATCAGTGTTCTCTCTCATCGATGTTTCTATCTCCCTCTCCCTTTCAAAAATCAATAAAGAAAAAAAATTAGAGTAATTCTAGAACCTGCTATGTAGTTTAATATTTTAGAATAATAGGTCAGAACCGCTCTTTTCTTCCTCACAACTCCACATTCAGTGCCGAATTTAGCGCAAACCTCATTTCATCCAGGCTTCCAACTGTTGTGCCTGTCTCCTCTTTAGGCCAGTGTTGAGACGGGGGACCGTGTCTGGAGGATGCCTCTCTTCGAACATTACACAAGACAGGTGGTGGACTGCCAGCTTGCTGATATGAATAACATTGGGAAGTACAGGTATGTAGAGTGAGCGGTGCAAGTGCTTGTTTGCCATCATCACTGGTTGCCAGAGTGACCAGTTTCGATTTTAGCCCCATTCACAAAAGGTTTAACTCTCCAATTTTCTCTTGATGTAGTGCTTGTAAGCACTAATTTCTAATGTCTTTCATTTTTAAGGTATTTCCCAACTGGTTCTCAAAATTTTGTGTATTTTCAAATCTGAAGGTCATTTTAGATAAATGGTAAGGGAAAGAGATGGATAACATAGGAATTCATTACCTTGGGAAAAGGGGAATCTGGAATTTGTCCTTTACGGCTTAAAGCTATATCTGGAGCCTTAGCCAGGTGGTTCAGTTGGTTGGAGCATCATCCCATACACTAAAAGGTAGTGGGTTCAATTCCCTGTCAGGGCACATGCCCAGGTTTTGGGTTAGGTCCCCAGTTGGAGCATGTATGAGAGGCAACCAATCGATGTTTCTCTGTCACATCGATGTCTCTCTCTCTTTCCATTCTCTAAAAATCAGTAAACATGTCCTTGGGTGAGGATTAAAAAGAGCCTGGCTGGTGTGGTTGAGCATCAACCCATGAACCAAGAGGTCGCCAGTTCCATTCCCGGTCAGGGCACATGCCCAGGTTGTGGGCCAAATCCCCGGGGGGGTGGGGAGCATGCAGGAGGCGGCCGATCAATATTCTCTCTCTCTTTTTCTTCCTCTCTCTCCCTCCCACTCTATCTGAACAAAAAATGGGCAAATGTCCTCAGGTGAGGATAAAAAAAAAAATTGGGGTGAAGATAGATATCTGGAAGCAATTTCTGGGGTTTTTTTTTTAATCTTCATTCGAGGATATTTAGATAGAGTCGGGAGAGAGAAAGAGAAAGATCAATGTGAGAGACACACATCCCGTACGACCCTGACCTGGGCTGGGGATCAAACCTGCATCTGAGGTATGTGCCTAGGAATCGAACCCACAACTCTTTGATCTGATGGCTGACGCTCTAACCACTGAGCCAAACCAGCCAGGCCTCGGTTAACTTCTTAATAGGTCTCATAAGCTTGACTTGCTCTCTGATCATAGAATCTGTTTAGCAAGAAGGAGGATCTTTGGAGTAAAATAGTTGCTTCTGTCTTCGCAGATCCGCCGGAGCGTGCACAGCCGCGGCGTTCCTGAAGGAATTTGTGAGTCACCCGACCTGGGCTCACTTAGACATAGCAGGCGTGATGACCAACAAAGACGAGGTTTCCTACCTGCGGAAAGGCATGACCGGGAGGCCCACGAGGACCCTGATAGAGTTCTTGGTTCGGTTCAGTCAAGACAGTGCTTAGTTCAGATACTCTAAAATCCCTTCATTCTCTCTTAAATGGGCACCTGAGCTTCAACTATTTTGCAGTGGATGAAAGTCTTTTAAAGGAACAAAAGATGGCATTTAAAAATGTAGAACAAAATGAAATTTGTATGCCTTGATTTGTTTTTCCATTTTTATGCAGGGGTTCAAAAATATAAAACTGGTATCTTGTTTGGCAAAGATTTTTAATGATTGAATATATATGATGATTGAAATTTTTAAAAACTACCTAATCACTTTTCAGAGTATATGTTTTTAATTGAGGAGTAAAATTTGTTTCAGATTGTGGTGCCAGGAACATGAACAAACTAAGTTACTGTGCATTTGTCAGAACCAATAAAGCCAGCTTTTTGTGCTCCCTCGCACGACTCTGGTATTTCCTAGGTACTATGTAAAGCCAGGGACTATATAACAGCCTTGTTATGGGAACTAAGTTGAAGCACAGGGATAAAGGTATGATCTAAATGTCAATGATCACTCTGTGGCACTCAAGGACGAACTTGTCAGTTTGTGATGTAGGTACTTTCATCCCCATATTAAAGGGGAACGAGGCACAGAGAGGGTCAGTAACATGCCAACAGTGTCACAAGCTATGGGAAGCGGGATTTAAACCAGACAGCCTGCCTCCAGAGCTGGCATCCCGTTACACTATAATGCCTTCTTTCCGTTCAGTGACTTAACGAATGTGCAATCTGTTTGAAATGCTTAAATAAGAAACAAGACCATAAAAGGGACTGTCACTAGGTCAACTATTTGCCTAACACCTAGGACTACACCCAATCAACCACAGTCCATTTGGCATGGGATGGAGCAGATTACCTATGGCTACGATGTGTGCCTTTTTTTTTTAAGACTGAGAAATTTGACAGGAGAAGCTCTTTATGGAGTTTAAAATATTTTAAAAACTTGCCATCTAAGAAGAAGCTGTTACGTGTCTACACCGGTATATAGAGAGCGAATGGAGATGGCCGTGCATGTCCGTGTTATTAGAATGAAAATCAGGCAGGAGTGGAGTAAATGAGTTCCTCCAGGTATCCTGTTTAGAAAAGGTGAAATCGGAAGGTGGAACTACCAGCTTGTGAAGGGAAACTAAAGTTAGATTCCTTCTGGGTGATTCAGAAGGCAAAGTAGGGATACAATGGAGGCTTTCTATCAAAGGCCTTTTAGAAATAAAAGAACAATAGAACTCCTGTTTACTAGAGTGTGAGATACCAAAAGCTTGGCACAGCCCTTGACTCATGTGCTTATCTAATCTGACTGATGCCCACGCATCTGGCTGCCAGGATTTCACAGACCCTCACTGGAGCCACAATCTGAGGCAGGTGGTGGTATCTGAACCCGTTTTAGTGAGAACTAGGCATGGCTGTGGAGGGCAGCAAATCGAAACCAGTAGTGGTTTAGAACAATAGTGTTAAAAGTTGCTGAAGCAGAGAATCCAAAACTCAAGTAGCCCCACAGGCTCAGAAACGTGCATCACCACCATGGCCTCAGGCTCCCCAGTCCCAGGTCGCTGCTGGGGTTGAAGGCTACCTGGAGATGAGGAAAGGGAGCAGGGATTAACACATGTTAAGGAGCTTTCACTGAAGTCCCACATAATGTGCGTATATCATCAACCAAAGTAAACCATGTGACCACCAGGGATTTGGGGACATGAAGATTAGCTGATGAAAGGGGAAAAGGGGACAAGAAAGTGGCAACTAACAGTCTCTGGGACACCACTGTAGAGACGAGGAAGCTAAATAAAGAATGTCATATCTGAGCCATCGACAGGACGCTCTAACTGCTGAGCAAACCCAGCCAGGGCTGTTTTAAAACAAATTATATTATGTCACTTGTCTTTTCTCAGTGGTACTCAATCTACGCCAGGCACTGCATTCATCTCCCTACGTACATCACCTCTTCTCAGTGAATTTGATGCCAGGCACAGTTCTGGGTGTTGGGAGTACAGGTGAAGATAGGCAGGCCCTGACTTCATGGAGCTTGCACTCCAGTTGCTGTGTCATATGTGTAAGGCAACTTAGTCGATGAAGAAGAAAAAATTAAGATAATTGCAGATGTTTAAGTGCTGTGAAGAAAATGAAACAGGGTAAAGTGGCTGAGAGCGTGGGTTTAAGACTAAGGCCAGGCCCTGGCCAGTTTGGCTCAGCGGTTAGAGCCTCGGCCTGTGGTCCACAGAGACCCAGGTTCGGTTCCCGCTAAGGGCATGTACCTTGGCTGCAGTTTGTCCCCGGCCCTGGTTGGGTCGTGCAGGTGGCGGCCACTCGATGTGTCCCTTTTACATGTCGATGTTTCTCTCTCTTTCTTCCTCTCTCTCCCTCCCGTTCTATCTGAATAAAAAAAAAAAAGGAAAAATGTCTTCCGGTGAGGATTAAAAAAAAAGACAGGCCAGGAAGATGACCTTTGGTCAGAGACGGATTGGCAAGGGGAAGGCCCTGCTCTCCCTCTGACCACTCTGCCCTGCGTCACTCACTCTGGCCCTGCTGGCTCTTCTGTGGTTCCTTAACTATGCCAGGCAGTTTCCTTCTTCGGGGCCCCTCTGTCCAGAAAGCTTTCCCAGTTACATTTCCTCTCCAGTCAGGCCAGTGCTCATCTCCCTGGAGGGCCCTTTTCCAACCACCCATCTCAAATCCATCACTAGCCATCCCTTGCCCAGGATACTTTTTTTTTTGTCTTAGCACTTATCTCTACATGGATTGCTATGTATATTTATGTGCTTATTTGTCTCTCCCACAAAAACAATGGTAAACTCCACCAAGGCAGACACGTGGAGCGATGTCTGTAACACGCAGATCATTAAATAGTACCTGGGACACGGAGGGCTCAATAAATGTGCTGCATTATCACATTTTGTATTATATATAACTGTAAAATTAAATACAATAAAAATATATTTGCCTCCCGACAAGATAAGCAAGTGTGAGAAGCAGGTTATTAGAACGTGAGCACAGTGACGTTCCCTCTGAAGGGACCATAACCACCTAACGGCTCCGAGCCAGGACAGACAGGGAGCCCAGCAGTGTCGGTGGCTTTGTTACCTGCCTCTCCCCAGAGGATCGAGGGGGACGCTGCCCGCTCGTTCTGGCTGCACCCACAGTGACCGCAGGGGGACCGGCGCACAGCGAGCTCAGTCAGGCTGCCTCCAGCCTCCCACAGCGGTAACCGGAGCCCGAAGAAAGGCTCTTGGCTAAAGTCACCCCGAGCGTGAAGGCCCAAGTCCGGCCCAGCACAGCAGAACCCTGACTTCGGCGGGAGGGCTCGGTCCAACGAATGCACCCCCTTCCCCACACAACCGGGTCCAAAGCAGTCCAAGCCCTCAATTGTCAAGAAAAAGAAAAGGAAAAGCCCGGCGCCCTCTGCGCGGGGAAGGGGGAGGAGCCAAAGCACGTAGCCGTCACGTGACCAGGTCGCCACGTGACCCCGCCCTCCAGCTGTTGCCCGGCGCAGTGGGCGCTTCCGTTCGTCTCGGGAATGGCAGCGCCGCTGGGAGGCATGTTTTCCGGTCAGGCGCCCGGACCCCCGCCGCCGCCGGGACTCCCGGGCCAGGCTTCGCTTCTTCAGGCCGCGCCAGGCGCTCCGAGGTCTTCCCCGAGTACCTTGGTGGATGAGTTGGAGTCATCTTTCGAGGTAAGAGGAGCGCGGGGGCGGGTGTGTTCCCATTCTCCCCGTTTCTCTGACGGGTAAGCCGCGCGTGCGCAGGCCGTCTCCTTCAGCGATCCCGCCTCCTACTTACAAATGGGGAAACTGGGTCAGAGAACGTTAGTCCCTTGTTTTCGTCTCGGCGGTGAGTGGGGGCCAGTGTCTGCGCAGGATTGCTGGCGGAGACGCGTGCGCTTGGCATTTCTGGTGGCACGTGGGCTGGGAGTTCGCCCGCCCCCCACTTTGGGACCCTTCCAGGTTCCCAGCCGACGATCGCACCACCCCGGTCCTTTGTCCCGCGTCCCTGCGTGTTTCGCGAGGGCCCGTCCTCACGCGACCCTGAAGCAATGGGGCTCCCGGAGCTGAAATGGGCTTGTTTGAAAGCTGTGCGGGACTCGATATTAGGGGCCGAGGAAGGAGAAAAGCAGGAGGTTGGGAGGGAGGGAGGCAGAGGTGACCCAAAATGTGGGTTTGGCCCAAGGAGTGTACCCTGTAGCCAGAAGATGGGGCGTCGTGTAGACAAAGGAGGTAAAAGTAAGTGCTTTGGTTGCTTTCAGTGGTCTCTCTCAGAGGGGAAGATGAGCCTTTGTGTGGAAATAAAATAATAACATCTCATTGGAGTGACATTTTTCAACATTTTAAACCTTAGTCCTGTGAGTTTTATACTCTACCTATATGACAGCACAGTACCGTATGGGTCTAGTTTGTAAATGAGTGTATTATTGGGGATGTATGTGCAGAATGCTTTTACTGATGGAGTGTACATTCAGAAATTTGGAGATAACTGATTTAAGGTGCTAAGCCCTTGGCCGGCAGCCCAGGAGCCCGGCCTCCTGTGGATTCCCTGCAGAGGCAGGGCGCTTTGTACCATCGCCTCTCCTCCTCCCTCCCTTCCCCTTCCCTTCTCCTCCCTTCTCGTTCCCCTCCCTGCCCTCCCCTTCCTCCTCCCTAAATAAAAATAATAAAGGTGCTGCGCCTTAAAGGAAAGGGACAGTAAGCTTTAGAGCAGCATCTGGCCTAGCGGCGAGTGCTTGCGGAATGACTGGCCCTGTGGAAACCTTGGCCAAAGGAGACCACCAGCACTCTAGTGCTGGAAAACCCTTTAGTGTCCACCTGTGGCTCTTGGGATGAGACCAGAGGTTTGCTGTGGTTTCCCCAGCTCTTCATGTTCAAGTCTCATGTTCTGGCCACACGAGACTTTTCTGCATGTGCCATTTCTTTTGGGGGCTTCCAGGTCCCACCCTAAGCTCTCACATCCCTTCCTCAGGGACCCTTCCCTGGTGCTCTTTGTAGCACCTTGCACTGACCAGGCTCTGAAGTCCGAGCACCCCACACACACCACCCCTTCCTCCCATGTCTCTGTAGTACTAATGGTACTAGTGGTAGCAGATAGCAGGTGCTTGATGAGTGTTAGTCCAACAGTGGAGGAGCCTGTGGTGTGCCGGGCCCTGTCCTGGGTGCTGAGAACACAGAAAACAGTCCCTGCGATGACAGCCCAGTGGAAGAAACAGATACATGGCAGGCAGTTGCCGCACTGAGGAATCAGTTCTCTGAGAGAAGAAACCTGGGATTCTATAAGGGCGTGGCTGTCAAAGAAGGCTTGTCAAGACTCAGCTCTAAGGCCACATTTTCATTTCCTGTTCCCTTCCTCGTGGTCTTCGTGGACCTCCGATCCACAGCCTCCAGTGGCTCATGGCACCTGCTTGCCCACTTTTATTTCTCTCTCAGGGCCGCCCCAGGAAATCTCTGGCTGGCTCATTCTCGTTGCTTAGATAATGCTCTTTGGTGGAATGAGTTGATTGAGGTCACACACTCTCGTAGGTGGGAAACTTGGAGATGATCCCTTCCTTTTACAGATGGAGAAACTGAGGCTCAGAGAGGGGGAATAACTTGCTCAAGCCCTCTATTTGTGGACATGAGTCCTACCACGTGGGCCTCCTGACTTAGGCATACTTGGCTAAAAAGCATATTCTTTTTCTAGACCACCACACATTTTCTTCTCTGTGCAACTGTCCATAGGCCTTTATAGGCCTGTGTGTTTAAAGTTTTTTTTAAAGGGGCATGAGTATACTAAAGTTCCTGAGATCAGGCTTCCTCCCACCCTGTCTGGTGGCCCAGCTTTGTTGGCCAATGTGTGACTGGTTTGCTTCCTGGGTGGGATGTTTTCCAGTCGCTGCAGGATTCATAAAGCAGGGCCACCCTGCTTATATGCAAATCCAACAGGAGTCATTTTTCAAAGTGTTACATGGAATGGGAAATCTGTTTTTCTGATTTATTGAATGGTTACAGAGAATTGCCTGGGGGAATCTGTGATTTTTCTCTATGAATCAAATGGTGGCAGCTGCAGGGCTGACATAATTGTGTCATCTTATGTCACTCATGATCAGCCTCTTGTGCTTCCACCTCTTTGCCCATTTATTTTCCAGAGGTGACCAGTGCTTCTGATTTCTTTCTTTTTTTATTTTTCTTTTTTTTTTTATTCTCACCTGAGAACATTTTTCCTTTTTTTGTTCAGATAGAGTGGGAAGAAGAGAGAAAGAGAGAAACATCGATGTGAAAGGGACACATCGAGTGGTTGCCACCCACACGACACAACCAGGGCCAGGGATAAACTGCAACCGAGGTACATGCCTTTAGCAGGAACCAAACCCAGGTCTCTCTGGACCGCAGGCCGACGCTCTAACCGCTGAGCAAAACTGGCCAGGGCCTTTCCATTGATTTTTAGAGAGAGTGGAAGTAGGAGGCGGGAGAGAGAGACATCAGTGTGAGAGAGACACATCTACATTTGGGCCCAGATCTACTTGCCTTATACCAAGTGTGGTTTGCTCGCTGCTGACAGGACTCTACTTTCCTGAGGTTTGAGGCTTCCCTTCTGACCCCTGCCCCCCCAGCTTCCATCCCATTCTGTTTCTGGCCCCGCTGCCCTGTGATAGGCCTTGGTTCATAGAACTCCCTGGCTGAGTCACACATACATCTGGATCGTTGTCCCTTTAGGGAGAAACCCTCTTTGGGACTTGTTTACCCACATGATACCACCCTTGTTCTTCTCTTGGGCCGTCCAGTCAGTCATTCCCGAGTGTTCATTGAGCACCCACTTGGTGCTGAGCAGTGTTCCTGAACTGGGTGCAGAGTGAGCAAGGCGAACTTCTCACCTGCGAGTAGGGCACAGCTGATAATGGACTAAAAGAGTGGAACGCTGTCAGTTAGCTGTGGAAGACAGTAGCGCTGGGCTTGGGGACAGAGCGGAGCAGGAGGGGGGCCGTTTCAAAAGGGTAGAGGGAGGTGGTCTCTCTGAGGAGGTGGTGGTCGACCTGAGTCCTGAATGGGTGATGCAGGTCATGTGAGCATCAGAGGGAGAAGCTGTGGGTAGGACTGGAATAGGGGTCCAGGACCTGGTGTGGAGTGAGATAGTGGGGAAAGGAGTGAGTGGCAGGAGAGAGACCCGGCGGGGTGCTGACATTCCAGCTGCCTCGTTCACTGGCTGTTCCTTCGTGGGCCTAATCGAGCCACTTTACCAAGTTTCTTCATTGGTTCGATGCAAACCATGTGTTATCAACTCTGAAGTAAGATTTTTGATGTGCGAATGACACTCTTTACTTTTGTGATATGTTTTGATCACACAGGCTTGCTTTGCTTCTCTGGTGAGTCAGGACTATGTCAATGGGACCGATCAGGAAGAAATTCGAACTGGTAAGAATTCCCTTTTTTAGACAACGTTCTTGCCTTCAGCAAGATTTCTAATTGCTGGTTATATACTTTCTATGTTTAAGTCCTGCTGGTACCCTAAGAGAACTTTTCTGGGGAGTAAGATTTATACAGATCATGTCTGTATACTGGTTCTCTGTTCAGTTTATTAATTGACATCTTATGTCATTTATGATCAGTCTCTTGTGCTTCCTACTCTTTGCCCAATTTATGTCCCCAGAGGTGGCCAGTGCTTCTGATTTCTTTTTTGTTGTTAATCCTTACCTGAGGATCCTTTTCCATTGATTTCTAGAGAGAATGGAAGGGGGGGGTAGAAATATCGATGTGAGAGAGACACATCGACTGGTTGCCTCCCGCACGACCCGGACCCAGGCTGGGGATCAACTTGCAGTCCAGGTACATGCCCCTGACCAGTCATCAAACCCACGACCCTTTGGTCCACGGACTGATGCTCTAACCATTGAGCAAACCCGGCCAGGGCTGATTTCTCTGTACTGTATTTTAAATGATACATTTTAACTCGAATCATGCTGCTTGCTGCAACTCTGGATTGTCTTTGTTCTGAAGAACTGTGTGTTGTAGTACGGTCTCTTATTCACCTGATAAAAGTACGACTTATCTACTATTTAATGTTGGTTAACACATGGAAGGTTAGGGGTCAATATTATTGCTGTGACCAGCATTAAAATCCCAGATGACATCTATGAAAAGGTGATGTTTTGATATTCTGACTGTTTATGTATGAGGGAGATACTTGTGTCTAATACTTTCTTGACTTAATTTTTTTTTAAGGTGTTGATCAGTGTATCCAGAAATTTCTGGATATTGCAAGACAAACAGAATGCTTTTTCCTACAGAAAAGATTGCAGTTATCTGTCCAGAAACCAGAGCAGGTTATCAAAGAGGTATGAGCTTCGTTTTCTCCTCCACTTTAGGAAGAGCACATGCCATCAGGGTTCCATCTCTGCTTAAATGGTAGTAAATGAAGACCTTATCGCATTAGCCACAGTACGCCTTTATAGGTGGAGCACAGATGTCGCTAGTTGTCAGAGTTCATGGCAACCTGGCCAAGTCGTGGAGGAAAGGCGCGCGGGGGAAGTAGGCCTTCCAACAGAGCAGTTGCATATACTGGCCCTCAGGGAAGATGTTTCCCAAAGGAGAGGTTCCTCTGCTTGACCAAGGTTGAAGAGCCTCATGGAGGCAATAAGCTCCTTGTGGACAGGAGCTGTGATCTGTGTTTCCCCAGTTGCCTAACACAGTGCCGTATGCACAGGAAGGGCTTTGTCAAACCTTGTTCAAGGAATCAGAGGTCACTGTTCTGTCCCAGCTCCTCCGAGCTCAGGACCTCACGTCCTCAGCTGTTTGAAAGGGGGCATTTGGAAGTGTGTTGGTTGCCAGGGGACTGGAAGGCTCCCGTGGCACGTCACGTGCTGGGCCAGGGCCTGCCCCTGCCTGCAGTGTGGGAGAGGGAAGGATCGTCCTGCCCTAACGGCCGGTGGTGCCCCTATTGAGAAACTCTAAACTGAGATGACCATTTTGGGGACAGTTTTTGAAATAACTACTCCCACAGACTGACCGATTAAAATGTTCTTTGTATTCATTGGTATCACCTGTTGAGGTGAGTGGTGAGGAGGAGATATTCTTTTTTTTTTAATCCTCACCCGAGGATATTTTTCTGTTTATCTTCAGATAGAGTGGGAGGGAGAAAGAAACGTGGACATGAGAGGGACACATCGACTGGTTCCCTCCCACATGGCCCCGACCAGGGCCGGGAACAAACAGCAACCGAGGCACGTGCCCTTGACCTGACTCTTCGGTCCGAGGGCCGATGCTCTAACCACTGAGCCAAACTGGCAGGGCAGAAGGAGATACTCTTACACTTCATCATGTCAGATCATTTTCTGACTTGAATACTTGAGTAGTAACCTAGGTGTGTTCAAGGCCAGGTCTTGATAAAGAATTACAATGCTAGCATTCATGAAAAAAAAAGCTCTTGAAAATGAGATTTTAACTCTTCATAATCTGAAATGATAGAACAGTGGTTGTGGATTCTTTTAAATAGTTGTTGCTGTGTAGTTCAGATTCTGTTTTAGGTTCTCGGCAGTTGCCTTTGGACAGAGGTGCTGAGGGCCTGGGCCCGGCTGGGAAAGAGCCTGGTTTCTTTCTGGCTGCTCTTTGGTAGTTGGGGCTATTGTAACTTGGGTATTACTTATTGAAAGAAAAGGAACTGAAAATAAAAACCGTCGAGGCAGACATCTCCCATCGGAAGTGTTGCCTTGGTTATTTAAATAGAGAAGCCAAGCAGAGTAATGGGCTTTGTGCAGTGTAATCAATTCCCTTTGCTTTGAGTTTACTTCTTAGTGCTCTTAATTACTCAGGAGCTGTCTCTGCTTTTCACGAGGTTGCTCTGACTTCATCACCCTCACTTGCAGGATGTCTCGGAGCTGAGGAACGAATTGCAGCGGAAAGATGCCATGGTCCAGAAGCACTTGACCAAGCTGCGGCATTGGCAGCAGGTGCTGGAGGACATCAACGGGCAGCACAAGAAGCCGGCCGACATCCCGCAGGGCTCCTTGGCCTACCTGGAGCAGGCGTCTGCTAACATCCCCGCACCTATGAAGCAGACCTGAGTAAAAGCCGCCTGACAGCGCCACCACCTGGTGGCATGGCTGTCTATTTGGAAGAACTCTGCCAGAGATCCAGATGATCTGAGTTGCATGCTCCCACTTAACATTTCCCCCCATTTTTATAAGCTCTTATTTTTTTTTATTACTTTATAAAATGCCCATAGCTTTTGTAAATCAAGAAATATTTTTGTTTTTAGCAAAATGTAGACAGTTAGTGTGATGCACTAACATTTCTTTTTTTGCTTGTTTTTATCTTTTAATTTTTGTGTAACTTTTAGTCTCTTTGTGTTTCCAGTTTTAGATTAGTTTGTGTCATCTGAGGGAAAACAGTTTGATCTGATCTGTGAATCAGAGGGTGAGGATTTGGGTTATAGGCCTTTGTGTTAATTATTCCCCGGTGGTAATATGTAAAGATACATAAATTTGCCACAGTTCAAGACTTTGAACTACCTCAAGAAGAGGAATCTAATGCAACAATGTTTGTGATGTATCCAGCCTCTCAGAATGAGGATATTTTGTGAATAGGTCGGAAGAGGATTGTAATACCCTAGGTTATTGTAATATTACAGCAGGACCCTGAAGTTGATGTTGACTTTTATTGGGGGTAAGTTTGTATCTTGTGTGGTGCTTGTTTACATTTTTGGGTGGGGGTTGGGTTGGGGGTGTGCCGTAGGAGCAGTGATGGGCGAATTTTGCTGTGTTCTGCAGTGATGGATCAGTCTAAGCACAGACCCTGTTCCCAGTAGCATGGCTGGGGCAGAGGTGAAGTGTGGGGGTTAAAGCCTACTGTGATCATCTCTCTTTGTTTTGAGTTTTGCTTTTTTGAGCTGAAATTTTCCATTAAGGAAGGTTCTTGCTAATGGATGGTATTGATTCTAAGGGACAGGGCCTCGGGGTGGGGAGTGGTCTTCAAGGTGACCCTTGGTGACTTACTCTCCACAAAGAGCATTGGGGGCCTTAGCATTTGGAAAGATGGCTTACTCTCCCATCTGTCACACAGGCCGACAGGATTCCTTATTGTCGGTTGCTGAGAAATACAGACTGGCGCTGTGTCTGGCTGTCCCTGAACAAGGCTTTCCTTCTTGGTTGTTTATTGTCTGACTAGATTACATCCCTTTATCCCAAACAAACGCTCGCTGTCTTGTGGACGGGCAGTGCCTCTGGGGCTCGGGTCTTGGCTCATTTTGTTTTCTCAAGCCTTGAAGGCCCCTCCCCACATTGACATCCACTTGTGGTGCCCTCTGGTCTGGATGCTACCATATCCCTGCCGCCTCCAAATGCCTCCCTTCCACCTGCCACCTCCCCCTGCCCAGGACACAGGACTTCCTATCTCGTACTATACTTGGTGCTCCCTTGAGGGCTAGTAATTTGTATTTGTCTCTGTGCCCCTCATGAGAATTAGGTAATATTTTCCTTTGCATGTACAGGGATCATGTATTATTGGTTTTTCATACATAGTACTTATTACTCATTTTTGTTTGTGTGTATAGTATATAGCTGGGGGCCGCTGAATCCCCCCAGTGAAAATGTATGGGTTACACAAAGCTTTTAAAATTTTATTTTTTCACATTATATGACCTCAAGGTTTAACCTGGCCATCTCATGCTAATTAGAAGCTATGATTGGCAGCTTTAGATTTCATCAAAAAGCTAAATAAACAGATTAATAAACTGATTTAGGCATCTTTTGGTAATAAGGTTCTTGGTGAAAAGTTCAGGAACTGTACTACTGGGTGCTGAGTGAAAATATTGTGAATTTATCAGTTATTGCCATTTTTAATAAAAATCAAAAAATTTCTAGCGAATAATTTTTTATTCTTGTCTGTATGTAAATATATTTTTCCTTTTAATGACATCTTGCTGGTTGATGACCAGTGAGAAAGCAGCAAGCCATCAGCCTGGGGGTTCCTTTGCTCACTCCCATCGTGATAAACCTGCCCACATCTTCAGGGCACCTTTTCCCTCCTGTTCCATCTGCTGAGGTGCTGGCCCGTGTAAGCCCAACTTTCCCGAGCTGTTCTGGCCTCGGCCAGTTGCCTTCTCTAGGACTTGACCCCTTAGCCCCTGCATCAGCCATCTACTGGATCATTCTGTGCTGCTCACAACAGTTCTTTTATTTTTTCTTTATTTGTTAGAGAGAGAGGAAGGGAGAGGGAGAGAGAGAGAGAGAAATATCAGTGAGAGAACACCAGTTGGCTGCCTCCTGCATGCCCCCCACTGGAGTTCAGGCCCACAACTTGGGCATGTGCCCTGACTGGGAGTCGAACTGGTGACCTCTTCGTGCATGGGTCATGCTCAACCCCTGAGCCACACCGGCCGAACTCACAACAGTTCTTTTTTTTTTTAATCCTCACCCAAGGACCTTTTTCCATTTTTTGTTCAGATAGAGTGGGAGGGACAGAGAGAGAGAGAGAGAGAAACATCGATGTGAAAGGGACACATCGAGTGGCTGCCACCCGCACGACCCAACTAGGGCTGGGGACAAACTGCAACTGAGGTACATGCCCTTAGCGGGAACCGAACCCGGGTCTCTCTGGACCGCAGGCCGACGCTCTAACTGCTGAGCCAAACCGGCCAGGGCCTCACAACAGTTCTTGATCGCATGCTCAGTGTTCCCCTCCGTGCCTCAGCCTCTGCCCCTCTTCCTTGCCCCTTCTCTCCCTCCTACTCCAGGCTGCCATCTGCCCCTCCCCTGTGACCACAACTGTTGTGCTGGTTACAGTCACTTCACTGCCAAATCGAATGGACACTTCAGCTTTATTTCAGCTCATCCTCTTCAACATATCTGCCTTCTCTCTTTCCTCCTCCACCCAGCCCCTCATGGCATTCCTGCTTTGTCCTGGGCCTCTGCAGGCCAGAGGAGGGCCGCTCCGTCCTGGGGGCAGCGCCGTGGGGATGCCGTCACCAGGGCTCCGCCTTCGGGGCGCTGCGTGGGGCCAACACAGGCCGCGCTCGGTGTGACCGAGCCCTGGGCACGAAGCCCGGTCATACTGCCTGACACCCTCCCCTAGTGGGCGGTCTGACCTGCAGCGCCCGTCAGCCTGGCCAAGGCTGTCCCACCTGAATCTTCGTGGCCCCCCTTTCACAGTTGTCAGCCCTGTGTCCTCGTCTCAAGGCTCTTCCTGTCCTCTGCTTCCTCTGCTGTTTCTCCTACACAGCTGTTTCCCCTGAGTGGGTGGGGGAGAAAGCGGTGCTGGCGTCGCATGCTGACCTAGCCCTGCTTGGCCATGTTCCTCTCCTGCTGGACAGGGACGGTCTCAGAACACCGGTCTTGGACAAAGTTGCTTTGAGACCACGATCAAGTAGTACCAAAACCGCTTCATGATTTTGTCTAAACAGAAAAACAAGGTCACTGTGCTGCCCCCAAATCCCAAACATCCTCCTGGCTAAAACGAGTTACCACCTTTTTTAAAAAAAAACAAAACGTTTACAGCTTTATCCTCGCCCTAGTCTGGCCTCTCTGTAGATAAGATCTAAGACACCTGGTCATAGGATGGCCCCTACCTTCTGACAGCGTCCAACCTAGAGCGATTCCCTGCTTCCTCTGATTCCTTGGAATCACCCAAGGCCAGAATCTTAAATAGGTTCGAACACCGTTTTTCTGAGAAGCCCCCACCACGATGAGCATTTCCCGCTACGCAACAATAAACCCAACTTCAGCTACAGTGTGTTTCTGGTGGTCTTTGACCGAATGGCATGGGTATCTCATACATTTCTTGCACCTCTAATTGTGTCTTGGGGTATGTCCCCGGAGGCCCCAGCTGACGTGGCTGTCATGGACGTGGTCCGAGGGGGCAGGCAGTCGGGTGAGGTTTGGTGGCTCACTCACTGTCCCACTGGCAAGTAGGACCCATTCTGAGTGGTGTGTGAAGTACAGACAGTCACTGGCACAAGGGGCGGCCTGGGTGCTGAAGATGCCACCAGTGGTGCCCAGTGGAAGTGTTCCGGGGGAAGGGAACAGTGCAAGGATTCAGACACGGAAGGTCAAGAGAAGACTGCATGCAAGACAGCAGAGTCGGCCGATTGTCACTACCCTGCCTTGACTTCCAGCAGAGAGACAATGACAAAGTAACAGTGCTTAAAAGTCAAAGGCCATTGTGCCGGCCTGAGTCACCTTTGGTTGTCTCCTGCAAGGGGGGTGGGGGACAGACTGCTGAGGAACTAATAGGAGACAGTAGATAAAATAATAACATTATAAAAATAATACTGCATCCTGGTGGTGACAGTGGAGATGAGTCAGCACTACCCTTGCCAATCTAAAGGTTGTGGGGAAGGCGGTCCCTATCATAGCGCCTTTTAATGTGCAGAACCAGACGGAGCCTGGAGATTGAGTACAGATGGACCAAGTAGCTCCAGTCCAACTGCATCAACGCCAGAGCGGCTGATAAGCATGTAGCTATTGATCGGGTGAGTTCTTTTCCACCCCGGTTAAAAAAAAATTCGCAGCAATATTCCTTTCCAGTTTTGCTCCAGGGATATAACTCTTCCTCCTTTTGTCATAATATGACCTAGAGATGTATCATCAAATCCTGTTGTTTCTCCTTCCCAACTCAATCCTGAACCATTCATTTCTCTTCATCTCCACTGTTCCCTCCAAACCATCACCATCAACTCTAGACCACTCTGCTCTTGAGAGGTTGATGGAATAGGTTTTGCAAAAGAAGCCAAGAAGATGGTTTTATCAATTTGAGTTTCTTACTGTTATCTAGGGTACAGAGAGAGAATGTCAGTCACTGCCGGACAAAGTGCAAACTGCTAGGAGCCTTCTGGATGGGAATGTGGTCATATCAAACAAAGCTTAAGTGTGTATCCTTTGATGCTTTAGTTCAATGCTCAAGAAATATGTCCCAAAGAAAACATGATGGAGGCATGCCAAAGTTTAGTTAACAAATATTGGGTAGAATCTAGAAACTTAACAGGATCTGTCACTCACCTGAAACAAGAAAGGAGTCAAAACAGATGCAGAGTCTCAGTGAACACTATTCTAGTCCTGCAGCAGGTGTTACTCTGAGTTACAGGACAATAGAAGGAAGTGACACCTGCTTTGCTCACGAGTTGCAGGGTGGTGGGACAATGTTTCAACCAGCAAAAGTAGAAAGTATGTAGTCTTTAAAACATAAAATACAGACATAATCTTACAACGCTCACTCTAAGCAGGAAACCAAGGACAGCTACAAACTACTTGATACGGAAAAATAATACGGCATGTTACATGTATGGTAGCAAGTATTGGCAGTTAAATCATTTCATTGGGGCCATGTGTTTTAATTTAAAGGTAAATTTACCTTTAAATTATGAGTTTTGAGTTGAAATTGCATTGCTCTCAAAAGGACATAAGTATGTAAGCAGCCACTTTTTATTTGAAGATGATCCGATCGAGGTCAATGTGAACTTGCTATTTCCAAGTTCAGCCTTCATCTAATTTCATCGTTCTCCTTGGAAAATCAATACCAGTCACAGCCACGTTTATTGCCCAGTTGTTTAAGATTTTATTCAAAGAGCAAAGATTTGACAGTGCATAGAACAAACAACTGATTATGGGCCACCTTGCTGGGCCAGCACCAGAGGAATGGCATCATATTTTGCCCATTAAAAGATGTACTGAGTCTGTTTCAGTGGGTCAGGCAGCTCAGGGTGGCCTGACAGCGAGTCAGCACCAAGAATGGCCACTCCCCGCTCCCGTTAGCCTACCGAGCATCCATGCAATGGGGAAGGAACGCACCATGAGGCAAATGGCCCAAACCCAAAGACCAGAGGTTCAGGGGATCTTTGACTTGAAAGAACAGGTAATCCAGAAACCTTCACAAGTGACCAAGGTGACACTGCTGTCCTTGGAACTGAGATGGATGACGGGGCGAAGTCTAGCTATTCACAGAAAAACCTGGCAGTGCTTAATTCCAACTCATGATCCGGGTCACTACCCACACTGTTTTGCTTAATCCTCATACAGCCCCATTTTGAGGTAGGTGTTAGCCCCTCTATTATCTATGTCACGTCCTGGATTAGGAAATCAAGAGATTTAATCCAAGTGTCAAGGCCTGCTACCGTGTAGCCCCAGTCGTTTTGAATTGTTCTGTTTGTGTTTCAATTGGCGTTCCTGGTTATTCGGAACTTTGTTTTATTCCTCCTGTCACTGAGGTTGGAGGAGCATCCTGAATGACGTCACTTACACAGAAACACTCTTCAGGTGGATTCGACTTGCATCCTAAGGGATAATGAAGTCCCTTTAAAAGTAGAACACAGAAACCGCAACGTGGAGTGCAGTCTTGTGGATACTAGACATACACCAGGTAGGCCATCAGTAACACTGATAACATCTTCCCACAATGCTTTCTGATAACACAGGTTCATTTTATCCTAATGTCAAGAGGTTTTTAATAAAATGGTACACGATGAAACCGTGAAATGTCGATGCCAAAATCTGTTTTAGCTACTGTATGCAGATTACATTACAAAGGAAGTTATTTGGTTGATCGTGTTTGTTTGTTTGTTTAATTCATCCTTCAGTCAGATGTTTTGAAAGAAATGTTTTTCGAATGTCCTGTCTGTGATGGATCCCAGGGATCCATTTAGAAGGAAAAATACTTGGTAAACCACTCCTGGTGGGCAGAGCCCTGCTTCTGCTGGGCTTCTTTGGGTTCGGCTGTTTCACCATCTTGTGTCCTGCAAAACACAAACAAAAAGGTTTAGGTGGTTGTTGAGGTTTTGGAAATCACTTAGGAAACAACTTAGTACCCCGCCTTCTTTTCAGGAAAAGATAATTGCTTCTTTACTCCTCAAAGATACTAGAACATGACTGGCCAACACTAGCGTCTGGAAACCGGCTGGGAGGGGATGTCCGATTCCTGTTTGGAAAACAGAACGTTCTCCATTGTTTCACTTAAGAGCATGAGGCATTTTGGCAACATTTATTTAAGCACAAATTAATTAATAAACCCCACAAAAAAGGTGCAAGAGGGGCCTTTGAGATCTTGTTCCTGGCATATGTTGTCAGTTGGGCTCAAATAAACTCTTAAAAATTCTCTATAAGAAAAAAAAAAAAAGGTAAAAGAAAGGGCTGGTCAACACAGCATTACAATTTATGGCTTCTTTAAAAGTGATCTACTGCCCGACCGCTGTGGCTCAGTGGTTGAGCATCAATCCTTGCACCAAGGGGTCACTGGTTCGGTTCCCAGTCAGGGCACATGCCCAGGTTGTGGGACAAATATTCGGTAGGGGGCATGCAGGAGGCGGCCGATCGATGTTCTCTCTCATCGATGTTTCTATCTCTCTCTCCCTCTCCCTTCTCTTTCTCAAAAAAATAAAGAAAAAAAATTTATTTATTTTGCCAAAATGTATATCTGTGCTTATGCACATATACATGTTCCCCGATGACCTATTTCCACACACAACCCAAAATAAATACAGTAACAACTGTCAAAAAAAATTTTTTTAAGTGATCTACTGCCTGGTCGGTGTGGCTCAGAGGTTGAGTGTTGACCCATACACCAGGAGGTCGCCGGTTTGATTCCCAGTCAGGGCACATGCCTGGGTTGTGGGCTCGATCCCCAGTAGTGGGCGTGCAGGAGGCGGCCTATTGATGGTTCTCTCTCACATCAATGTTTGTATCTTTCTCCTTCCCCCTTCCTCTCTCTCTAAAAATCAATAAGAAATATATATTTTTGATAAAGTGATCTACTGTGCTCTAGCATCACAACGAGGCTGTGAAATTAGCCTGACAAATTGAAAAGGGGAAACAGTAAGCAGGAAAGTATGGTGTGTACCTGGGTGAATGGTGTCTGTCTGCAATTTTGGGAACACGGCCTTGAATAGAGGTATATGACAGTGAGCTGCTCTAGCATTAATACAGGGATGTGCTGGGGGCTCCCAGCCGCAGGCTCCTTAGCTGTGAAACAAAGGGCTGGGCTCATTTAGTGCCTGACTCCCAGGGGTTCTTGCAGCTCAGCTCATACAGATCTATGCCACCTCATTTGTCCAAATAGCCACGAGTAGGCAGGGCCTTGGGAAAAGGAACATTTTAGCAGCGGCCTGTTCTGAAATGCAAACCTCAAAGCCCAGAATTTAAAATGTGGCCTCTGAATGGAAGGCTGGATAGAAGGGACAACGAATAAAAGAATACAATCACGCTTCTCTTCCAGAAGCTGCAAGGCTTTCTGGGAGTAAGCAGGCGGTTTCTGAGCGCATCATGCACGATCATCCAAGCCCACATTCTAAGAGGCCTTAAAATTCCGAGATGATACAATAATTCTTGAGGAAGAACCTTAGAAATACCAGTGGGAATACACTGAATGCTTCTATCCCAGGCCCTGTGCTAGGCACATCCTATGGAGGAATTCCTCCAGCCTGTCACATCCGTCTGCCCTGTAGGTGCTGCAGCGTCATTTTAGAGAAGAGGGAATGAAGACCCAGAGGTCGGGTAGCCTGCCTGAGGCCACACAGCCGCGAGTGAGGAGGACCAGAACTTGATCCTGATCTCAAGGCCTGGGGAGTCCATCTGTGTAACCCACACTGAAGATGTCGGCTCAGTGACTCAGTGCCCCTTGTCTAACTATCCATGGGAAAAAAAGGCTTTCTGGAATTTGGTCCCAGGAATAGTCCCTCCTCTAAAGAATGGCACACTTCTCTGCTCTTACACGATCTTCCCATTTGGCTGGACTGTCGGGTCTCCAAGGCAGGGCTCGATGTGCTGCCTGTGCACCTGCCCACATGCCGGGGATTTAACAGGTGCCAGAACGGACTCCGGTTTCCCTCCTACTGTGGGAAAACGGAACCCTGGCTTCTGCGCCTACCTTGTGGCAGTTTTCACATCGAGCGACTGGGAGGGTTTGTAAGGCCGGCCACCACTGGGGCTTGGGTCCAAGCTGGGTGACTTCGTTATTGGGGGGGCGTTGATCCTGGAGCTCAGGTCACCACTCAGAAAGTTCTTGGCGTAGGAGGCGAGGTTGGGCACGCTGACCACTCGGCTGGGCACGTCCTCCATCCTCTTCTTCTGTTTGTATTCAAGGAAAGGCCGCTTAGAGTCCCCCAGAGACGGCGGTTGTAATAAACAGGCCCCCCAGCCAAACCGACGAGCGAGGACGCAATGCTTGGTTTATATACGTCCATGCTGTTTTTTTTACAGCACTGTCCCTCGGATCTGGTTTAGGTTTTAAAAACACATGTTCACAATCTCTTCTCTGAAATGTCTGGGCACAGATGTGTTTTGTAATTCATAAATCTGGTATTAGATTTTCAAAGGCCATGTAACACCCCCAGCAGGGGCTGGGCCCCTCTGGCCCAGTGCATGAATATTTCTGAAGCAAAACTTACATTTTGCCACACACTAAGAGGGATGTATACACATCGTAACTGATCTCGCAGCAGTTCAGCTGAGATTAGGTTTTTGCCCTGTGAGCTACAAAAGAATACTAATTTTTTTTATTGCCTTTAGGATTTGTGATAGCAGACGAGACATCTGGAGGTGAGTATTCTCATTGTAACAAATTCCCAAAACAGATAAGGAAAAGAGTGTTAGAAGGAGAAGACTCCTGCTCTTCTCGCCCTTCTTCTAACCACCAATTATTATTATAGTCACTATTAATAGCCACACATTTACTTACAGAAATTTGAAAAAGATGAAAAACCCATAAAAAATAAAAACGCACACCATCGTCCTAGCCAGATATAAACACTGCCTAAGCATTCATACCCTTTGCTGTGGGTCTTATTTCAATGAGCGTCCTTCTGACTGTATCCCAGCCATTGACAGACCAGCTGCAGCTGCCTCAGGAAAGCGACACCAGCAGCACCGTGCGCTGCACTGAACCCGGCAGAGCCGATTTACCTTCATGGAAGGGGTCAGGTAGCCTGGGTGAGGGTTGAAGGAGAAGGACCGGTTCCGATGGGACATTGCACTGGGGAAGGCTGCATAGTGGAATCTCCTCTCCTCCTGGAAAACAGTACAGCTGAGTCTAGGTGAGCCTGGCCACACAGCATGGTTGGAGTGGAAGGAAGGTGGCATGTGAGGGTGGGCCACAGAGACCAGGGAAGTCCAGGAAGGGGGGCGGGGCTCAAGCTGCCATCCACCGAAGCCCTGAGGACGCGCCTTTACTCCTGGGAACTTTGTGTCCCCAGCCCCTCTTGCAAAGCAAAGGGCAAGCGTATTTGGAATGCCTTGGGGGAGTCAGAGACCCAGCAAGCGTATTTGGAATGCCTTGGGGGAGTCAGAGACCCAGGCACACTCAGCATGGGAGGAGCACAGAGTTAACATACAGGTAAAGAAAGAAGACTCCCAGGTATACTCTCTGTGTAGCCGATCTGGTTCATTCTGGTTCATGTGTGTCATCCTCCACTTTTTTCTTTCCTTCTACATTTTTTTTCCCTAAGATTTTAATTTTATTATTAAAACAAATTTTTTTCTTTGATTTTTAGAAAGAGAGAAAGGAAGAGGGAGAGAGATAGAAACATCGATGAGAGAGAACATCGACTGGCCGCCTCCTGCATGCCCCCCACTGGGGATCGGGCCCACAACCTGGGCATGTGTCCTGACCGGGAATCGAACCAGTGACCTTTTGGTGCGTGGGTCGATGTTCAACCACTGAGCCACACCGGCTGGGTCTTCTACATTATTTTTAAAGCAAATTTGAGTCATTGTAGTTTCATCTATAAAAACACCAATGTGTATCTCTAAGAGATAAGGACTCTTTAATAAAAAGTAAAACCACAATACCTTTGTCACACTTAGCATATGAGAATTCCTTATTAGCATCATGTAATTTTCAGTTCCTGGTAAGGTTTTCCTGATTGTCTCATCAACGTCTTGGCATGAAAGAGTGTGGCTGGGGAGCAGGGGAGCAGGGATGGGAGTGAGCCGAGGAGAGGGGTGTGTGTGCGTGTGTGTGTGTGTGGCTCTGCAAGCCACTGTGAGGCTGTGAATTTTACTCAGAAAGATGGAAAGCCACGGGAGGTGAACACAGCCATGCTATGATCTGACTTATATTTTCACAAGATCACTCTGGTTACTGTGAGGTCAGCATAGTGGAGTGGGGCTCACGTAAGGGGGAGACCAATAGACTGGCCACTGTGCATGTGAGAAGCACTGGGGCTTGGACCAAGGCTGTGGAGGTAGGCGGTGGGAAGCACCCGGACTTCTGATGTGGCTAACTAGCTCTCCCCCGTGAGCCCGACTGGCAGGAGAGCTGACTGTAAGGCACTGGCAGCTGCCCAATGGGGCGGTACAAACCACTTCTTTTTTTTTTTCATCCTCACCTAAGGACATTTTCCCATCGACGTGAAAGGGACACATCAAGTGGCCGCCACCCACACAATCCAACCAGGGCCAGGGACAAACTGCAACCAAGGTACATGCCCTTAGCGGGAACTGAACCCGGGTCTCTCCGGACCGCAGGTTGACACTCTAACCGCCGAGCCAAACCGGCCAGGGCTTGAACACAGCACAGAGCATGGCAAGGCTGGGTTAGAGCCTAAAGCAATGGTCAAAGTATAAGGAGACACCAGTGTGGGGTGGGAGGACCCAGTGAATGGGCAGGAAGGGCGTTTCACAGAAATGGACCGGATCACCCTTGGTGGATGCCAGGTACAGAATCACAGGGAGCCCGAGCAAACTTTTCTCCCTAGGGGCCCAGTGGGTAGCTTTGCTGACTGGCAAGCAGGTGGTCACTTGTACAGAAAGATCAACAAAAAATAAAGAAGAACTGGCCTGCTTGGATCTCCTAGAATTCAAACATTCTAGATCCCCCCAAATTCTGCTGGTTAAAAACAAAGAAGCCAACATCTGCCGTCGGCAGATGCCGTGGGGCTTGGGAGCAGAGCGACTTTTTCTTGCTTTCTATTTTCCTGTGTTAATTTTTTTTTAACGGAGTATGAATATTTTTGTACAATAGAAAAACATAACCAAGAATAATTTGTGCCCTGGCCGGTTTGGCTCAGCGGTTAGAGCATCGGCCTGTGATCCGGAGAGACCTGGGTTCGGGTCCCGCCAAGGGCATGTACCTCGGTTGCAGTTTGTCCCCGGCCCTGGTTGGTCGTGCGGGTGGCAGCCACTCGATGTGTCCCTTTCACATCGATGTTTCTCTCTCTCTCTCTCCCTCCTGCTCTATCTGAACAAAGAATGAAAAGTGTCCTCGGGTGAGGATAAAAAAAAAAAGAAAAAAAAGAATAATTTGTGAGGTGGTTTTATGGTTATCAGGATGAAAACCTGAGGTACCCAGCAGAAGGCCAGGTGCAAACTGGAAAGCAGGTGGTCATGAATGCCCCCCCCCCCAGGAACTCCGAGGAGCCCCTGCAGGGCCGCTGGCTGCCCCAACAGCCTCACCGTGAGCTGCTTGATGATCTCCTCTCTCTCCTTCAAGCGGGTCTGCAGGCGGCCTATGAGCTGCACGTCCTCCGGCCTGGACGCCCCCTTCCCTGGCTTCTCTCCGGAATCTTTCAGTCTGTTTCAAGCAGACATGAAGTTAGCCCGTCACTGCAATTACTCAGCCACAAGCAGGGAGAATAGGTGATGACATGTAAGGAGCCACTGGGTGGCCAGCCACTCTCTCTGTTCACAAAGGGGAAACAGGCCCAGAGAGCTTGCCCAAGACCATCCAATGAGTTGGCTGCAGGGCTCAGGGTGGAGTCCAGGACCCCAACTCCCCGTGTGACCTTGTCAGTCCCCCCAAGGCTGCAGGGCCCAGGAACCAATGGTCCCTGTGTGCAGAGAGATGCTGCACTTAGTGTAGCTTCCAGAACCAGGTATGTTCCGGATAAGAAGTCTCAGTAGGAAGTGGCCCCACCCAGCCAATGCCCGCCCACAGACTCTGCTAATACTGATGTGACTCTGCCGCCATCTGCTGGCCGATACTGAGTATGGCATGAGTTGGTTCCTAGGCAGTGCAGTGAGGGCAGGGCAGCTGGTACTCACAGCCCTTCAGCTTGAAGCTGGAGAAAAGAATTCTCCAGATGGTGGGGAGAGGGAGGGTTAGGGCTGCAGATGATCTACTGACAATAGTCGATAAGAGGCTAGGACTTTTCGGTGAGGTGAATTGGGATCCAATCCCAGCTCTATTTTCTAGCTATGACCTTGGGTATAGCATTTCACCCGTGAGCCTCAGCTGCTCCTTTAAAATGGGTGTGACATGGGGTGGTTGCGAGGATGCAGTGAGATAATGGGTGCCTGGCACGTGGTAAGTACCCATTAGAGGGCAGATGGCAAAAGCTTCCGCTCCAGATTTTGGATGTTTTGCTTTGTATTAGAGATGGCGGAGGAGTTTTCCAGAGCGCAAGCTCAGGGTCAGACAGATGACATTTAAATTCACTTAGTGCTGCTGAACCTGGTGTCCCTGATGCTACCCCCAATCCTCCAGTCTCTTAGCAGCCAGAGTGACCCTGTGTAAAAGTGAATCAGACCATGTCCCCTCTGCTCAGAGCCTAGCAATGACTGTCCAGTGCACTCTGAGTACATCCAAACTCCTCCCTGTTCACTACAGAATTTCCCTCATGCCTCCAAACTACCTCACCAACCTCAGTTTCTACCACTTACCCTCTTGCTCATTCCACATAAGTCACATGAGTATTCTGGTTGTTCAGACTTACGAAGCAGGCCCCAGGGCCTTTGCATTTGCTGTTCTGCTTGAAATTATCTTTCTCCAGATCGCTCTCTTCTTCCCTAACCCCTTGTGCACAGATTTCACCTCCTTAAAGAGGCCTTCCTTGCCCACCCTTGCCACTCTCTAGAAACTGAGAGTTTCTTCTAGCACTTTCACTACCTGATACAAAGTATTTGTTTCCATATTTCTTGTCGGAATCCCCATTAGAACTTGTGAGTGCTATGACAGCAGTCTTCGTTTTGTTCTCTATGGTGTTGTAGAGCCTAAAAAAGCAAGCCCTAATATTTGGAGAATGAACAGATGAATTCCTGCATTCGTGCACAAGGACCCTTTGGTATTGTCTGTCCATAGGAATAACAATTTCCTCCTTGACGGACAGCTGTGAAGATTAAATGAGATGATGTGTTAGAAGAGGGCCAACACTAATGAAAAAGGTAGCCTTGATCCTTTCGATTTCTTCCCAGTGCGAGGGTCAAACCCAGCCTGTGAGGCAGCCTCACTCCTCAGAGTCCCAGGGCCGGCCCGAAAGGGCAGTATTATAACAGGTGATCAACCATCCCAGCTTGTTTGGGACTAAGGGCCTTCCAGGAACTCCAGACTTTTAGTTTTAAAATTGGGAGAGTCCCAGGGACGTGCGATAAGTTGATCACCCTCATAAAATGGCACATCAATTCGTCCTTCCTAACTTGGAACGAAGGCCTACTTACTCGGTTTCCAGGGCAGCCAGCCGGGCCTGGAGCCGGGCTTGAGCGCTGCTGAAGTCTGCCACCATGGCCTGCATCTCCTTCCGGTGTTCCTGGCGTAGCATCTCCACCTCCCGGGCCCGCTGGGCCTGCTGGTCCTCCTCCAGCTGCCTGTAGTGGATGGAAGCACAGCTGGGCTGACCCAGGCTCTAGGACCCACCTCTTGAGCACCGGGGTTTTCTCCCCCATCTGCTGGGCGTGAAACAAGGGGTGGAAGGAGGCATGAATTTAAGGTCAGGACATCGTGGGAAGGACACCTGGGGTATCTGAGTTGTGGGGTCCAGCATAAGCCCTGCTTGTGGGACCCCTTCTGAGCACCTCCCAGCCCAGCATTCCATGAGGAGCGGCCTACAGGGGGGAGGGATAGGAAACGGCTCTGGGGGAGTCCCAGGAAGCATGCCCGTCACTTGGGGCGGGTGGGGAGACCTGGATGCAGAGACTCTGTATCCGAATTACTGAGAGTTGGGACTCTGCACCAGGGAGATCCCCAGTCCCGGTGGAAAAGCAGGGTGGGATGGGGGGAGGAGAGCACTGTTCAGAGCCAGGCTGCCATGTCTGTCCACAGCCTCCTCCGTCACTTCCTAGCTGCGTGACCTTGGGCAAGGTACGTCCTGCTCAGTGTCTTCGTCTGTTAAGTGGAGGTGACAACAGTGGCTACCTTACAGGGTTATTGCAAGAATGGCCACGTCCATGCACGTCCAGAACAGTCTGTAGCACAAAGTGCATGTTCAACCAGCAGCTATGACTTTTCTTAACCTATGTGTGGGGATTTAAGGGATCCACAGACAAGCCTCAGGGGTGGTCACCCTCAGAAAGTACGTGTGATTATATCTGCCCCCAGGAGAGGGAATACTGCTTTTCTGAACTGGGGGTGAGGGGGAGTGGCTAACCCAAAGTGGTTAGGAGTCCCTACCCTGGCCCTACCTCATTCAGTGGCACAAGGTGAGTCCCCAACTGAAACTGACATGACCCACCTTGGCCAGGTGGGCTTACAGCTGTTTCTTAGACAAGCGTTTCACTTGCACAACTATTTTCACTTGAACAACAGATAAAATGGACAAAGTCTTGGTAAGATATAAACTGCAAAAGCACACTCAAGAGGCAACAGATAACCTGAAATCCTGTAGCTACTGATTAAAATCGTAGTTAGGAACTTTCCAAGAAGTGGAGGGGAGGGGGCGTTCACTTGGGACTGACGATGAGCGATCGGACCTGGATTAGGTAAGAGCAACGCCACGGGTGACCGGGTGCCGAGGCCCTGGCATACCCTGCCCTGGTCCACAGCAGCCCCGGGAGGTGGTGGTGCCATCTCCGTTTTCCAGAGGAGGGCGCTCTTGGAGAGGCTGGCGGACCCCCCCGGCCCACACAGCTGGTCAGGGGCACGCAGCACTGTCTCCCTACGGCTGGTTTTGAGGATACTCTGGTAGCGTTCGGTCTGATTCCGTAAATTCCCAGATTGGCAGAGAAATTGGGTTCCCACCTCTGTTTCAGGGCCGATCCTCTGCCGTTTTGACCCAGAATTCCTAGACTTGTCATGCGTCGCGGGAGTCACATCAGTGACGTGCTAGGGCGACTTCTTTGGGAAGGTGCCGATGGGGCGACCCGATTTAGATCTCCGAGCCTCGCCCGCGGCCGCCGAGGGAGGGAGGGAGCGGGGAGCGTTGGGGCCGCACACCGACCTGCGCTGCTCGCGGAGCTGCAGCGCCTCCTGCTGGTGCTGCTCCACCTCGGCCCGCAGCCGCCGCACCGTGTCCTTGAGCTGGGAGTTCTCGCGGCGGAGGCACCCCTCGCCCGCAGGCTGCTCATCAGCGCCCTTCGGGGGGCCCGCTGGCCCTGGGCCATCCCGCTCCTGGGAGGCGCAAAGCAGAGCAAGGCTCAGAGGCCCGCCCTCCAGCCTCAATGGCAGCAGGGAGCCCCTGAAGGCCAGATACACACGCACGTTAGATGCATACCAGAGGCAGACAGCGGACTGGGGGACAGGTCTGGGCTGCGAGGGGGTCACTGTGCTACCTAGCTAGGTCGGAAATGTGGGTGTGCAAGGAAGGGGCCACTGGGCCGAGTCTGACCAGGAAGTTCGAGGACAGTGGGCCTTGAGCTCCGGGGACAAGGCTGCCCCAGGCATGGGAACAGGGAGGCCTAGGCAGGGAGAGGAGCTCAGAGTTCCCCTCCCCACAGACCTGAGAAGTGACCCGGACTAAGCCCTGTCTAGTACTAACGCTCTGAGAGGCTGCTGTGTCTGAATTAAAAACATGCGGAACTTAAAACCCGTGTTTTACTTTACAGAGAGTGGAGCCTGCAGGCTCGCTGGGTACCCCCTTGTGGAGGGGAAGGGTCTTCCCCATTTCACGAGGGATCAAGTACCCAGGGCCTCTCCTTTAGGAGTCCGTGGTGGCCCTCATTGCTCGGAGAGGGTGTGGGTGGGCAGGCCAGGGGCGCTGACCTCCGCGGTGTCGGTGTGGCCTTCGCTGTCCCCGGCACACTGGCCGATGGCCTGCCGCCTGTCGCAGCTGCCCAGCGCCCCCAGCTCAGCCCGCAGCGCCTCCAAGTCCTTCTGGTGCTCAGAGCAGACGGCCTGCTGCTCCCACAGCTCCTGCCGGAGGGACTCTGCAGGGGGAAGAGCAGCAGGTCAGGCGCAAGGTGAAGGCTGGGGTCCGCCCTGGGGTGGGGGCTGCTGAAGGCTTTGGATCAAGTTCTCCAGACTTATTCCAAAATGACAGTAACAGGAGTTCCATGTACAGTGCACTCAGTGTGCTAAACCCTGGAAAACTGTTCCCTGAAGCCTTACCACCACCCTCTCCAGTATTCTCTCTCCCATTGTATGATGTGGAACCTGAGCCTCAGAGAGGTGCAGTGAGTAGCCCAGAGCCACCCAGCTAGTAAGTTGTGGAGTCAGGATTCAACATTCCCAGTGGTTCTTCTTCACTCTGCACCACCACCGCTGAGCCATTGCCGCGTGGTAGGAAGGCGGGGGTTCGGGTGGGACAGCCTGAGCCAGCGCTGAACCCCGAGGCAATGCTGGACCCCAGCACCAAGTCTAAAAGCCAGCAGAGAACAGGGAATGATCAATGCCCAGGGGCCCCTTCTGGGGTTGCGGGTCTCAAGTTGGAAATTTTTACATTTATGCCAACTCTTAAGGAGACCGAACATTCACGAGTTCTCCTTCCCGTGGGTGTGAGGGCTTGGCTGGATTGTGGAGGCAGGAGATGGCATGTTATCCCAACAGAATCAGGATTAAAGCCAGAATCATCTGGGAGAAACACACAAGCCCTCCTTAGCTCAGAGAAGAGTACGGCCAGAAACTCACATTTCTCCCTAGAGGATGGTGGGTGATTCCTAGTGGTGTCCTGGCATGATTGAAAGGCAAAGAAAACAATCCTTTCAAAATGACTATTTTCTGATAGAGTACACGCTATTCAGTGAGCTATTTATTTTTTTACAAAGAAGATAATTTTTAAGGGCTAGCAAATTTAAGACATTTCTGTTATGAACTTTTGAGACTATATTTTAGTTATTGCAAATAACTTGAAATATTGTCCCAATAATTCCACATGCCATAAGGTAAGCATGGGCCTCAGGACATAGCTTGTGCTGAACATACATTTGTAAAATAAGTGAATGCTGTTTAGAGTAAAAATCAATGATGCTGTAAAAGTGTATTAGTTGTGAAAGATTTCCCATATGTCTGCTAAGCTTCTCTCAAAGGCATAGTATATTAAACACATAGAAGAGCTTAATATATTCCGATGACATTATGTTGAAAAACTTACTTGGTCATCTTTTCTCCCCAGGACGGTTTTAATAAAATAACTTCCAAAGCCTCTTTTCTTCAAAAAAGAAAATCCAGACACAACCCCATTTTCTGAAATCCTTTATCACAAAATTGAAATAAAACCCTTTAGCAAAGCATGAACTGTAGTGTATTTACTCATGATTCTCCATTCTTCTCCCACCAGCCATCCACTCACCCAACCATCAACTCATTCATCTATCCATCTGTCCGTCCATCCATCCACTCACCCAACCATCAACTCATTCATCTATCCATCTGTCCGTCCACCCATCCACTCACCCAACCATCAACTCATTCATCTATCCATCTGTCCATCCACCCATCCACTCACCCAACCATCAACTCATTCATCTATCCATCTGTCCGTCCATCCACTCACCCACCCACCCATCCACAGATCCACTCATCCACCCACCCAGCCAGCCATCCACAGATCCACTCACCCACCCACCCATCTACCCAGCATGTCTGGGTCCCAGCCCAGTGTATGGCATAATCTCCTGGACACTCGCCCTCTCACCCCTCGCATGTTGACCTATACTGCAGGTCAGGTGTGTCTCATACAGTCAGTGGAAGAGAGGTAACTGGGGCCCGGAATATGTAATATTTCTCTGTCGTGGGATGTGCTCCCCACCCACCCAATACCACCCAGGAAGCCTGCGATTCACTATCATCGTATGGAGTCCTTTCTTCTTGGGACTGATGCTGAGAATCCCAGCCCGTCCCCAGGGCCTCTCCTGACCCCTTTGTCAGAAAAGGACCGGGCTGCTGTGCGGTCAGAAGGACCAGCGAAGGGCAAGGGGGACGTCAGTGCCAACAGCTGCTGGGTGTCCGGCCTGATCTTAACTTGGGGGGTCTTGTACCTAAGACATGTGGCACAACCTGAGTTTTATCTTCTATAGTGAATCTTCTGTAGATTCTGCTGACTTCAGCATTTCCACCACGGCTGCCTCCAGCCAGGGGAGTTGCCAACCTGGAAACCTGTGGGACTCTCCTCCTTCCTGCTCCCACCTCTCTTCCCCCAGAGGGACAGACTGTCTAGTGAAAACGCAGTCAAACAGCAGGGGAACCTCATTCACGGATGCAGGAAAAGAAACTGCTCTTCCCCACAGTTCTCTTAAGGAGAGCCCTTTCTGGGTCAGGAGAAATATTGAATAAGGCCAACATGGTCTTTGATGACAGGTGTGAAATAAGGAGAGTCATCTGTCTTGCTCTGAAGAGTGAGAGGAAGGTGAGAATAAAAATAAAATGAGGAAGAAAGATGATCTACAAAATGGAGAGAGGTCCCTGGAGTGGGCCAGCAATGTTGGAATACACAGTAATAACACTAGTGAACATTCGCATAGCCCGGTACCACATATTTACTTGTGTGGATCCCGTAACAGCCCGGTGTGGTGCATACCATTATTATTCCCATTTTACAGCTGAGCAACTGAGGCACAGAGCAGTGAAGCAACCTGCCCAAGGTCACACGGCTCGTGAGTGTTGGAGCTGGGCTTCAACCTAAGGCAATTTGACTCCAGAGTTCTTTCCTGCCTCTGGTAACTTTGTGTGGTTGGTTTTTGATGAGGAAACTTAAGAGGAGGTGAGTTTCGTGTTAGGGATCATGAGGGGGCAGCCAAAGGAAGCAGAGAACATGCAGGAACCTGGAGGTCTCCGTCCCCCCAATTTGCAGAAATCTTCAGAATGGAAATGAGGTGTTGAGATAATCCCACGACACTCTTATGAAGATCCAGAGATATGGTTTATGTTCAATAAGAATAATGATGATGATATTATCTACATTCACGGGGCTCATATTATATGCTAGGTGTTTACTATTTAATATCTTATCAAATCCACATTACACTCCTATGAGGTAGGGACAACTGTAACTCCACTTTCTAAAACAGGAAAATGAGGCTGAGAGCGACCCACCCCAGGTCTCACGGCTGGTCGGCGGCAGAACCAGGAGAGTAGCCGTGGCCCATGTGCCTCCAACCCCCAGACTTATACCGCCTGGGTCCCCAGGCCACCCTGCCGGGGCTCACACTGCCCAGCTCATACCACCTGGGTCCCCAGGCCACCCTGCCGGGGCTCACACCGCCTGGGTCCCCAGGCCACCCTGCCGGGGCTCACACCGCCTGGGTCCCCAGGCCACCCTGCTAGGGGGCTCACACCGCCTGGGTCCCCAGGCCACCCTGCTAGGGGGCTCACACCGCCTGGGTCCCCAGGCCACCCTGCCGGGGCTCACACCGCCTGGGTCCCCAGGCCACCCTGCCGGGGGTGGCTGGCTGTACCTAGCAGCAGAGCGTGCTGAGCCTGCATCCTCTCCTGCTCCCCCTGGAGCTCTTGCTGGGCCTTCTCTTCCAAGGCCTGCAGCTCCAGCAGGTGTGCCTGGTGCTGGATCTGGAGGCTGTGGCTGGATTCCTTTTTCAAGAGCTCCTCTGTGGCCTGTGGGGAAAAGTGGGAGGAAGGAGGCATAAAAGTGGGCACAGAGGGGGAGACCCGTCCCCTCTGCCAAGCACCCCCTCTGTGCTGGGGCCCAGCGGAGCACTCACCACTCCCTGGCAGTGGCTTATCAGTCTACTCTCCAATCTGTCTGGAATGGCAGTGATGGCCTGGCCACAGCAGCCTTTTTGTACCATGTGAACCTAACCCTGGAACACAGCTCATTGGATCAGAGTGCACCCCTGTTCCAAGTGGGACCAATTACTGGGAATCTGGTATTAGGAGGTGGGAAGAGAGAGAGAAACAGACAGACACTGTCTAGATGCCTCCAATTTAACACACTCAGGAAAACAGCTGTGCCTGCACCTTGAGTTTGGGACTTCTGACCTTCAGAACTGCAGGAGAACTGTGCTGCGTGAGGCCACCAAGTCTGGTAGTTTGTTACGGCAGCGATAGGAAACTACTAGAGTTTCTTTCTTGTTTGGCAGCTGAGAGTTCCAGGTTAGCACTCCTGAAATGGGGACACTGAGGCTGGGAGAGAGAAACTCGATTTTCCAGTCACACAGAAAAGATGCAGGAGTCACCACCCCCTCTTCGCCTCGTTATCTTCTGTACAGAGGAGGAAACGGGCTCAGGAAGGTGGAGGGACCCGACCCGACTGAAGACAGGGAGACAGGGACTGGTGGAGGCAGGGTGCAGGGCCCAGGCCGTTCCGCTCCCTCACGCAACCCCTGGGAACGGCGAGAAAGGGGTTTCACCAAATGCACAAGGCCCCCCTCAGGGGGAACAGAGCCACCCCCGGGCCACCCCCGAGTCACCCCTGGGCCTGTGGCAGCTGACCGAATGCAGCGCCTTGCCGATCCCCAGCAAATGGGGAGAACAACAGTCTTACTCCTCCCAGGGGACACCCAGTCATCCTGTGCTGAGTTTACTTAGTAAGACAGGAAAGTCTCCCACTATTCAAACGCTCCCATATTCCTTCCTCTTGCTACATGACTCAGAGAACTCCACGTGGTGACATTTTTATCCCCAGTGAAACAGGAAGGAGGAGAGTGAAGCAAAGGTTTGCAAAAGGCCTTGTTGGAGAAGCCAAAGGTGGCAGTTTGCTGTCGGAGTCAAATTCTGGGCTGCGTGAGCCAGAGTTGGTCCACATTACTGGTGAAGCAGGAACAACCCTCCTCAGTACAGGTGACACAGGTGGGTGGTGCTCAGAGAGCGTGGGACACCCACGCAGGCAGAGGGTGGTAGCAGGCAGTATTTGCCTTGAGAGGGAGTAGGCGACAGTGGCCAGTGGGTAGGGTCCCGCAGCGTCAGGCGTGAGGGCTGGAATGTGTGCTGTCCACATCAGGCCACAGGAAGGTAGTCACTGGTCTGGGCCAGGACTCTGAGGTCGCTGAGGCAGAATATCACCTGGTGTCCACACACACACGAACACCACTGTACAACTATACAACAGAAACCGGAAACAAAGCAAAAGCACAGTTGCAGGAACCAAAGAGAAGCCTCCTCCCTCCTGCAAGGTGCCTCCAGCACCCTCTACTGACAAAACTTAACATCGTGCTCTCTGTAGAGAAGAAAGGCTTCGAGAGAGCAGGTCATTTTTGCAGGGCGGACACCGAAGGATGGATTGGGAGCTGAGAGGCAGTCAACTGACAACAGAGGCAAATCTCCCAACACTTGATATGCCTGGTGACTTTTGTTCAGTGCTCACACTTAGTGATAGTTTTAACTGGATGGTTCAGAGCTGCGCTCTTGTCTTCCAGCTTCCGCTGCAGTTGAGGTGGTGACGTTCTGATTCAAGTACTTTGTGTTTGGTGGTGCTTTTCTCTCGGGAGCAGAATTTCTTCTGTTTCCCCGGTGTTCTGAAATTTCAAGATGAGCCTCGGGAGGTGTCTTTCTTATTGAGTTTTAGGAATTCCATTCTGTTATTTCTTTGAAAACATCCTCCCCTCCACCATCTCTTTCTGGAACTCCCATTTGTTAGATATCAGCCTGGATAATCTAAGCCAGAGAGACAAATAATTCGGTGAGACGCACGACTAAGCAGCTGCTATGCGCTGGGAGAGGATTCGGTGATGAACACAGAGAGATGGTTCCTGGCCTCAAGGGGCTTCCAGTTGGGTTGATCTGATTGGACAAAGAAGTAGTTAGCGTGAAGACTGCTGTGACAGGCAGGGCAGTGTGTCGTCGGGGCTGGCAGAGCAGGAGCCTCATCTCGTGAGAGCAGGAGAGAAAGCCTTCTGAGAACGCAGAAGGTAGAAGCAATGGAGAGCCGTGTTCGAACGTCCCTGCTGGAGGTCCTGACCCTCATCGCTGCTTTCCAAGCCTTTCAGAAGGTCTTTTCTGCTGAGCTGGTTTTTCTCAACTCTGGGCTGCCCTCCCCCTTTTTAGCCTGACTCCCCAGCTTGCATGACACAGGACATTGCCCAAGGCAGGAAAGAACATTGTTCTCCTGTTATCAAGGTCACGCGCACGTTGGGAAAAGCAGTACAAGGAACCCAAGAGCCGTCAGTCTGAATCCTGGCTTTGCCACTTACTAGCTGTGTGACCCCGAGGAAGCTGCTGAATCTGAGCCTCTTTCCTCACCTGGAAAAGGGCATCTGATCAGCAAGACCTCGGGAGATTACTGTAGGGACTGGGATGACGTACAAGAGGCACCCCGCAAACCGCATGGCCAGTGCTCAGTCAGTGGTGGACTTCATCATGAGCACCCTCACCTTGAGCGCTTGCTTGTTGGCCTTCTCAGGCAGGCGGAGGGCTCGCTGGTGGGAAGCCTCGTGCTGGGCTTTCCTGGCCTAGTTCTGCCGGATGGTCTCCTGCAGTTCGCGCTGCAACTCCTCCCGCTCGCGGTCCGAGCGCAGCCAGAGCGGCCGGAGCGCCCGCAGGTGCTCCCGGTGGTGGCCCGCGCACTGCTCCAGGGCCTGCTGCAGCTGGACACCTGCCTGCCGGGCAGCCTGCCCTCAGCCAAGCCCTGCCCCTCCCGGCTTGCCGTGAGAGATGCAAGCCTCCTAAAAGTCCACTCGGCCCAGCTGAGCCTCCTCCACCTGTGGGGACTCGGAGGGCTGGAAACCTGAAGCTGGAGGAATCTGTGGACTGTCAGGGGTCCTGGGGGTTCTTCAGCTACAGCCACAAGTGCCGGGCACGAGCAGGACTGGGATGCAAACCGTGCCCTCCAGGGACCTGTGTGGCCTCCTCACCTCCTTCAGGTGCTTTTCCGACGAGTCCACTCACTGTTAAACCCACTCCCTCATCACCAGCCAGCCTCCCAATCCCCTTTTTCCTTCTTCCTGAGCCCCTAGCATCTTCGCATATGTTATGGGCTTTACTTATTTCTTTTCTTTCTTTTTTTTTTTTTTTCTTTTTTGTACGTGTCCCTAGCAGGAACTGAACCCGGGACTCTGATCCATAGGCCGATGCTCCAACCGCTGAGCCAAACCGGCCAGGGCTTTACTTATTTCTTATGTCTAATATTTATGCTCTGTAGCCACCACCTCTGCTAAACTAAAGGCCCTATAATGCTGGAGTCTTTTTCTGGTTTGTCCATGGACGGACCCCAAGCACCTAGTGGGTGCTCATGAGCCGCACAGGTGTTGAAGGAATGAATAAACAGAACTAAGACTCCCAGCCTGCCCTGGACCTAGAATGCCCTCCACAGCTTGGCCGTGAGTCGAGCCCTGTGTGCAGACCCCGGTTGTCTGTAAGGACGAGGGGGAGGCAGGGGCTCACGCAGCATGAGGGCATGTCCCCATCATGGCTGTCCTCCTACCTGGGCTTGCAACCTGGCCTTCTGGCCCTGCCACTCCTCCCGCAGACGCTGGATTTCAGGTGCCTTCTCCTGCAGCACAGAGCCCCGTGGAGACTGCAGGTCACCGCCTTCCTTGGGGGGCACTTCGACCCTATGAAGATATGGAGGCCCAAATCACCAAAGATCCTAGGCCAGAAATGTCACTACCACCCTGATGCCATCTCAACCCCGCGGGGTGAGGGGCCTCCCGCGGCAGTTAGTGGAGTCAAAAACATCTTCTTTGGATTTCAGAAGCAACCTGACATATGCATTCTAAGTGTCATTGCCCTTAGGATACAATCAGGAATCAGCTGGCACCTTCTGACACCTGTTTTAGTGGGAACTGGATAAATGACCGACTGTTAGGACTGAGCTTAGTTATATGCGGTCCTTGGGGTTTCCAGAAGAGGTCTCCATGGTCTCATTTCACAGCTCCTCCTGCATATGGAGAACCCCAACAACAGTGCTTTACTTGAATCCAGTAATTCTCATGACATTTACTGGAGGTTCCCAAGTAGACACAGGGCGGTAATCAATAGGCCTTGCTTAGGGCGCAGAAATAAGGTGCTGGTTGACAGCTGCAGTCACGTCTGCATTCTGGAAGGGGTGCTGACAAAGGTCTCTGGAAGAGACCTTCCAGTCCTCAGCTCTGCTTCTGACCCAGCTGAGAAACTCAAACGTAACCGACTGAGACTGCGATGCGAAGTACTTCTCCTGTGTAGCGGTGTAAAGGGATGCCACGCCTCTGCGGAGGTTGCTGGGATGTAAGCGGGGTTCCGCTTCCTCTGGCAAGGACGTTATTAGGCCGAGGGCCAGAGCTTAGGAAGTCGGGCCCTGGACAATGAAGAAAGGCCGTGAGAAGGGGGGATCTGGCTTGGCAGAAGCCCCCGTAACATGGGCACAGGCTGGGGGTTATGAAGCACAGCCGGCAGGGCCCCCGAACGGAAGGGAAGGTGCCAGGAGCAGCACAGCAGAGCCAGACGGCTCAGCTCAAATCCAAGCTCCACTACTTACAGGCCATGTGACTGGGGTGAGACCTTTAAACTGCCTGGGCCTGGGTACCTTTCACGTGGACTATTATAAGGACTAATAGAGTAGATATCACCCTGGCTGGTGCTCGCTCAGTGGTTAGAGCATCAGCTTGTGGACCAAGAGTCTCAGGTTCAGTTTCCAGTGAAGGGCAAGGACCTTGGTTGCAGGTTCGATCCCTGGCCCCGGTTGGGGATGTGCTGGGGGCAACCAATCAATGGGTCTCTCTCACATAAATTTCTTTTTCCCATCTTTCCCTCCCTCCCTCTCACTCTATTTATTATTTTTTAAAATATGGCAAGTATCTGTCTTTTTCAATGAAAGCCACATCCTTTCAACTTTTTTTTTTATCCTCACCTGAGGACATTTTTCCATTTTTTCGTTCAGATAGAGCAGGAGGGAGAGAGAGGAAGAGAGAGAGAGAGAGAAACATCGACGTGAAAGGGACACATCGAGTGGCTGCCACCCACATGACCCAACCAGGGCCAGAGACAAACTGCAACCGAGGTACGTGCCCTTAGTGGGAACCAAACCCGGGTCTCTCTGGACCGAAGGCCGACGCTCCAACCGCTGAGCCAAACCGGCCAGGGCTCACTCTATTTTTAAAAAATCAATGGAAAAATATCCTCAGGTGAGGATTAAAATATATATATATATATTTTATATATATAATATATTATATATCATATATACATATATATATACATATATATATATATATATATATATATATATATATATATGTATATATATATAATGCTTAAAACCATGTCTGGCATATAGTAAGATTTATATAAAGAACTAACCAAACATTTGATAAAGAGAGACGTTTTCTCTCTCTGCCATCTAATTCTCGTAGGCTATTCTCAAGCCTTTTGAAGACGTGGTGAACTTCACCATCTTTGAGGAGAAATAAATGGAAGATGCCTGGGTCTAAAACAAACCACGGGTCAGGAGACAGCCAGAGGTCATCAACGAGAAACAGCCTCGAGCAAGAGTGCCGAGCGACACTACCAGGTTGGGTGTGTGGAACAGGTAAGCCCTCTTTGACCATCCCCGGGGAGGGGACTGGACTTCCTCTCAGGGCTGAGTTATTATTTTTAAATGTTTTGTTGAGGAAAATTTACATACAGGGAAATGCACAGATCTTAAGAGTACCATTCAATGAGTAGACAAATACATCCGACGAGCGTAAAACCAATACCCCAGTCAAAATATACAACGTTCATCACCCAAAACTCCCCTCGTACCCTCTTCCCGTCAACCCACGATCCACAGGCAGCCAAAGCTTTGATTTCCATCACCACAGATTAGTTCTGTGTCTGGCTTCTTGTGCTCAACATAACATTTTTGGGATTCACCCTCTCATTGTGTGTATCAGTACTACATATTTTCTTGTAGCTGTGTGGTATTTCATTATAAGAATATACCACAATTTTTTCATACCTTTTCCTACCAATAGCCATCTGAGTTACTTACAATTCTGGGCTATTATGGATAAAGCTGCTGGAAATCTTTTTGTACATTTGTGGTTATGTGTTTCTATTTCTTTCACTTAAATACCTAACATGGGATTGCTGGCAGGTGTACGCTTAACTTTTTAAGAAACTATCATGGTTTTCCGAAGTGGTTACACCACCACACTCCCACCAGCCATGGACGAGAATTTCCGGTGCTCTGCGTTGTTGCCAACGTTTCGTGTCTTTAGTCCTTCTCATTTTAGTCATTCTGGTGGGTGGCAAGTGGTCCCTCATTGTGGTTTTTAAGGTGCATCTCCCTGATGACAATGCTGCAGAGCACAGATGTACTCTTAAGATGAAAACCTAGATAACCAAGGGTAAAACTTTCTTTTTAAAAATACAAATAATTAAAGCTATAAATTGTCCTCTTTAGCTATATCCCACAAATTCTGATATGTCATGTTTTTATTATCACTGCATTAGAAGTGCTTTCTCATTTCCACTGTGATTTTATTTTCTAGCCTGCAGGTTATTTAGAAGTATACCGTATAATTTCCAAATATTTGAAGGCTTTTCTGGTAGTTTATTATTATTAAGTTCTAATTAAATTCTTTGTAGTCAGGGAAATATCTCTGAGATTCAGAGTACATATCAGAGGATATTCTAGTCTTTGAAATTCATCAAGACGTATTTTGCTGCCTTTCATGTTGCCCATATTGGTGAATATTCTATGTGCCTTGAAAAAAATGTCAAACATATTATCTAAAAATTGTTCAGCATATTGTCTATAAATGCCAATTAGATTAAGTTAGTTGATAGCGTAGTTCACATCTTCTGTATCCTTACTGATATGAGTCTAGTCTTCTAACCAAATGCTCAGAAAAGGGTGCCAAAATCTGCAATATGACTAGATTTTTCCCTTTGGTTCTCTCAGTATTTGCTTCGTTATTATTTTTTTTAAATATTTTTTTATTGATTGACTTTAGAGAGAGAGGAAGGGAGAGGGAGGGAGAGAGAGAGAAACATCGATGAGAGAGAACATCGACTGGCTGCCTCCTGCGTGCCCCCCACTGGGGATTTGGCCCACAGCCTGGGCGTGTGCCCTGGCCAGGAATCAAACGGCAACCTCTTGGTGCCTGGATGTATGCTCAACCACTGAGCGGCATCAGCCGGGCTACTTTGTTATTTTTAAAGCTCTGTTATCAGGTCACACACATTTTGGATAGTTGTGTCTTCCAGATGATTTGTCCCTTTACCGATATGAAATATCCCTTTTTAGTTCCTGGTTGTGTTCTTTGTCCGAGTCTACTTGGATATCGATATAGCCACACGAGTTTCCTTACATTTAATACTAGTGTGGACTATCCTTCGCCGTCCTTGTCCCTGCAAACCTATGGGTGCCTGTAGCAGGGCTGCCGTAACAGACACCACAGACGGGTGGCAGGCAAAGCAGACATCTGCTCTCACACTGCTGAAGTCTGCAAGGTCAAAGTGTCAGTGGTTTGGTTTCCCCTGAGGCTTGCAGAGAGCCACCCTCACACGGTGTCCTCACCTGGTGGTCGTTCTGTGTCATCTGTGTGCTACTCTCCTCTTCATATAAGGACACCAGTCATCCTGGGTTAGGGTCACCCTAATGAGCCCATTTTAACTCAGTCACCTCTTTAAAGGCCCATCTCTAAATACAGTTGAAGTCTGAGGTACTGGGGTTAGGGCCTCAACACACGAATTTGGTGGGGACACCATTCAGCTCATAACAATGTCTTTGCAATGAAATGTTTCTCTTGTAGATAGCATATATAGTGATCTTTGGCTGTTTCCTCCTCTCCGACCATCTCTTTTAGATGGTGTGTTTGTTTCATTTACATCATAATTATTGAAATGGTTGGGCTTAAATCTTCTTATTTTTTTCTTTATTGATTTTAGAGAGAGAGGAAGGGAGAGGGAGAGAGAGATGGAAACATCAATGAGAGAGAACATTGATCACCCCTCCAGCATGCTCCCACTGGGGATCGGGCCTACAACCTGGGCATGTGCCCTGAACAGGAATTGAACTGGCAACCTCTTGGGGCATGGTTCAATGCTCAGCCACTGAGCTACAAGGGCCGAGCTAAGCTTAAATTTTGCTATTTGTTTTCTATTTACCCGATTCTTTTTCTTATTGTTGTTCTTCTGTTCTTTTTCTACCTTCCTACCTGATAAATACTTTTCAGTTCTTTTATTGGTTTGTTGTTTTTTTTTGGTCCTTCTTTGTACTAATGTTTACTGTTCTATGGATTACAATTTGTACCCTTAGTCTATCATAAACTACTTAGTGTTAATATCATATTCTTCATGTACCCTTCACCCCACCCCTTCAGCTGCATGCATTATGAACCCTTAATACAATGTTATTGTGATTATTATTATACTTAAGCAGTTTGATGTCTTTTAAAGAAATTAAGAGGAGAAACAGTAGTCTTTTATATTTACCTATACATTTACCATTTCGGATGCTCTTTATTTTCCCCTATAGATCTGTGTTTAAATCTGGTGTAATCTCCTTTCAGCTTGAGTAAGTTCCATTAGCATGTATCGGATTGCAGGTTGGCTAGTGAAAAGTTACCTTAGCTTTTACGTACCTGAAAATGTTGCTGTTTCACTCCTGTTTACGAAGGATGTTTGGAATGACCCCATTCTACTGCCCCAAATTCCCTCACATCCTAAGGAGTCACCCCAGCCTGCCATCCGTCACAAAGCAAGCCACAGCTGACTCTCCTGACCTCCCCCATCCCTGCCCATCAAAACTACCCTGACCTGCTCGCCCCTCCCTTAAGTCAGCAGCCAACATGACAAAAAGCCCATTTCTGTCACAATCGTCCCTCATGGGGGTAACTGCGGACTATGCAACCCCACCCCCAAAGGAACCACTGCGGTTGTTCTGTCTTGCAGTCCCTGGCATTAGATCTCAGACAACCTTTCTATTCCTCCCCTATCACTACTTGCTCTTCAACTCTCACTAAAACCCTGTGTGAGCAACCTCCAGAGCCCCCACACCCTTCTTTGCTTCTATATTTGAGGACACCCCCTTACCAATATAGCCACCGTGGGAGAAAAAGACAAGGCTGTTGTGATCACCACCTGCTATTGGTCCGCCCAGCATCCTCTCCCTGGGAAAGTCTGTCCTCTTCCCACGGTGATCCTGTTTAGTCCATGGGGTTTGGGTGCATGGACCCTGCCCTCATTCCGGCGGTGTGACACATGCCTGGCCAATCAGAGCATCCCATCTCCTTAACCGGAATGATTGCGTGGGGATGGACATGTGACCCAAGCCTCTTTGAAACTGCTGCCGGCATTTTCAGGAAATAGATCCTTTCCCTCTGGAATTGTGACTTCTAAGCAGGACAGTGCCTGTGGCTGCCACTGCTAAGCAGGTACTAGGCTTTAACCTGGGGGCTGCCTCCAGGGACTGGCTTCTTTACCGGATGTTCCTTCTGCCTCAGAGACCCTGGGACAGACCCTGGAGGGTGCTATGGAAGTATCATTAGCTGGAGTGTTCGCTCGGCTACAGGTGGCCTGACCCCGCCCTTCAAGGGTTTATGGGTGTAGACCCTGCTCCCAGTGCTATGGTCTAAACGCTTGTGGTCCTTCACAATTTATATGTTGAAACCTACTGTCCAATGTGATATATTAAGAGAGGGAGCCTTTAAGAGGTGATTAGGTCGTGAGGATGAAGCCCTCTTGATAAGACTAGTGTTCTTATAAGAAGAGACATGAGAGAGACACTTCTCTCCTTCTCTCTGTCCACCCTGTGAAGACACAAAAAGAGGTCAGACATCTGCAAGCCAGGAAGAGAACTTTTACTAGGAACCAAATAGGCAACTTGGTCTTGGGCTTCCCAGCCTCCAGAGCTGTGAGAAATAAAGCTCTGTTGTTCAGGCTACCCAGTCTGCGGTATTTGTTACAGCAGCTGAGCTGACTAAGACACGGAAAGAGCATGTCCTCTGCCCGGCGGTATTTGTTTCTGTCTCACAACTTGCTCTGGCCACTGGAATATGCCGACTTCTATCAGCCCTTTCGAGCTTCTTCCCTTTGTCATGACAAAATGCTCTCCTCAGGGACTAATCCTCTAGCCTCCATCCGAGTGAGAAGGGGTGTGGAGCAGACGAACTCTACTCATGGTTTGGGGCAGGCAGCAACACCTGACCCTCGGCCAGGAGTCCCACTCATTTAAATAAGCCCAGCAAAGCTGGGCAGAGCCAAGAATCAAGGTAGCTGATCATGCCCTGGCGGTTTTGTTCAGCAGTTATCGCATCGGCCTGAAGACAGAAGGGTCGTGGGTTCGATGTACCTGAGTTGCAGTTTAGATCCCTGGCCCCATCAAGGTTGTGGGGGAGGCAACCAATTGATGTGTCTCTCACATCAGTGTTTCTTCCTGGTCTCCCTTTCCTTCCACTCTATCTAAAAATCGATGAAAAAATATCCTCAGGTGAGGATTAACAAAAAGCAAACAAACAAACAATAAAGGTAGCTGACCTATGAGCTAAAAATCAGCGACATTTTGGGAATGCTTGCTGCAGTAGCAAAGTGAATACAGATGACACAGATGGGGGATTTCCCCTTAGGAACAAAGCTCCCTCACTCCCTTAGTTTTGGTTCTGTCAATGTCCGAGTTTTGGTCTGGTTTACTAGCCTTTTTTGGGTTTCAGGTTCTTAACCTATAAACTGGCCTTTCTGGGTTGGTGTGACTACATATGATAGTTTGGGTAAAGCCCATAGCTGTGATGAAGACATACAAGACATGCCTGTTCCCTCCTTCAGCATGATGCAAGGAGCAGCGATAAACACTTGAGGGCAGAATGAATGAACGAATGAGCCCTTCCAAATCTGAGTCCCCCTTCATCAGAGCCCTCAGAAGCCTGCATGTCCTCCTGTACCTGTCCTCTTCGTCATTGCTGCGTCCTTCTTCAGCTGCTAACTTATCTGGGTACTCTTCTCCTCTGGGCAGCATCTGAGAAGGTTCATTCAGCTTCAAGCATGGATCCTAAGGCAAAAACAATTGCAAGATGAGACTAAGTACAGTTCCCTGATCCAAGCTGTGGCTTATCAACCCGGAGAACAGAGGGAAAGAGCCCCAGCAACCCACCGCTGGTGCGCAGCTCGCCGGCCTAGGGATGAGGCCTGTGATGACTCAGCACCTAGCAGGGGCCGGGCTTAGGAGCCGTATCAGGTCCTCGTAGTCTGTTTTCCAGTCGACCAAGCATTTTACAGGCTGATGGAACTAAATCATGGAGAACGTAGGTAAGTTGTCCAGGGTCCCACCATCAGTGAGGAGTAGAAATGGAATGTGCAATCAGGCACTTTGGCTTTGGGGCCTGGATGCGTAACTACCTTGTGATACTCTCCGTGTCTGACCCAGACAGTGGTCCTTGCTGGCCTACTCCACAGGCGGTTGTGGGGACCAGAGAAGAGTGCTGGCAACAGCTGTTGGGCAGTGAACAGCTGGTAGTATTATTACAGCCATTTTACAGGGGGCAGTCTGTGACATCTCATTACAAAGGGCCAGAACACATGGAACTTGCGGAGAGAAGTGGGGTACGGTGGGAAGAGAATATGGAAACTATGAGTTAACACTGAGGCTTTGAAATTTTCTATGAATTAAATTTGTTCATGTCATTCTCCCCTTCGCAGAGAGGTGAGAAAGACTTTCTTATTTGGATTGCCCTACTTGTCAAGGTGAGTGCTGTCCACGTAGATAAGTACAGTAGAACAGGCTGGGCACAGACTGCTTTGTTCTAGAAGTTTCCATGCCGCTGGTCGCAGGCCCAGGGCTTCGGTTCATGGCTGTGGACTCTCGGACATGGTGCCGCAGGCCAGTTCACAACCTCCATGCGGACCTGAGGCTCAAAGGTCCATCTCTACCTCCTGCTTTCAGGTATTTTGGGCCCTAAACATATCTTGGAGGTCTCTGATTCCTATAAAACCCAGAAGCAAATACCACAGTCTAAGCCAAACAGCTTTGGGAGACAGTTATCAATACATGTTCAGTGTAATTCAGAAGAAACTGGACAGTATGTATGGAACCACCACCACCAAAAACGAGAGTAGCCTCATACCACAGTGTGAATACATAAACGATGATGAAAGTTATTAGGTCCAGGTGTCAAAGGGGAGATGAAAGGTTATGAGGAAGTTTTGGTAGAAAGCACAAAATACGTTGGCGTAAACAGAACGGTAGCAGTCATCATGATACACACGAACTGGCTAAGTTCAGCGAGGATGTCCACCCTAGCAAAAGAAATCGGTCACTAAAACACTCTAACAGTGAAGCTGTAAGCGCCTAACAACAGAGCCTGAACACAAAATGGTCAGAACTGTAGGGAGAAACGGGCAAATTTATCACGGCAGTGGGAGATTTTAACGCACACCTCTCAGAAACTGATATACCAGGTAGACAAAATTAACTAGACTGTGGGAGATTTGGATAAGATTGATAAGCTAAACCTACGTAGCTTAAAAAAAAAAAAAAGACAACTAATCACTGCTGACATACGGGGGGTTGGGAGGGCCTCCGTATGTGCCAGGTCCTCACCTCCATGAGGGGGGCACCGTCATCCCATGTTAAAGGTGATGAAATGGAGGCAAGAGAGGGTATGTGACTTGTCCAAGGTCAAACAGTGACTATATCTCAGAACTAGAATTCAAATATGTGCACTTTAACTACAAAACTGAGAATATATGCTTTTTTTCTATCACGTAGGGAACATTAAGAAACAAAAGAACAGCGGATCCCACAGAGGGTTACAAGGCAGATCTGAACACAGTTCCAAGTGTTGATGTTCTACAGCTCATGTTACCTGATGGTGGTGCGGTAAAATTAGAAAGCAACAAGCAAGCAGGTTTAAATAATAAAATAAAAAAAGATAAAGTTCAACACTCTGAAAAACAGCTAAAGATATGCACTTAGTGGGACATTTACAGCCTTAGATGTACATATTTAAAAACATTCAAGAAGTTAGAGAAAGAATAACAGAATAACCCTAAAGTAAGTAGAAGGAAAGAGATGTAAAAGAGAAAATTAAGGATATAGAAAAAAAAAAAAATAGCCAGATCTGACCAACACATCTGAAAGCTGGCTTTTTGAAAAAAAAAAAAAAAAAAACACATCAAACTACTGGTAAGCCCGATCAAGGAAATCGGGGGAAGGAACTTACAGCAACATGACTGATGGACAGAAACCTCGTGACAGTTATCATACAGGTGAACCGGACCTTCAGACCAACTCCAAGCACTGCGAAGACCGTGGAGGGGAGTGTGCGGGACGTAATTGCTGGGCCACCTTATCGACCACATTTAAAGGTGTCCTGGGCAGGAGTCCAGAAACAGGAGAGGATGAGAAACACTGAGGAAGCTGACGATGCAGCTGGATGGCTCCCCTGCTCCCAGCTCAGCGCATCTGTCTGTTTCCACACGTTAACTCACGGATGCCTGTGACTGTGAGGTGGGCAGGAAAGACTCCACTGCCCTTGGGTGACATGCAAAACTAAGATCCGAAAGGTTCAAGGGCTTGTCTCAGGTCACGTGGCCACGGGAGGCTGGCACGAGGGCTGGGCCCCTGGATCGGCTGACCCCCCTCCACGTGACCGGGCTGTGCCATGTGAGCACCATCGCCAGATGCCGGAACCAGGACCCCAAACCGTGTCCTTACAAACATGCTGCTGAGAAACAGCTGCATGACAGACACTCAGAATCAACCTGAGAGATGCAGGCTGTTTCCCACATCAACAGGGAGGTGGACTCAGTGATCCTGTTTCTATTTATTTGTTTGTTTCCAGGCCCCTGGACACCAGAGACAGGGACATCCTTCCCAAAGAAAGAGATGAATCCCCTCCCCCCTGAAAGTAACTAAAGCACCCAGTGTTCTTCGAAAGCATCCTCCAGCCAGAGCAGATTTCGAAGTTCTTCATCTAACCTTGTAACCACTGGGACTCCAGATGGCACTGCCAGCCTATTCGTTCAGTGGTCATATCATGTCCCAGTTTTTATAAGAAAGTGCTCAGCATCAGCCACATGCCGTATGTGAGGTGTAGGAAGGAGAAAGATGAATAAAACACAGTTCTTGATTTCAACACACCTATGGTTCAGTTTGGAGGGGGGGGGGGGCGACAGGCCATGTAAGTGACAAAAACATCCCTCTCCTCTCTCTCCTACACATTGTTTACCTGCATTTTGGATCAAAGTACATCACGGAGCCATTTAAATCCTTCACAAATGGACTTGACCACGGAGATCAAGAGGGGCTGAGAGAGGGCTTTCGAGCCCACCAATACTTCTCTCAGATGTGCACTCTCTTCTGAAGTCCCAGTGGAGGAGCCCCTCTCGCTGCTCCTTTCCTGGTTATCTGTTTGGGGTCCAGCCCAGGGATTCCTGCCGGGGCCAACCTGACCCACTCGGGGTGAATGTATCCTGAGTCACCCACCCCTAATCCACCCTCTTGGGTTCCCCATCAGGCATTTTCTCAGGTCCAGCTCAGCACTCTCCCTCCAGTGGTAAAGTGAGCTGGGTGTAAATTGTGCACAGAAAAATGAATCGTTTCGCTTCTCCTCCAGCCACCCAGGGCAAAGGCCTCCTCCCACCTCCCTCCTCCCGCCTCCCGCCTCCCTCTTCCCTCCTCCGGAGCAGACCAGACGAGCAGACGGCTGGTTGTTTTCAACCTGTGTCACACCAGGTCTTCGCCTTTCATCTTCCGGCAGTTAACCTCGTCTGGGTTGTTTCTATTTTTTTTTTTTTTTTTTTATCCTCACCCGAGGACATTTTTCCATTTTTTGTTCAGGTAGAGTGGGAGAGAGAGAGAGGAACAGAGAGAGAAACATCGACGTGAAGGGACACATCGAGTGGTTGCCACCCGCACAACCGACCAGGGCCGGGGACAAACTGCAACCGAGGTACGTGCCCTTAGCGGGAACAGAACCTGGGTCTCTCAGGACCGCAGGCCGACGCTCTAACCGCTGAGCCAAACCGGCCAGGGCTGGGTTGTTTCTATTTTAAAGGCACACCCTCACCCAGGAAATCTCCTGGAAGGGAGGATTCAAAGTCATTCTCAAGTTCAGCTGACAGTCTTTCAAAGGTGCATTATCTGCACCTTAAAATACACCTAATGCAGTGGGGTTCTGCTGAAACCATCACAGGGGACTGTAATAGACACTACACAGTCACCTGACATTTATAGAATGTTTAACAGTTTTGGGAAATGCCTTTATGCGCCTCTTCTGTTCGTCACCACAAGCCTGGGGGTGTGGAGGGCGGGGATTACCTCCGCCCTTTTACTAAGAGAAGCAGTGTAGTAGGCGTGCAGCATGGGTCCTCGCTACTCCCTGGGCCTCAGTTCCCCTCTGTGTAGAACAAGGATAATAGTACTTGCCTGATAGGATTGTCCTGGGTGTGTGTGAAGCACCCTGTGTCTGGCTCATTGTCAGGGCCGCTAGGAGTAAAGGGGAAACCGCCCTCAGAGAGGTTTTCGGATCTGGGTGGAATCCATGACCCCCATAGACTGGAGCTGTGGCCCTCCCCATGCAGCCTTGGGCTCCAGCAGGTCTCAGCCTGTCATAGCCCAGAGTCTCTGTAAGGAAGGGTCCCAGGGCAGCCTACCTTGTTCCATGTTGGATGGAATTGGACCCTTCAACTCACACCAGATAGTGGTCTAAGGACACTCAGGGTATCAGTTATTAAGGGCTTAGTGATCATTTGTCTGCTGACCCCTGACATTGACACCCTTGGAATCTTATGGTCCTCCAGGTATGGTACAGGGTGACGGTCGCACAGCAAACCGCACAGGGTGTCCCGTGAGCAGGGGACACTTCTCAGGCCTGGGAGAGCTTCAGCATGCCCTCGTCTCCCTTCCCACTGGCCTCAGGGTTTTCGCCTGGGGACCGGTCCTTGGGCTCCTCCTCCCTGCTGTGTCCTTCCTGGTGAAGTCATGCACAACCTCAGTATCCAGGCAGGTGGCGGTAGATGTCACAGAGATCCCTGGATTTCCTGGGCAGAGACCTCCCTCTCCCGCACCAGCTGCACAAGCATCTTCCTGCCATTATTACAGCATTCCTCACACAGCTCATTAAGTGCACCGGCTCCCCCATTTGACAAGGAGCTGTCCGACGACCAGGCTGGGCCTCATGCCCCCGGGATCCAGCCCTGTGCCTCGGAGTGACAACAGTCACACACTGGTCCAGGTGAAATGACAGTAATAATGAGCCCAAACGGCTCCTTCTTCTTCTCAGCATGTGCAAGCAGGAAAACCTATGAAAACGTCGACCTCTTTTGCCCCAGGTCAGTGAGATCCAGGCACCTCAGGGGACTCCCCCCAAAACAGTTTCCCTTCGGAATTACCAAGACTGAACTGGCTTTCTGGAAACCAACGACTAAAACCATGACTCCAAGAGAATCCAAGAGATCAGCCACGCGAGACCAGCACCAAAGCTTCAGGAAAGTCCCCGCTAACTGTGGTGGGAACAGAGGCGCACCCGTCTGGCAACCTCCCTCGGCGTGTTCTGAGAGTGGAGTGCAGAGTCTGCTCTCAGTGGGCATTATTATTTATCTCTCTGGACTCACGGAAACGCTCTGGTGGAACAACTCAGGGCCTAAGTCCTGAAGAAGCTCCATGTTATAGCGCCCGATCCAGCAAGAGCGTCCCTGGGGGAGCTGTCCTGGTACCTGGTTTGGACACCCCTGCTTCCACCCCCAGATCAGCCATGGGTTGTTTGAGCTATGCCTCCTCCTTTCAGACTGATCTGCCCCTCGCAATGCCCCACGTTGGGCCGCTCGCGCATCATCTAGGCGGCCGGGGACTTCTCTAGGACTTTGTATCTACAGGGCCTCAGCAAGGCTTCCCCCCCTGGGCTCGCATACAGTTGGCTCGCCAACAATATTTGAACTAAATTACAGACATCCTGTGGTCAGCAATGCTCAGAAAGTTTTGTAACTTTGTTGGCAAGGCTGTGGGCCACAGCACAATGGAAGCGGTGTGGCGTGTCCAAGTTAAAAATGCACATGCCACACCTGAAAGTAACATAAGGTAATACTGAATGTCAGCTGCACTTGAAAAAGAAAAAAAAGAAAAAGAAAAACATGCATCGGACCCAGCAAGTTCCACAATGGAAAGAATGCTGAGCATTTACAAGTATAGGTGCTGTTTCCAGCACTGCACCCATATTAATTCATTCGGTCCCCACAAAGCCCTTGGAGGCAGGCGGTGTCATCGTCCCCTTGTCACAGACGAGGCAGATCAAGCAAGGAGACTTCAAATCATTTGTCTAAGATTCTCCCGCCAGTAACAACCCAGGCGTCTGGTTCGGGGGTGAGCTCGCTTCACCACTGCACTACGCTGTACCCCTCTACAGTTCTGTATTATCCATCATCACTGAAGTACTATCTATAATAGAGAAAAACTAGGAACAACCGAAATATCCACCATAAGGGAAGGTTGACTATATTGTGGTTTTTCTGTTCAAGGGAACACCAGACAGTTAAAAATAAGTAAATAAAGTTGATATGGAAGTGTACTGATGTGTTACAATCTCTAAGCTATACAAATGTAAGTCAGAGAAAGCAGAGTGCAGCAGAGTGACCATCATCTGTGGGAAACGCCTGCATGTGCACGGAATGTCTCTGCGAGGAGAAATAAAAACAAATCAGAAGAAGTAAAACAACACAAACAGAAAGGGAACCAGGGGCATGCTTTTCACTGTACACCTGCTACTCCTTTTGAATTCTGTACCATGTACATGGGGTACCTATTTGTAAAGAAAACTTGTTTTTATAAGAAAACTTAATTTGAAAGAATAGACTGCACCTGCAAAGGGCATACCAGTTGCTAGGATCCCGCCAATGACTGTGGAAGGAACGAATGACATGCACGTTAACTTGAATCTACTGGAATTGATATTCATGAGGCTCCCCTGCAGCCCAGTGTGGCTGAGGGGTCTGCTTCCCCTAGACACTAAGCTCAGGGAGGGGGGGGGGCGCCTGGAACGGGGCCTCCGCAGAGCTCCGGAAGGAACCAACCCTGCCGACACCTTGACTTCGGACGTCTAGCCTCCAAGGCTGTGAGATAATACGTTTCTGTGCTGTGTTAGTCCATGACCACGGACCCAGGAGGGTTATACGGCCTACCAGAGCCGAACAGAGACACCAACAGGGACCTGTTTCTGTCCCGGAAGAGCATCCCTAAAAGGGCAGCGTGGGGAGGGCTGGTGTGGGAGTCACGGACGGCAGGGATGGGGGGAGGCGGCAGGGGCCTTACTATGACAGTTATGCGTGGAGCGAGCCAGACCAAAGGCCTCTCAGGGGACCAAGCCCCTTCCCTGCCAGGCAGGCTGCTCTCAGGGAGAAGATTCTTCTGACAAGCCTTGTTCTCCTCAAACCACATGGGTAATTACTTAGAACTCTGTTTTGTGTGTGGCTTTTGCAGAAAGATTTTGTAGTGATTTATTGTTTTTTTTCCCCAGGCATTTTGGCAGCTCTGACGGGAGACATAAGAAAGTCCATTATCGCCAGCATGTGTCACTGGGGCTGCCGCGGTGCTGAAACAGACCGTCCTTACCGAGCGGAAGGGGCGGGAGCCTACCTGGGTCCCTGAAGCGCCACGGGCCGGGCAGTCCTGTTCTGGGGGCCAGTCCTTGCTTCTTTGAGGACATACCTTGTTCTGCTGGATAAATTCTTCCAGCCTTAAAACCTAAAAGAGAAGGACAGAAATGCTCAGCAGTCCAACCAAGCCCTGCGTCCTGATTGTGGCCATGAATCTGTGGATCCCTTCTTCTGTCAATCAGTTCTGGGGACAGTGCCCCATCAGACACACCCCGAACATGCTTCCAGAAAGAGGGGAGCTTGGCAGGTCCGCACCTCCCTTTACATTATTTTCTCTTTAAAAAAATTTTTTTTTCTTTATTGATTTCAGAGAGAGAGGAAGGGAGAGGGAGAGAGAGAGAAACATGGATGAGAGAGAACATCGACTGGCCGCCTCCTGCATGCCCCCCACTGGGGATTTGGCCCACAACCTGGGCATGTGCCCTGACAGGAATTGAACTGGTGACCACTTGGTGCATGGGGTCGACGCTCAACCACTGAGCCACAGCGGCCGGGCCCTTTAAATGATTTCCATGCACACGTCTAGACCAGAGCCGTGCGGTGTTCTCACTGGCTTTCACGCCGTGTCACACGCTTTCTTTTTTAAAAAGTCAATTGGTAAAGAAAAGAAACAATATTTGCTAATTATGCAGATAATATGAGAGAAGAGTAGCTGGAAGGTGCTATTCAATTGTAAAGCCTCAATGATGATCGTTATTTTTCACCAACGAGCTGTCAAGTGTCAGTTACACGGACTGGCTTTCCCGCTCTAGGCTTCGAGGAGAACGAGGCCATATCCACAGCGGAAACTCGGACACAGCAACCAGTCCTCGCAGAACCTCGGGTGCTCCTCGGGCGCCGTGCTGGGTGCGAAGAGGAGGGGAGGGCAGGGGTGTGAGTGAGGGCAGAGCAGTACGATAACAAAATACCGTCCCGCCTTCAAGGAACTGTCATCTTGTGGGGAAGACAGACACGTTTATAATGACAGCAGCGCTCAATCACACACGCACAGAACAGTGATAGTACCACGAACAGCCTGTCGGCTCTGTGCCGGCGTTTGACTCTTCTGAGCCTCACAACCACCACGAGGCAGGCAGTGTTGGGTCCTACAGCAGAGAACTTACAAGAATAAACTCTGCCCAGGGGAGTCCAGGATGACTAGGAGTCCATTAGCGGCAAGGGTGAGAAAGGGCATTCCAGGCAGCAGAAATAGCAGGTGTAGTGGTGGTGTTGGGGGGACGTGAGGATGAAGGAAGGTTCCATGGCATAGGGCCCAGTATGAAGGCGTAGACGGGGGTGGGCAGAGTCCTGGCGGGTAGTAGTGGCGAGTTGGGTTGGGTCCAAAGTGTGAAAACATGGGAATTAAATATTTTATGGAGAGAGGAATGGGGTCTTGAGTGGTTCAGGGTTTTAGAACACGGGTTCTGGAATTGGCTGTCCTGGGGAGAACGTCAGGGCATAGAAACAGGCTCTTAAGAGACTAGAGACCATCCCAGAGGACAGCAAGCCTATCAGAATGGCTTTGCGGCTCTACACAGTGACAAATGGGGAAGGAATATTTAAAGATTATGATACTACTTACACTGCATCTTGCTAAGGCTTATGAGATATTTAAACGAGCTCTGTGAGACTGTTTGCAAGAGCTTAAAAAAAGAGTCTCAGCGAGCTGTTCTGAGGGTCTTGACCAAGGCATTGGTGTAAAGAGAGGGGACAGGATCTAGGGGCTTACGTGGAAGGACCCACAGGACCTGACAAGTGATTGGATGTGATGGGGGGCAGGGTGGGGACTGGGGCTGAGGATGGGAGAGCAAGAGAGAGGATGTGGTCAAGGGTGACTCTTCCATTTCCGGCTTTGGCAGGTGGGGGGTAGACAGTGACACCGTTAAGGTGGTAGAAGACACGGAGGTTAAGAGCAGGCCCGAGGCACTTCACGGTCAGTCCCGGGTCACGCCTCGCCGCCTGCAAGCACTCGGGTCTGAATGGTGCTGGTCGTCACAGAGGCCGCACACGACGCCAGAGGCACGGTGAGCATAGGGGTTAACAGTGGGGTCCCTAGCGCCCCATTGCCTGGGGTGGAGCCCAGATCTGCCACTTGTTACCTGTGTGACTTTGAGGAAGTGATGCCACGTACTTGTTCCTCGCTTTTCTCATTTATAAACCAGAGATGCTCCCAGTACAGTGGTTGTAAGGATTAAAAAGGTAATACGTGTAAACTGCTTAGACGGTATCTTAGCTAGTGTACGTGCTTAACAAAAGCTTGCCATTGTTATTTCTAAAGAGAGGGGTTGGGAGGGGCACTCAGAGAAATAGTCAGGTGACAGTGCAGGTGTCCGAGTCACCCACAGACGTGAAGCCTCGCCAGGCTCTGCGGAGCAGGGTGTCCAGGTCCCATATGAAGACTGGCAGTATGGGGTAACAGGAAGGAAGGGAGGAAAGGAAGAAAGGGGGAGAAAGGGGAGGGGAAGAGAGAAAAGAAGGAGAAAGGGAGGGAGAGAGAAACGGGCTTCTTTGCCGGGTAGCCCACCTTGGGCTGAGAGGGAACAGAAACCTCTACAGCAGAGGTGTCCCACCAAGACCTCGCCTCTAGAGCCCCTGACATCAAGTGCAAGGCATGGCATGCTCATCTTTTCTTCTTTTTTTAAAGCTAATTTGTGAGGTAGAAACAAGGTTAGAGAAAAACATGTGCATACTCATCACTCGGCTGTAGAAACCACGCAAATACAGTTCTGCCCCCAGGCTTCTCCCGCCCCATCAGCCTTTCTCCTGTCTAGAAGTAACCACTGGGTCAAGGTGGGTGGTGTCATTCTCACGCGTGCTCTGAACTGAACTCCGTTATTCCTAAACATCGTTACTGTTTTGCACACGGCTCTGGATTCTTCAAAGCTCCCCAGGAGGTGGTGATGCACAGTTTAGGCTAAGGAACCCTTTCGTGGGCTCCTGTGGGTGGCAGGGTCAGGGCTCATCTGGAAGGCGTGAGGGAGGGCAGGGGAAGCAAGGAAAACTCTTTACATTTTTGTTTCCATCTAATCAGGCTCAGGAGTGAACCCCGCTTCCAGCCCCTTCTCCTTAGTAACAGGGGCAACAGCTCCTTTAAACTTTGACCTTGGTCTCTGGGTGGTCTGGACAGGGCGAGGGGCATGAAGCAAACTCTGTTGTTCATCTGGTCTACATCCAATGCCTACCCCTTCCTTTCTCCCTCCCCTTTCCCCACCACGGAGGCCTGACAGCTAAGTCCTTGCTTGCCCAGGCTGGCCACGTGACACAGCTGTCAGCCCTGGGCGCAGGAGTCAGCTGGCTTCTGCAAAGGCTTCCTGATGCCCGCTGAGGTGGGCAGGCCTGCTCATCACTGCTCCTCCCTGCTCCTGGTTTCAGTCTGGACCTGACAACTGGACCGGCAACAGACCCTTGGAATCTGCGCCGACTTCTCCATTCGATGCAGCAGGCCCAGGGCCCAGGGCCCGCGGTACTTCTAGGGGCCGGGAAAATGTTTTAATTTCTTTTAAAATCAGAACAAAAAAATACAGCCTGGCTATATTAATCTTTATATGAATGCAGTCATAAAATATTATTTTTAATTTTAATTTTTATTTTTTTTTGGATAAAGGGAAGAGGCCCAAAGAAGTGACAATGAACCAGGATGCAGGAGAGCAGAAGAATAATAATCTACCAGGCTTGGTACCATTTAGCCACAGAATCAACACCAGCAGCCTCCTGCCTCCTTCTCTCCTGTGAGACATTAAATGCCTCCTTGACAAGCCTCTGTAAATCAGGCTTGCTGCTACCTGCAGCTAAATTTATGCCCCTGAGGCAGCTTTTTTGTTATGCTGAGGTCCTTCAGTCTCTTCCGAGGATGCTGAATGTATAAGGTCGGGCATTTCCTGAGATTCCTGGCATCTCAGTGAACCTGAAACTCGAGGGCCCAGAATCATACCCCCCAAGCACTGCATTGATTTGGGACTCACCTGGAGCAGGGAATTCTGGAGCTTCACATTTAGGGCTGCTTTCTCTTCTTCTAGCTGCTTGACTTCATTTTCTGATTTCTTCTTCATTTCCTCCAACTGTGCTTCTACTTCCTAAATGATCATTGGGAGAGTTAGCCACACCAGGCACAGAAACGGACAGGACACAACCTGCCTTATTCCCAAAGGGGTCTAAAGAAGATTATGAGAGTCATAAAATATTGTAAGGGAACATAAATTAGAGATACAAGAGATGGTCAAAAGAAGTGTTAAGTTTGTATCATGAAGGGCACATGCCCAGGTTATAGATATATCTGCCTTTACTATTTCCCTTCATATATATATACATCTGAAGTGATATAATAGCATTTGACGGCAGACCGTGATAAATTAAAGCTGTATGTTATAGATCCGAGAGCAGCCTCTAGCACATCCCTCTCGGGGAAAAAAAAAAAAAGGCTAGCTAATAAGTCACTAGTGGAGATAAAAAAGGAAATACAAAAAATATTAAATGAAGAAAATATAAACAGAAAAAGAGGTAAAAAGAAGAGAGAACAGAAGTGGCAAATAGGAAAAACAGCAAGAGGGTAGACAGTGATAATTACATGAATTGTAAATGATCTAAATGATCTTCGAAAGTCAGAGATGGCCAAAATGAACTAAGGAGTAAGATCCAGCTATACCATACAAGCACGTTGAATAGAAAGACACAGGTAGATTAAAAGGAAAGAAACGGATTAAAACAGACCGTGTAATACTGACCATAACAACAGAATGTCTATATTTTTATCAAAGTAGACTTCAGGACAGAAATTTTTCACAGATGATTAAAGGACCAATTCATCCAAAAGACATAGTAATTTTAAGTGCACATACATCTAATAAATAAGTCTGAATTTATATAAAGCAAAAGCTAAGGAGAAATATAACATTTGACCATTTAAAGTTGAGATTTTAGTACTCCTTTCTCAATAATCAACAGAACAAGTAGGAAAAAATTAGCAAGGAAATAAAAGACTTGAACAACACTATCAACCAACACAACCTAGTCATCATTATAGAACACTCCACTCAACATCAGCAGATCTATATTCTTTTCAAGTGCACAAGGACCATCCATCAAGATAGACCATATTTAGGCCATAAAACAAGATGAATAATTGAAAAGGAATGAAATTTTAGAATCCATTCTTTGACCACAAGGAAACTGAATTAGAAATCAATAGCAAAGAGTATCTGAAAAGGTCCCAATATTAAGCAACATATTTCTTTTTTTTAATCCTCACCCGAGGATATTTTTTCATTTACCTTCAGAGAGAGTGGGAGGGGGAGAAAGAGAGAGAGAGAGAGATCAATGTGAGAGAGACACATCTACTGGTTGCCTCCCGCATGATCCTGACCAGGGCCGGGGACCAACACAACCAAGGTACGTGTCCTTGACCGGAATCAAACCCGCGACTCTGGTCCGCAGGCTGGCGCTCCAACTGCTGAGCCAAATCTGCCAGGGCTAAGCAACATCTTTCTAAATAACCAACAGTATTTTTGGAGTTGACAGAAATAGAAAGTTGGAAAAAAAATTTTAGAAAATCAATCACATTAATTATTATTTAAAGTAGAAAGCAGAGGCCTAGAATGCTTCGGGGCGACTTCTCTAAGGTTTGACAGTCAGTCTGTTTCCCCAGACACAGTGCTTCTCACACACCGACTTGAGTCTGGTGTTGGAGGCATGTCCTGTCCCTCCACCCTTTTGTAAGTTCCTTGAAGGCATGCTGTGATTCCTGTAGCCCTCCATTGCTCAAAACACCGAGTACATATTCAATGAACGGTCAACCAGCAGTGACTAGATAGTGGCAGGTGAGGACCCGAAGGCTCTTCAAGGCCCAGGGCAGTATGCATTTCATTATGTCACGTAGACAGAGGACAAATCTTGGTGTCTTTGAAGTCAGGTAGGCCTGATACACATCCAGCTCTGTCATCTCTTAGCTGTGTGACTCTCAAGTTACTCAATCTCTTGGTTCCTCATGTGTGAAACAGGAAAATCCCTGCCTGCTGGGCTGAGATAAGGATGGAATCAGGGCCTAGAAAGTTGTCATTCCTTTTGGCTGCTCAGCATCTGATCCTCCACCAGGTGTCTGGGAAATCCTCCATCTGATACATCAGAGCCCTCCTTTTATCACAGACCCTGGAAAACCACACCCACCTTCCCAGACTCCCTTGCAACTAGGCCTGGGCACGTGACTGAGGCTCCACCAATCAGACAGCCCACCCCAGAGTTTGAATCAGAAGCCATCCACATGCAAAAGCAGGAGGCACGCAGATTTGGCAACTTCAGTGTCCAGGGCAGCAGGACCGGTCATTCTAGAGCCGTACCAGCCAGTGGAATTCTGTGATGATAGAAATGCTCTAAAATATACTAGCCATTACGGTAGCCACTAGCAACATATGGCTACTGAGCACTTGAAATGTGGCTACTTCCACCAAGACACTGAATTTAAAATTTTATTAAACTATGATTAATTCAAATGTAAATAACCACATGTGTCTAGGAGCTACCACGTGAGACAGGTCATTCTCCAGACCATGTCCAGGGTCTGGTATTGGTGGTGTCAACAATGAGAACCGTAGGTCTGGGTTCAGGTGGTGGGGGGGGGGGTGTCCTCATCAGTTTTGCAGTAAATTTGGACATTCCTGGCTGGGTAGCTGCCCAGTTTCCTGGCCTTCCAGAAAACTACTCATTACTACCCGTTGTTAAATTCCTTTTCTGCCTACACTGTCCAGGGCGAGAACGTGATGCTTGCCACCAAGAACCCTAAGTGATCCGCCCGAGATGGGGATGCAGCAGCCCAGGAGGCACTCAATGCATTTTCCCCGTCTCCCTGGGAATCGATGTAGGCAAGTGCTTAGTCTAGGATGTGTACTCTGTTCTGCCTGTCAAGATTACGTGATAATAGCGTCTGATTCTGTGGACACAGAAGACACACAGGCCTTCTGGGTCAACTTGAGCCCCTCCCCTGTAACGACTTCTTGAGGTTAAGGTAGCATTTAGGATACACAATATACCCACAGCAAAGGACTCAAAGAAATAGTGTGCTCCTAACTCTAGAGGGGGAAGATACTGTCTATTTTTAGTCCATGAAACCTAGATTTGGGGGCCTCTTCAAGGTATTATCTAATCAGCATGGCCTAATTTATATCATATATATCCTCAGTTTATAGAAATGACCAAAAAGTAAAAAAAATACCCCCCCATTACCAACCCAGGAGGAAACATAATTGATTTCTACGTGATTCATTTCTCAAATAGACTCATGCCCCCTGATTAAAGCTGACGCTGGATTTCTGCACTCAGGGTCAGGCTTGGCTGACTGGTTCCCAGGGCAACCTGCCCCTCCCACTGATTGTGGCTCAAGATGGAACAGTTGTTCCGTGAGTCTGAGAACAGGATTTGTGCAACCAGTCACAGCTTATGGGGAGGGAAATGCTTTCAATACAGCTGCTTCCTCCCCAGCACAGGGTGGGAAACCCTGGGTTCGAGGGTCAGGCTGTCAGCTTTTATTTTTTTATTTTTTTTATTTTTTATTTTTTATCCTCACCCGAGGATATTTTTCCATTTTTGTACAGATAGAGTGGGAGGGAGAGAGAGGAAGGGAGAGAGAGAGAGAAACATCGACGTGAAGGGACACATCGAGTGGCTGCCACCCACACGACCAACCAGGGCCGGGGACAAACTGCAACCGAAGTACGTGCCCTTAGCGGGAACCGAACCCGGGTCTCTCCGGACCGCAGGCCGACGCTCTAACCGCTGAGCCAAACTGGCCAGGGCAGGCTGTCAGCTTTTAATACTGCCTCCACCACTCACTGCCTGTATGAGTTGATACAGACCCTTTGCTAAGCCTCAGTTTTCTTGCCTCTAAAATGGGGATATGAATACCCATTTTGTAATACTGTTTGAAGGATTAAATGTGTTCATAAGAATTAGGTGCTTTATTAGTGTAAAGTATAGCGGGTACTGAATAATATTATCAGACATGATGTCACACAGTGCACATGGGAACTAATCATAGCCACTGTTTATTGAACTTTCATTACATGTTGTGCACTGAGCTAAGAGTTTAGATATAATACCATATTCAATCCACATAACAAGCCTTTGAAGTATGTAGCCTTATTTCAAAATCAGGTTTCGGAAAGTCAAGTGACCAGTCCATGGTCACACAGCTAGTGGGAGAGTTAGGACTGGTCTGGGTCTTTTACGAGTTCATTTATTTATCCCATACATGTGTACTGAGTACCTACTGCTCATAACCATCACACAACACTGCATTCCTGAGTGACTTACGATCATCTCTCAGGGAAAACTCAAAGCGAACGGTACAGGCTCTTGGTTACAGAGAAGCTTTCTTGCAGTGCAGTTGGACCCCCTTATCTACAGTCTCTCTATCCATGGCTTCAGTCATCCACAGTCAACCACAGTCCAAAAATATTACATGAAAAACTCCAGACATAAACAATTCACGTTTTCCACTGTGTGCCACTTTGAGGAGCGTGATGAAACCCGCACCATCCCACTCCCTGCTGCTGGGATGTGGGTCATCCTTTGTCCAGTGTTTCCACACTGTCTCAGCTCCCCACTGTTTACTCAGCAGCCATCTGGTTATCAGACCCACCATCTGATATTGCAGCCTGCGTTCAAGTCACCCTTGTTTCACTTATTAATGGCCCAAAGCCATTCATATAACTTTCATCGCAGTATATTGTTATAACTGTCCTATTTCATTATTAGTTGTTACTCTCTTACTATGTCTAATTTATAAATTAAATTTTATCCTGGGTATAAATGCACAGGAAGAAACATAGTGTATGTAGGGTACTGTCTCAGCCATCCACTGGGGTGGGTCTTAGAATGTGTCCCTTGTGGAAAGGGGGCGATGTCTGTAATTAAAGCACCACCTGTGTCCACAATAATATTTACTGTTTTTCTAAAATATTCACATATGTTGTTTGCTTTCCCAGCAAGATGGAAGAGATGAGGCTTTGCATTTCTCCTGAGCAGAAAGCCTCTCCCTGGTGGGAAGTTGGAACAGCACCCAGAGGCGGGAAGTCCCCCACCGTGCCCGGCCACGGATTCACTACCCGCATCAAGGCCCCCGGCACTAGGATATGCTTTGCGGGTTTTTTCACATGGATCACCTCACTTAATCCCTGTACTCTACGAGGCGCTATTATCGTTACGTTTTACACATGAGGCACTTGAGACTCACAGAATTTCTCTCCGAGGGCCCAGGTTAAATGGGGGCTAGGGTCACAGAGCCGGAAGGTGGCAGAGTTGGGACTGGAGTCCAGGCCATTGGCCAGGCCTGAGTGTCTGCTTCATGTTCTTTCTCTGTTTTTGCTGAGTGGGGTTGGCTTTACATCAACGACTCCAGGCCCACGGTCCCAGGGTGTCCCCATCTCTTCTAAAAGACCCCGAGCCCCCTCTGGACAGAGAGCTAGCTTAGATGTGTACACAGCAGGAGCTCAGTAAGTGTTTGAGGAAGGAAAGAAGAAATACCAGGGCAAAGACGGGAGGAGAGGACAGGGAACAGAACAGCGTCCGCGCAGGGGCCTCACCGCCTGCAGCCTCTTCCTCTCGGCCTCCACGGACGCGCGCACCGACTGGATCTCCGCCGTGTGCGTCTTCACCAGGTCTTCCAGGCGCCTCACTAGCTGCTCTTTGAGACGTTTCTTCTCCTCCTCTGTCTGGTGTTTGATCTTGCGAAGATCCTCCTCATACTGCTGCTTCATGTAATCCATCTCCACTCGCGCCTCCTTGTCGGCCTATAAAAAGAGACAGGGCCTTGTAAACCTGCCTGAGTCGGGTGACGAGAGGGAACCGCTGTTTCTCTCGTGCAACTTCTACATTGTTTATGTACTGATTTTACAGCCCGTTTCACAAGGTGCAGTAAAATTCATAAAACTGTATACTTAGCATTTGTAAGAGACTTGACTTTATGCACCACTGGAAAAGGGCTCTTTGGAGTCATGTACCTATCGTCACAGGACCAGATTGTCAGGCCCATACTGTCACTGCATCCCTGAGCTTTCTTGGTTTGGACTGGGAACACATAGTGGGAACACTAAGCAAGTTTCCATTTCCTAGGAGTCGCCGATAAGGACTTGGCAGAATTCTGTACATTCTCAGTCTCCCAGTTTCAAATGACATGGCGCTGGCGGGAAGTCACTGGAATTCGGACCCACACAGCCACCCCCAGAGCTGTGGCACCTGCTGCTTCCTGGTGGCTCCGTTGTGGTCGGGGATTGAGCTCCACCTGAGGCTCGTTCTGGTAAAGCCTCGTGCGTCTTCTCCACCCCCAGGCTGGGCACACACTACCTGTGTCTCTGTGCCTCCTCTCGTACACGGACACTCCTTGGGCAAGTTCTCGTCCTGCTGAGGACGGGGACGGCGGGCCTCCACGTCGTTCGCTTTCCGTAAGACTTCGTTCTCTGGAATTCGCTCTGTCTTCCTGTCGTCTACGAGCAAAAGGCTCAACATCATTTGGAATGCCCTTGGCCTTGGTCTCCGTCCGAGTCCCCATTCCGCTGTTCAACGACTGTGCCCACCAATCCCCTATGTGATTCCTGCTGCGTGGCCTCCTGCCCTCGGGCGTGGTCGAGGTGGTGACCGCCATCTTTGCTCAGGCAGCACCCTGAGTTCAAAGAGTTGTCCTGCTGTCCCTTCTTTTTATTTATTTAATACTCACTTGAAGCTACTTTTCCACTTATCTTCAGATAGAGTGGGAGGGAGAGCGGAGGAGGGGGGAGGGAGAGCAGAGGAGGGGGGAGGGAGAGCGGAGGAGGGGGGAGGGAGAGCGGAGGAGGGGGGAGGGAGAGCGGAGGAGGGGGGAGGGAGAGCGGAGGAGGGGGGAGGGAGAGCGGAGGAGGGGGGAGGGAGGGGGAGAGAGGAAGAGGGAAGAGGGAAGAGAGAGAGAGACATTGATGTGAGAGAGACACATCGACTGGTTGCCTCCTGCACGACCTTGACCAGGGCCGGGGACTGAACCGCAACTGAGGTATGTGCCCTTGACTGGAATCGAACCCACAACTTTTGGTCGGTGGGCCGATCCTCTAACCACTGAGCCAAACCAGCCAGGGCCTGCTCTCCCTTCTTAAACTACTCATCTTTAAATTTTGTGACTGTGTTTTCCATAGGTTAAAAAAATTGAGCATGTTCCATAGATTAGAAAAATATGCGCATTCGAAGGATTTAAACTGAAAGGAATTTAAAGGACAAGACAAAAATAAATATAACTAAAATTGCCCATTTTCTTCCCATAGGCCTGAGGTACTCATTCCCCACTTTAGAAACCACTGCTCTAAACCCTGCACACCTCTGGTTCCAACTCAAGCTCTCCCCCTCTGTACCTTTCAAACCCGGCGACTCCCCTCCCCTCTCCCCTGCTGCCTGGGCCACGCCCGTGATACCAAAGCAGCTGGGGCTGTGAGGTGCCGTCCCAGCCACTCCCTGGAGGACAGCCCGAGTTGTCTGCCTTTGTTATCCCCCCACAGTGTCAAGCTGGTCGCACTGTGGGTACTCGAGAACTTTGTGATGAGGGGGCCCAGTGGGAGGCACTCTGCTGCCCCATATTCTTAGACGCTGCCCCGCTCCATCGCCAGCCAGCTGCATTGGCCTTGGCCTGGCCATTCACCCCTCTCAGACCATTTCCTCATCTGGAACGTGCGGCACTCACACCACCCACCTCACAAAGTGACAGGGATAAGTCACAGTGTGAAATAATGGGAAAAGTACAAAGTGTGTGGTGGTTCGCAGAGGAGAAGAGGGGTGCGGGGAGGACGAAGAGGGGAAAGGGTGGAAGAAGGAAACTAGATTTCAGGTGGCAAGCACACAGGAGAGTATACAAATGCATGAATGTACAACTGAAATGTACATAATGCTATTAACCAGTGTTATCTCAATAGATTAAACTTTTATAAAGTATAAGGTGTTGACTAAGGGTGGGGGAAAGCCGGTGCTGAGAGTTTGGCACTGTGGTGGGCCTGGTGGGGATGTTTGGAAGGAAGTGGCCCTTTTGCATCATGCCTCTGAGACCTGGCCTGTAGCAGCACTAGGTGTTGGCTCACCTGTGTCCTCCAAGGGCCAGACTGGCCCGCCAGGTGGGGCAGATCAAACTGCCCTGGCCTCCACTCTGCTCCCTCAACAGTCTCCAGGCTGCAAGTGGCACCAGGCCAACCTGGTGGCTAAGCTTCCCCCGTAAGGACGTGGTTTAGAGCATCTCACCGGTTTTCTGTGTCACGTGACATTCCTGCAGCATTAGTCTGTCTTTGGCCACGGCCAGCTTCTCCCCAAGTTTCTTCGCAGTGCTTTTCAACTCCGAGTTCTCCTGTCGAGCCTCCTTGAGCTGCACATCCAGGTCCTAAACAGACAGAAGGGATCTCATTTCTCTGGTTACCGTTCTACGTAGAGACATCCTCTTTACCCACAGCTAACATGGACCTGAACATTGGGGAGCGCACAGCACAAGCCCCCAGTCTCTGGAAGTCGGTGGCTGAGGGTTCATCAAATCCCTAGTCATACTCCGACTGGCTGTGTGACCTGGGGCAAGTTACTGAACCTTTCTGTAGTGAGGATCAAATGAGATAAAGTATCTGAGACAGAAAACATGCTCAGGGAGTATAAGGAATATTAGCCCCTGCTGCTCTTAGGGAGGGAGCTCCGTAAGTCTGTGGGGCTCACGTAACTCACTGAATAGTCTGGCTCTCCACAAGCACAAAGTCCCAAGGATTTTAGGATGAGCAAGGTCTTTAGAATGAGGTCAACCTGAGTTCAAAGTCTTATTAGCTGTGTGCCCAGCTAGGCCAGTCCTTGTTAAGCCTCTCAATTTCAGTGTTGTCTTCTCATCTGAAAACTGGAAGTCTAAGCTCTCTGAAGCCAGGGACCAAAATTAGCTCACTGGGTGTCTCCTGCCCATAGCCCTGGCCTGGCACGCAGTAGGTGCTCAGTAAATATCTGCTAAATAAGCGTGTTTGGACTCCATGGAGATCATAGAGCTCACGGAGGTAGAAGTTAGGAGTTTCTCTCGGTGCCTGACACACAGTAGGTGTTCAAAATCAGGGGCCATGCTCGTTATCCCACTGGAAAGGTGGGGAGCGATCCTGCTTTACCTGAATCCTTTCCTTCAGCTTCTGGGCATACTTCTTCAGGTCACTTATCTTGCGACCTCTGTGCTCCAGGTCCCCTTCCAGCTTCCTGACCTGGGCCTGCAGGGCCGACTCCTGGACCTGGAAGTTCTTGCGGAGGTCGGTCTCCTTCTCCTGCCACTGCCACAGGGCCTCGCTCACCGACTGCTGCATGGCCTGCCGGATGGCCTCGTTCTCCCGCTCGTAGGTGGCCTGCAGCTCCTCGGCCTTCCTGGCGTAGTCCTTGCTCAGCTGCTGGTTCTCCACGCGCAGCCGCTCCACCTCCAGGAGGACCTCCCGCATCTCGGGGCCGGAGCTCGGCTCTGCCTTTGGGTCAGGGCTCTCCTGGGACAGCCGGCCCCACTGGGGAGCCTCGTGGCTCATCAGGTGCCGGAGCCTCTTCTCGTAGTCAGCCTTGAGCTCCAGCATTTCCTTGGAGAGGGTGAGGACCCGCTCTGCGTGCTCCGCCTCCACCCTCAGCTCCCTCTCCTTGGTCTCCAGCCTGCACGTGGCCGACTGGGCCAGCGCCTCCTGGGTCAGCCTCTTCTGCAGCTCCAGGGCGCCCTCCAGGGCCTCGATGCGCTGGAGCAGGGCCTCCTCCTCCGCGCGGCCCTGTTCCTGCAGGAGCCTGGCCTTGGTCTCCGCCACGGTGCTCCGCATCTCCTCCTGGTGCGCTTCCCGCAGCGCCTCCATGCTGGCCTCGGCCTCATCCTGGCGGGTGTTCAGGGCGTAGATCACCTGCAGGAAAAGCCAGAGCCCAGTGAGCGGAGGAGTGCCGGTGTGGGAGGGCGACGGGACCTGAGGTGCTCCTCCGCGGTGGACTCAGGCCGAGCCCACGAATAGCACCCGAGAAGAGGGTTGGTGTGGAACTTACTTATTAGAAACCATCCCAGGAGAAACCAGTAAGGGGACAGGGACGGGGGACAGGGTGGAAGCAAAGAAGGGGGGGTGATATGACAAAAAGGCCCACAGAGGGTATCTGGGGCAGCATTTCCTAGGGGACCTCTGCAGTGCTGGGGACCCAGCCAGGGGTTTAGGGCTCTATTTGCTCAAAAAGAACACTGTGGGATGCAAAACACTAGAAAATAGAATTCAGCAGTACATGAAAAGGATTAGACACCATGACCAAATGGGAATGCTCAGTTGATCTAACATCTGAGAATTAGTGACTGTAATGCACTGCATGCAGAGAATAAGGACAAGAGAACAGAACAGAGGGAAAAGGCCACACATGGTCTCCAGGGACACGGGAAAGGCATTTGACAAAACCCAACACCCCATTCATGATAAGAACACCCACCAAACTGGAACCTGAAAGGAGCTTCCTCAACATAATAAATGGAATCTATGAAAAACACACAGCTAACACTATACTCCACTGGGAAAGATTGCTTGCTTCTCCATAACTTCAGGAACCAGACAGGGACACTTCCTTACTGTGTGGAGAACAGAATGACGGAAGGCAGGAGCATGGTGGAGCCCATAAACAGCAGGTATTCATACAGAGTAGGTACTCATACACAGTAGGTAGTCAGGCAGTCATTACACAGTAGGTACTCATTACACAGTAGGTACTCATACATAGTAGGTACTCATTACACAGTAGGTACTCATACATAGTAGGTACTCATTACACAGTAGGTACTCATACACAGTAGGTAGTCATTACACAGTAGGTACTCATACACAGTAGGTACTATTACACAGTAGGTAGGCATTACATAGTAGGTACTCTACATAGTTGGTACTCTACATAGCAGGTACTCATACACAATAGGTAGTCATTACACAGTAGGTACTCATACACAGTAGGTACTCATACACAGTAGGTACTCTACATAGTAGGTACTCACTTAATGTTTCTTCCTTCTCTCACATTATCCCCTCAAAAGGAAACATCCTTTGTTTTGGAGACACAATCTGCTTCTCCAATCCTCAACATCTGAAATTTTTTCACATATTTTGAACAGACTCACCCTTTCCTGGGTTTGGTACCTCCACAGGTCACCTGGCCACCCATCTCCTGCTACCTGTTTGCTTTCTTTAACTCACCACCTACTAAACTAAAACATCAATGTGAGTGGCCCAAGCCTCATTTATAAATCCACCTTCTTAGGAAGAGGCCAACTGCAGAATCCATCAAGGGACATGAATAATTCAGCAGGCAAGAGAAATACTGAGCAAGTGGGTGAGTCTTCCCAGTGGCTTTAGAAATCCACTGCTAATGGTTTGATTTCAGAGAAAATTTCAGCTGAGGGCCTGTTAAGGTCCTGAGGGTTGAGTACTGTAGGTTTAACAAAGCTGTAATGAATGGACTCTGGGCATCAGATACTGAGGACTTTCCATCGAGTCGCAGCAGGAGTCAGAAGCGAAATGGAAAAGAGAAAAAAAGGAAATAATATTTGTTGAGTGCCCAGAGTATAACCTTCAAATAATAATAAATACACATTATTTTTCAATTAATCTTCTAACAATTCTACAGAGTGGACATCCCCAGGCTTATCCTTATTTTACAGATGAGGAAACTGTAAAATACACATTGGTGGGGTTAACTTAACACTTGGGGGTGATATAGCAGGGTGCTGGAGCTGCTAGTCCTAGATTCACACTGTAGCTCCACCACTTTCTAGCTGGTGACTTTGAGTAAGTTATTGAACCTCTCTGATTCTGTCACCTCATCTATGACATGGGAGTAATGCCTACCTCCTAAATTTGTTTGGAGATTAAAATGACATAATAAACCTAAAACCCTTATCAGCATTCCTAGCACAAAGTAAACACTCAAGAAATGCTGTCTGTTGTTATTTTTACGATTATTCATAGTATTGCCAAAAATAATGTTAAGAATAAACAATAAAGTAACGTTAAAAATAATGCTAAAAAAGTGAGGATGCTGGGATTGAAACTCAAGTCCTTCTGGATCCAAAATTAAAAGAAATGGAACCATAATCTTATTTAGAAAAAAAGCTGGTAATAGTTTTTCATTAATATTTTTGCAGCATTTACTACATGCTAGGCACTAGAAAAACAGAACAAATAAGATCATTCAGTTGAGGGGCTTATAGGCTAGCAGGATGTTGATTGCATTATTTGCCCACATTTCCCCCCTCCCCCACCCCCTCTCCCCTTCCTTGCCACAATCTTTCCAGTCAGTGGACAGCACTTACTTTTTTCCCCCTTTTGGGCTTGGCTGTGTGACTTGCTTTAATCAATGGAATGAGTAGACTTGTTGCAAATGGAGGCTTTAAGTGTGTTTATGTGTTTTGGCTTACCCTCTTGTGATTTTTATCATCTGCCACCAGAACAGTACATTCGGGGGAGCCAAGGGTGCCATAAAGACAGACGTCTGGAACAGGCTGGACCCCAACCCAAAGCTTGGGGTTAGCTTGGCTCAGTCCAACCCAGGGGAGAGCGACTGAACAGCAGCCAACCTGAGCATGAAATAAATCACTGTCATTGTAGTGCTGTTTGTTACACATCATTAATGTAGGGAAATCTGACTAACACACACAGAGAGAGCCAAGAAAGCCAATTAGAACACTGAGAGAGATTTGAGGTGCTTTGTTAGAAGTCTGCAGGGGCACAGAGAGGGGCAGAGGGCAGAAGGATCCCACAGCTCAGTAATTCTCCCCCTCGCTTCCTGCATCAACCTCAGCAGGTCACTCCCACCAATATGTAGATGTTCTGTAAATTTATCATGAACGAAAATCCTTCCTTTGATCCCATGCCCCCCATTTTCTGCACCCCTTTATAGCAGACTCCTCAAATACGTTGTTTATTGCCACTGTCACTAATTCCTCTCCCCCCTTCTTTCTTGAACTCTTTCCAGCCAACTAACTAATCCAACCAAACAGCTCCCCTCGTTTCACTAGTCACCTCCACGTTGCTAAAGCAGTAGCCAATTCTCACTCTTCATCTGTTCACCTTTCCAGCAGCATTTAAAAATTTATTTAATTAATTAATTTTTAAAAAATCCTCACCCGAGTACATTTTTCCAATTATCTTCAGATAGAGTGGGAGGGAGGGTGGGAGGGGAGAAAGAAAGAGAGACAGAAACATCAATGTGAGAAAGACACATCGACCGCCACCCCAACCAGGGCTGGGGACGAACTGTAACCAAGGTACGTGCCCTTGACCGGAATCGAACCCATGACTCTTTGGTCCGGGGCCGATGCTCTAACCGCTGAGCCAAACCAGCCAGGGCTCAGCAGCATCTGACATAAGAAATCACTTCCTCCTCCATGAAACATTGTCTGCTCTTGGCTTCCAGGACACAACATGCTCCTCTGCCCACTGACACCCCTTTTCATCCTCTGGCTAGTCCCTCCTCAGCTCCCGTCCTCCAGATAGGAGTGCCCCGAGCTTAGGCTTCAGACTGCTTCTCTTCTCTACAGACACCCCCTCGGGGGCTTACCAATCTCATGATTTTATGCACGCTTCATTTGCTAATGACTGCGAGCCCTGTCACCTGAACACAAAACTCCTGTGTCCTATTGTTCATCAAAATCTCCCCTTGGATATCTAACAGGCACCTCAACTTTAATCTGGATTTTTCCTTCAAAACCTGCTCTTCCCATAATATTCTCCATCTCACTTCATGCAACTCACCTCTTCCGGTTGCTGAGGTCAGGTTTTAGAGTGGACCTCTAAGCACATGAAAAGATGCTCAGCATCACTAAATGCAAATCACAACTACAATGAGGTAGCACTTCACGTCCATGTGGATGGTTATTGTGGGGGAAAAAGTCAGAAAATACGCCTTGATGTGGATGTGAAGAAGTCAGAACCCTGTGCCTTGCTGGTGGGTGTGTGAAATGGTGCAGCTGCTGTGGAAACGAGATGCTGGTTCCTCAGAAAATGAACCACAGAATTACCAACACCCCAGCAATTCCAGCTCTGGGCTTTCAGTTCCCGAACAACCAAAAGAAGGGACCTGCACAGATATGTGTACACACGTGTCCACAGCATCATTCACACTAGCCAAAAGGTAGAGACAACCCAAGCGTCCATCAGCACATGAATGGATAAACAAAATGTGACATATACATACATTCGACTATTATTCAGCCTTTTAAAAAAAATGCTAACACATGTAATGGGTACAGAGTTTCAGTGTGGAAAGATGAAAAAGTTCTAGAGATGGTGGTAATGGTTCCATAACAATGTGTATGTACTTAACGCCACAGAACTGTGTGCTTACCAATGGTGAATGTGATGGTACTTTTATTTTAGCATAATAAATAAATGTTTTAAAAGTTTATTGGAGTCACCCTGTCTCTCACATCCCACATCCACAGTCGATCCCAAATCTTTCTAATTCTCACCTTTCTGTATCCCCCTCAATCTGGGTCATGGCCACCTCTCACCTGGACCACTATGGCCTTTTAAGCCTTGTTTCTATCTTGCCACCTGGAGTCTGCTCAGAGTCAGTCAAATTATGTCTCATCACTGCTCAGACCGACTCATGGCTTCCCAGTACACCCAGTACACCCAGTACACCCAGTAGGGTCAGAGCCCTGAATTTGGGTGTGGAAATGCCTGGGAAGTGCAAAGGTCAAGTAGTTGTGGTCCCCTCCTTTATGGAAATGGCTTGGAACGGGTCCCAAACAAGGCTGGGCTCCTACCAGCAAATGGGCTTGGAATGGATTTCTAGATGGGAGTCCGAGATGCTAATGAAAATCTCACCATTGCCCATCAGAGAGCTGTTGCTAGGCGCCTAGCTGCACAAGGCACTCAGC